CACCATCACCGAGAAGTACGATGGGAGCGTCAACCCCACCGAGTTTCTCCAGGTCTATACGACCGGGATCGAGGCCGCTGGGGGTGACGACAGGGTCATGGCGAACTTCTTTCCCATGGCCCTAAAAGGACAGGCGCGGGGTTGGCTAATGAACCTGCCACCCGCGTCGGTCCACTCCTGGGAAGATTTGTGCCAACAGTTCACCATGAACTTCCAAGGCACATATCCGCGCCCAGGCGAAGAAGCGGACTTGCATGCAGTACAGCGAGGCGATGATGAGTCGCTTCGCTCGTACATTCAGCGGTTTTGCCAAGTCCGCAATACTATACCATGCATCCCTGCACACGCGGTGATCTACGCGTTCAGGGGGGGTGTGCGGCACAACCGCATGCTCGAAAAGATTGCCTCCAAAGAGCCCCAGACTACCGCAGAGCTTTTTCAGCTCGCGGACCGAGTGGCTCGTAAGGAGGAGGCATGGACCTGGAACCCCTCCGGTCCCGGAGTGGCAGCTTCGGCCGCCCCCGGATCCGCTGCTCAGACAGGGCGGCGGGACAGGAGGAGGAAGAAGAGGTCGGCCCATTCCGACGACGAGGGTCATGTCCTCGCCGTCGAGGGCGTTTCGCTGGCCACCCGAAAGGGGAGGTCTGCGAGCGACAGAAAGAAGGCCGGCGCTCCTTGACCTCGACTACTTGGAAGAGCGAAGGCGGCGCGCGGCCCTCCGAGCCGCGCGCTACCAGCAGAGCCTGCGGCGCTACCATCAGCGCCACGTCCGGGCCCGATCACTCTGCGTCGACGACCTCGTCCTACGCCGCGTCCAAACGCGTGCTGGACTGAGCAAACTCTCACCAATGTGGGAGGGTCCGTATCGAGTGATCGGCGTCCCCCGGCCGGGCTCCGTTCGGCTGGCCACGGGCGACGGCACAGAGCTGCCTAACCCGTGGAACATCAAACACCTTCGTCGCTTCTACCCCTAGTGGGGGTCGGGTGTCAGGTTTCGGGCTCGGGCCAACCCCGCACCCCCCCGGGCGTGCAGGGTTGGCCGGGGGCTTATCTTTTTTCTCTTCCGTATTTCAACAAAAGCATTTTCGATTTCCTAAAGGCTGTGTCTGTGCTTTTGTTTCCTTTTTGAAGAATCTTGACTTGAAATAGGTCACTCGTGCTCAACCTTGCCCTCGGGGGCTCGGTTCGGTCAGCTAAAATCGCCAAACGGGGCCCAGAACCGAGCCGTGCCCCGGGGCGTGGTGAACTCCGGGGGGGAATCGGCAAAAACCCACAATCGGGTCACCCATAACCCTCGGTCACCACGTTCCCGGCCTGGCCAGTCTCGACATGTGGATCTCCCCAGGCACTAGCCCCGACCCGAGCCAGTTGAGGACTAGGACCTGGGCACGAGCCCTTGATCAAGCCAAGACACAGAAGGACCGCGGCACAGACCATCCTCGTCTCATACACACAACAAATAGAATTGACATAGAAATTTCCTCTTTATTTGGTTGCAGATTAAATTAGTCTATACAAGAAGGGGGCCCGAAGGCCTCGGAAGAAGAAAGAAAAAGCTATTCAAGATTGGCGGGGGCCTGGGGGCTCACTCCGACGCGCCCGGGTCACCAGCCTTGTCGTCGTTATCGTCCGCACCACCGTCGCCGCCCTCCTCGTCGGAGTCGAGGGCGAACACGAGCCGAGGGGCCGTACCCTCGAAGCTGTGAACGATGTGGTCGGCGGCGTCCCGGACCTGCGCGCGTGCGCCGTCCTCGGTTCCGAAAGGGAACTCTTCCAGCGCTGCCCACGGGGAGAAGTCAGGGTCCGAGAGGCCCCCAAGCCGAACGGCGGCCCAAGGCCCCCGACGGCCGGAGTTGGCCCTCCGCCTGCTTGTCCGACGGTGTCAGGCGCCCCCGACCCTCAGGATAGCCTCGGGGCCACTGCGGGAAGGCCGCGCCTGTCGCCCTCTTACCCCGAGGATATCGGCGCAGAAGCCGAGGGCGCCCCGCGCTGCCTCTCGGATGAAGAGCGCCCTGGAGATGCGGCCCCTAGCGAAGAGGATCGGCCCCGCCGAAAGGTGCAGCGGCCCGTCTACTTTGTTAGTGAGGCCCTCCGGGACGCCAAAACCCGATACCCTCGGGCCCAGAAGATGCTATACGCTATTCTGATGGCTCCGAGAAAAGCACCATCACCATATCTCCAGGCGAAGCAAATCGGCTCGCCCAGATTCGTGCGCTGCTCAGGTAACGTGGCAGTCTTGAAGAGACCGCCCATTATGGACAGCCAAGTCACCATTACCAATGTGCATGGATTGAGACCGTTGGGTATTTTGCCCAACTACGGAGACCGGTCCCACCTGTCACAGGGTGGCGTCACACCTGACCGCTTCCCTTGGGAAGGGAAATTGCTCTGGCATAACGCCGGGGGCTACTGTCGGTGATATGGGACCGGGAGTATCATGACTAGAGGCTTGAGGCAGACACAATCGCCCACGTGGCCTGGCACCTTCGGGGACGTCGGGCCCGAGGGTGAGGTGTCCGCCCTCCTCCTGATTACCCCCGAGGGGGGGTCGGGTTGCGCTTGCCCCGGCCCCGAGGGCCGAGGCACCCCGACCCCCTTAAGGAAGTCTGCGCCACATATATGGGATAAGTGAGCACAGCTGTGCTCACCTAACAGCATTTATTGCAGTCTGGTCAAGCGTGTCACGCTGCATACAGCGCAGTACGGCGCGTTCCTTTATCCGGTCTGTGACCAGTCACAGACCGGTCAGATCACGGGTTAGGTGGCGACTGGCGGTCTGACGCACGCCTTACCCCATCCCGTCAAGGCAAGGTGTTACACAAGGAAGGGCAAACATGCATGTTGTTAAACTGACGCGTGGTGAACAAGAATGACCGGTCTGGCACTGGTCGCGTCAGCAACAGGCAGCCACGATCCCACGTTGCGCCTGTCTCCGCCGGGAGTGGAGGTAGGTGTGGGCTGTCCCATCGGAGTGTCATTCGGACAGCAACCATACCAATCTCCGTCCATAAAGAGAAGAAAAGTCCAGTTTGGAAAGGGGAGGGTGCATGTGGTATCCCCTTGAAGATAAAAAAGGAGGACCATGCCCACAAAGAGAAAGGGGGGGATTTGGATTTTCCCGGGAGAGGAGAGGGCTGGTTGATATTTTGTAACTTGCTCTTACACAGATCCACCAAAAACACAGGAGTAGGGTATTACGCTTCCCAGCGGCCCGAACCTGTATACATCGTCTGTGTCTCGCGTTTCTTCGGGGCACGCGATCTTTCCACATACAGAGAGAGCTTGAGATCTCACCCTAAGCCCCCGGCCGAACTGGCAAAGGGGGGCCTGCGCGGTCTCCCGGTGAGGAGCCACGAGCTCCGTCAGCGTTAAACATTTAGTAGGGGAGGAGGGAGTAGTACATATTCGGTTGCAGATTTGAAAATTTCTCAGTGCTCGATCGATTGGGGGTTTTGGGAATGGTTTGGATCTTCATGAATTTGTATTTAGGTGGTGCAAGTTTGGTGGTGCATTTGATTTTGCTGGGTTCTCTGTCCAAGACTCCGTGTCAAGATCGACGACAGCTACGGCCAGCAATCCCCAAAGAGATTGCTGGTCGGTGCCCGATATCGGCCCACCCGAAATTAAACATTTTTAATGGGCTGAGAGTGCAAAGTCCATGAAACCGTATAAAGCTATAAGCCTGGTGAGGAAAAACCAAATATTCTATGGGCTTGTTTGGGGGGAGTTTTTAGATTCTAAGAAGCAGCTGTTTGGTAGCCAGCTTCTGAGAATCTGGAAAAACTCTGTAACCCAGCTTCTTGCTTCTTAGTTTATTTTTCAGAATCTGTAACTACATATTCTCAGAAGCTGTGGACTGTTTGGGGCAGCTTATAGTAGAAGCAGCTGCTAGGAAAAGCTGCAGCTGGGACAAGCTCCCCCAAACTGGGCCTATGCTGTATTTGCCGTGTGTTTGTCGAACAGGTAACCATGCTTAATGCTGCATTATGTATTTCTCTTGTGTGCGTGTTGTAGATAAAAATAAAAACCACGGGAAAAAAAACACCTCTCTCCTCGGGTTTTCTTTTCCCAAAGGATATTGGCGGACATTAATCAGAATTTGCAAATTAAATCGAATCCATGATGGCTAGATGCTGGTGATCTTCGACAACTACAACCTTTGATATCAGGATGTTGAGCCGACTTGTGCGTGGCAGAAGGCTTTCTAGCAATTTTAAACTTCTAGTGCTTAAAGGTTGCATGTAGATTAGATGTTACAAAACTATGGAGTCGGCTTTAGTTATGATTAGGACTTTGATTCCGTGATCTCGTTGGTGGAAAACATCAAGCACCTCCTCTCTCCCTCAATTCTTTTAGTGTGTCACATGTACCCTTCACGGCAGTTGTGCTGATCTTTATGTAATTCTCCATGTACTCTTTCTATTCAGGTCTCCTGTGCTTGTATGACAAAAGTTTTCTCCTGCGTAAATCCGTTTGACATGATATATTCAAGTCAACATTTCACCCTCTGATGACCCTTATAAAAAACAGGTTCTCAAAAATGAAAAAAAAATCTATTGGTTCAAAAAGAGAAATATTGGGCTTGTTTGGTTCTTTACCCTACCAATTCATTGGTAGTGCCAAAATCTAGGCAAACTTTGGCACTACCAAAATATTGGTAGGGTAAAATTATTTAGCAATCATTTGGATTGTTACCAATATAAAGCCAAATTCTCATTGTATAAGGAAGAAACTTCTAGAATATGATTAAATAGGATTGGGGCACTATCAAATATTTGGCTCAATCCAAAATAACACATATATACTATTCAATTTGCCTATAATTTTTGGTATCAAACCAAAACGGCCGATTATTTGCACATTAGACCTTTTTAGTTGGCAGAAACCCATATAGGCCCTCCTGCTTATCAGGAAAGCCCAGGCCGCAGAAGATCCGGAGCTAGGGTTTTATCCCAAACGAGAGCCCACCTCGGCCCATATAAATTCTCCCATCCCCCCCAACCCCTCGCGACCTCTCCCGCCGCCGCCGCCGTCCTCCTCCACCTCCTCCGCTCTCTCGCGCACGGCGCACGCGCCCGAAGCCCTAGACCCCCCGGCGGCGAAGATGGCGGCGGAAGGCGGTGCCGCCGCTCGGGCGCTGTCCCAGCGGGAGCAGGACATCCAGATGATGCTCGCCGCGGACGTCCACCTCGGCACCAAGAACTGCGACTTCCAGATGGAGCGCTACGTCTACAAGCGCCGCACTGACGGTACCGATCTGAAACCCCCCCCCTCTGCCTGCATTATACTCAGATACTCTTGTGTACGATCGTCGGCTACCGGTAGATCTGTTCGTGTTGTTGATTTGATTTCGCGTGGAAAAAAAATGAACCAGCGATATATGGCTTTGTTATCTTGGATCTTGTACGCGCGTATGGTTATTGCTGTCTATTAGATAAACCGCGGGAGAGTGGTTATTGAGAATTATTGATGTGTTAAAATGCTGGTCTGCTTGATTTGATAATCTTACATGAGGTAGAAATTAATAAATGTTTGTTTGCTGAATCATATGAACATATAATTGTTTTGCAATGTTATTCCTTTGTTACCTTTTAGCGATTTAAGTTGATTTAGTTTATACTGGTAAGATAGCTGTAAGTGCTTCTCGAAAATGTGGGTGATTTGTTTGACCAAAGCATCTAGAATGTGGAATGGTAGAGTGTGATCTCGTAAGCGTGAGCCATGGAATCATGTTAAGGTTAAATTTCTTTGCTTTACAATTACTGCTCTCAATTGACTATGTTGTAAATTAGTTGGTCTTTCTATGCTGTTTTTCAGGTATCTACATTATTAACCTTGGCAAGACCTGGGAGAAGCTCCAGTTGGCTGCGAGGGTCATTGTTGCAATTGAAAACCCTCAGGACATCATTGTGCAGTCTGCGAGGCCCTATGGCCAGAGGGCTGTTCTCAAGTTTGCTCAGTACACTGGTGCTCACGCCATTGCTGGTAGGCACACTCCTGGTACATTTACCAACCAGCTGCAGACCTCATTCAGTGAGCCACGCCTTCTTATCCTGACTGACCCCAGGACTGATCATCAGGTAAGATTTCAGTATGTTTGATTGTTTCTTGGTAATTTGATCTGCCAATTGAGTGCACTCTCAAGCCTGCCTGTTGTAATGTGTACAGCCAATTAAGGAGTCTGCACTTGGAAACATTCCTACCATTGCCTTCTGTGACACTGACTCTCCAATGCGCTATGTTGATATTGGTATTCCTGCTAACAACAAGGGGAAGCAGAGCATTGGTTGCCTATTCTGGCTTCTTGCCAGGATGGTTCTCCAGATGCGTGGTACAATTCTCCCAGGACACAAGTGGGATGTCATGGTATACTCGCAATCTAAACTAGTATCATGCCTGTAATGTTTGGATTCTGAAATATAATCACTGATGTATGTTGTTTTTCCTTTTTGTAGGTTGATCTGTTCTTCTACAGGGACCCAGAGGAAGCGAAGGAGCAAGAGGAAGAAGAGGCGGCTCTGGTGGCTCCTGATTATGGTGCGGTTGCGGAATATGCTGCCCCAGCGGCTGATACCTGGGGTGGAGAATGGGGCACTGACGCTGCAGCTCAACCTGCTGCCATTCCAGCACAGGCTGGTGCTGACTGGACTGCTGCTCCAGGTCGAATTACTTAATACTCTGTTTACATGATCACATTCTAAATGCATGCATTCCATAGAAAGAAAACTACCTTGTAACCAAATGCAACGTGCTCTCGTTTGATGTTTTATCGGGTTCTTGCCTAACCCTTAAAGTTCTCACATGTTGATATTTATTCTCAATTGCAGCTCCTGCAGCCGGAGGATGGGACACGGCTGCTGCCCCTGCCCCTGGATGGGAACAAGGCAGTGCACCAGTCCCAGCGGCAGCACCCACCCCTAACTGGGGGGAGTGAGTGAAAGAGTAACTGATCCAGTTCATGGGTCAGAGGCTGAGTTTGTTGTCGGGAGCAGCTGGTAGACACTATTTAAGTAGCTTTAATCTTTTTACAGTACTGAGTTATTTAGATGCAAATCAAATTTTGTGTTCTTGACAATGCTGGGACTGCGAACTAGCCAGCCTTTTTTTTGTTACAATCTCATGGATAGCTTTATTTCAAGAGCAATTCTGCTTTGCGAACAAAGTGTATGTGTTTGCAACAACAAATTGATGGGGTTTTCTCCTCATAGTTCTTATTGTTCACTGTCAGATCAATGCTATGCTCTTTTCACTGTATTCTTGCCAAACACGCTACACGATTCCTGACGGGAGGCTGAGATCCGTATTCTGAGATAATTTACCTTTTGAGATTCAAAATGACAGATATTACCTCCTGTTGAAGAAATACCATAAGCATTGCTAAACTACCGATGGAAACTGATCGAAAATTTTTAAATTTGAAACAGTAAATTTGACCAAAAAAGTTGATTTGAGATTTGTCAACAATGATCTACCGCTCAATAGGAAGGGAAAGGTAACTACAGAGTTTTCGGCCAATTCTGCAGTTCTGTAGCATATGGTAATCTGCTAACCTTAAAGCTCAATTATTCACCATTTCATCAACCATGTTACTACCCGTTATCCATAAATCCAATTGCAATATACTGCATATACTAAAGTCTCTCACATTGAGACCTGAATATGATGTAACTGGACTGATCCGCGAAGCCACTTATAGTTATAGACCAAATAAGTAGACTTTGGATTACCCACTAATTTTACATATAAATAGATTCACGGGTCGGTCAAATTTTATTACCTATAAATCGGTTTACGGGTTGGCCCATAGCCCACTTGTATTTTTAGACCTGAAGCTGCATTGGCCAGATGAGAAATGATTCATCAGAGCAGGGACCTGATCCTGTCACCCTCGGTCATGACATGGCTGCGGGTGATCTCGCCGACGCTCCGGCAGCCGCAGAGCGCCATGGCCACCTCCAGCTCGCCGTTGAGCATCTCGATCACGTGCCTCGCGCCTGCCTCCCCCCTCGCCGCCAGCCCGAAGAACACCGGCCTCCCAACCTGCGCCCCCCCCCCCCCCCCCCCAACAAGTTTGAACAAGTTTTCGTTTGAAACGCAAGAAATTTTACATAAATTAGTAATTTGATTGGTTTGCTGGTTTGAATGATTGAAATGTGTTTCTGCCTTACCATGACCGCCCGTGCGCCGAGCGCCAGGGCCTTGAACACGTCAGTGCCTCGCCGGATTCCGCCGTCGACCAGCACCGGCACGGCGCCGGCCACCGCCCTGACCACCTCTTCCAGGGCGGCGATGGTCGCCGGCGCGTAGTCCAGCTGCCGCGCGCCGTGGTTGGAGACGATCACGCCGGCCACCCCGGCCTCCACTGCTCTCCTCGCTGCACGCCACCCATTTTCGTTTTCACCGGTCAGTTCTTGCTTAATGACAGTTTTTATTTCATAATTTTGCATTGTTATGAAAATAGATGCACAACGGAGATACGAATTTTACGTGGAAAACCCTTGCGGGAGAAAACCACGGGCGCCGACCGGCAATGATCACTATAGAAGAGTTGGATACAAACGCAGGGAATACATTGGGCTATCGCACCCTCCCTGTGCGGCTTATAAGGGATATATATAGGAGAAATCTAGGAGTCCTAATAGGAAACTAATCCTATAAAGTAGAGTCTATTACATAACTAATACGAATATACTATGAGCCCAAAATTCGGATCACATATATTTAACATGCATGACAGTGAATTATTCAGTGACCAAGATGATGGATGAACTGGAGTAATTACCGTCCTCAGCGGTGACGATGCCCTTGAGAAAGATCGGCATGCTGGTTATGGACTTGAGCCACTCTATATCCTGCAGAAAAATTTAGAAAGTTCAGTACACATAGCTTATTATCTGTCAGAAAATGTTTGGCAAGCAGAGTTAATTACTAGTCCTACTGGCTATCCATCCACAATGAAGTGGCTCCTCTCTTTCAGTTTCAGAATTCAGAGGACTTCAGTGCAGCTACCACCTAGCAAGAACACACATGGCAAGTACTGAAGAAATTTAAGGTCAGTGTCGTCATGCCGGGTTCCTGTCACCATTTCAGCATGTTACACTGCATGTTCTAGTGGCTGATTAGCACACTCTGTTTCCTATAGGATGGGCTTTGAATACGTCTAGTGTAGATGTACTATGAGATGGATGATTTTCTTCAGCAATGATGAGTTCATGCTGTTCTGAAGATGCTGGAAGTACCGGAAGAGCACATGGTGCAGAATCTGAAACTTCATTGCAGAATGTGGGTATGTATGATCAAAATATCAATTGTTGCTGTCCTTTGTTACCTTCCATGATAATGATGGATCCAGCGTCGCTCGTGCGAATCGTTCGAGCTGAGAACCGTTTGTCTGCGAAACCGAGAAGAGGATAGTGTGTTTAAGTGTTCTCGGAGGAAAGAAAGTTCATCTGAAAAAGGTTAGTTCTGTTCTTTTTATTCTCCATGAGCATTTAGTGACTGAGTAGTACCCAAAGGTACTGAATTCAAATCTCCTATGGAGCGAATTTCAGATTGGGTTGTTTGCGGGGCTAAGTTTCCTATCTCAATGGCCGTATATATCTGGTTGGATATAGAGGCCAGGTAGAAAATACCCTTCTCTAAAAAAAAATAAAAAAAAATGAGCATTTAGTTGTTTCAAGAAAATAACTGATTAATTGAGACATATATAAGAGATTCTATCAAGCGAAAAATTTCACTCACGGTATCATGGTCATCTGTTGTCATTAAACCTTCGAGATTACCACTCCGTGGGAAAACCATTCTGCGTGAACAATCGAAATTAGTAACCAGAATTTCGTACCATGATAACTGTACAATATCCTAAAATGCCATCAGTGAATATATTCACTTCTACTATCTTGCATTATGCATGCTTGCCAAGTTTTATCCTTCCAGAGGATATGTAATTGACTGAATCTTCAGAGCAATATTTGCTCAATGAAATCTTTGTTATATCTAAAAAATATATCTTCAGAACAATATTTGTGGTAGCATATTACTTGTTTCGGATATCTGCTTCACGCCGACCGAGCATAGGAGTGTCAACTGTCAAAAGAAGTGCCTTGAATCCACAACTCTCGGCCCGCCGTACTAATGTTGCTGAAACATTCCTATTCTTATACACCTACAATGATTATGACAAATTTCAGATAAATTATCAGGAGTAAAAGGAAAATATTTGGTTCAAAATGTGAATGCCATACATATAGCTGATAAAAGCGAATGGCATTGCAACTGGAGGCAACATCCTCAATCTTGCAACTGGAAGAAAAGGAAAGAACCTGTAAATGAGAAACATATGAAAATGTGTAGCAATTCATGGAGAAAGTGGAAGTGTTTGACCAAATGATCCTGAACAATGTCAATTGTTACCAACCATTATGGCGTTACATGATGCTGCAGCTCTTGCTGTAGCCTTCTCCCCTGAAATAAGCATTCAACCAAGAGAAATAGAGATACTGCAGTGCTTAGATAATTACATCACATAATTCACAATTTAAAAATTGAAAGAAGGTTTTAGTTTTAAGACCTTCTGGATGTGCTAATTTGTGCCCCCCAGTTGGAGCCACAATTATGGGTGAACGCATGGTGTATCCTAATAAAGTTGTTGACATGTCTATCTTGCTCACATCCACAAGAACGCGAGGTCGTAATCTGCAAAATCGACACCAATATAATTTATGGTCTAAGTACACTGTTGAATAATGAAGCTCTGGCTTAAGGTTTCAGTATAATGTGAAGTCCTAGTTCATCTTTGCATAATGAAGCTCTGACTTCATCACAAATAAAAAAGAATAAAAATAATAAAGTTATGGCCTAAGAATTCGGTATAAACAGTACATAATTCTTGTGTATGCTGCGATATTCTCCCTCAGTGTGTGCTCATCCTCTGCTCCCCCATTGATGTAATCATAAGCCATCTTTGGCAACGCTTTTTTGGCGAGTTCTTGATACTCCCGGACATTGACTGGTAGATTGTCCTCCATTTCTGCACTACAAAAATTCTTACAAAGTCATTGACATTTAACTGCTGGTAAATATTAATGTTCATTTCAGATCGAAAATCTGTCTTTAACCATACATCTTCAGAAATTCACACAAACCATCAAAACAATGCCAATTTTTCTGTGAGACTATAATGGCACGCCAGAATATGTCACTACAATACATATATTTTTTGAGTTGACACGCTTGTCGATTTTGAAGGTAGTAATCTAAAAATGTTTTACTGCGAAAAATACCATTACTTCATCACTCAAACTTGCCCTAGGATCAACTCAGACTGTTTGGCACACATCTCTTTCTACCATGAATACTAGATCTCCTACCCAATTAATAGATCAAGTTATTGGGAGACTGCATAGATGCAATCATGCAAAGGGGGGCAGGCAATGAAAAGCGGCAAACAGTAGATTTCTACTCCCAATCAGTGAGTACAGTTGAGAATAAAGTGGGGATAGCAAAGCAAAATTACCCCCACAATCAAACTACTAAATTCAATATTGATTCCCTGACCTGCATACCTCAATTGAAACTGATCCTGAACAATTGGCTTTTCAGAGTACTTCTTTGTTCAGGTCAGCTCACTGACAAGTCCGGCATGCTACTGCAAACTACTCCAATAGATACTAATGCTACAATCTCAAAATGAAGAGGGTTCTTGTAGATAATCCATATAAGGTTTCAATCCTCTAAAAGCATAGCTTGATTCTGCTTCGAATTAACGCTGAACAACTGCGATAATTAGGAAGGATAGACCGGTTTCTCCTCTGTCTTCAGGGTTACCAAGAACAGGATGCAAACCAAACTGGAACTCTGCATCATGATTGAAGGATATTTGGGATAGTTCATTTTGATCACTCGTAGTAAGTTACTACCAAACCAGTCATGTCCAAACTCCAAAGTGGAAGACTCAAAATCGGTCCTAATTGGAGCAGTAAGCGACCAAAATTGGCATCATAACCAAAAGAAAATGCCTCCTCTGAATTAAAAACCAAACCCCAAATCTGTCGAAACAGCTGATAAGGAAGAACTGATGAACAACAGCAAGCCTTTATTGCAATAAGTTGGGAGCATTCAAGATTCACAGTAGCATGATAATCTACCAAGTTTTCTTTTATCGAATTCAAGTTCGATTGGAAAAACAAAAGCAAAAACATTCCACATGTAAGAGTGAGACCATACCTCTAGAGATTTAGGGGAGGAAGGAGGAGGAGGAGGATAGCAATCAATGATATCAGAAACAGTACGAGTGAAGGAGAGGAAAGCTCAGTCCTCACTTCCTAACAACATTTAGGTGAGTGTGATGTCAGAAGCCAGATAGAGGACAAGAGATATTGGACATACTCCATGACATATCCATGATTCCAGGTCACAAAGTCAGAAACCAAATCAGAAATGATTGACATGTTTTTTTCACTCGCCTACTACAATAGTGATGACCCCATCTTGCAAATAATTGAGGGACCAGGTTCTTGATTAGAGAGATTGTTTTTTTTTATTCGCTTATTGAAAAATGAATCTCTCTTTTATTCGTCCTTTATTATGACTAAAAATTTTATAGTGAATTGATTCGTTTTAATATACTTGCTGATATTAGAATCACCTCTTGATCTTCTTGTGTGGAAGTTGCAAGACATCCACAGGTCAATTCAGCCACTTCGCTTTCGAAATTTGAGATCTTTTGCCAGGTCGGTCAAAAGATTGGACCTACCATTATTGAGAAAGGAGGTTACAAATTTTACATGATCGGCATTATGGGCCTGTTTAGTTGGTGAAATGAAAATTTTTGGATATCACATCGAACGTTTGACCGGATGTCGGAAGGGGTTTTCGGACACGAATGAAAAAACTAATTTCATAACTCGCCTGGAAACCGCGAGACGAATCTTTTAGGCCTAATTATGGCAGAGATCTTTTTCCATCTGAAAAAGTAGAGCTGAACCAATGGAGAAATGCAGAGACCTGAATGGCGAATTGGTGAATGGTGATCACTCGCATTGAAGGCGGCAACAGCAGCAGCAGCTGCAATTATCTGTGGAGATCGTGGGGGCACATGTGAGGTTGCTGGGACATTGCATGATGAGAGAATCATGGCTCATAATGTACTCCCTCCGTCTTAAAAAAAAAAAAAGGCAAACTCTTAGTTTTCGTGTCCAACTTTGACTGTCCGTCTTATATGAAATTTTTTTATAATTTGTATTTTCATTGTTGTTAGATGATAAAACATGATTAATATTTTAAGCGTGACTTGTCTTTTTAATTTTTTTCATAATTTTTTCAAATAAGACGGACGGTCAAACATTGGACACGGAAATCAGGGTTTGTTTTTTTTTTTTGACGGAGGGAGTAGTGCTTCAGCAATACGACCGGCAATACTGCCAAGTACCATTCTCTCAGAGAAAGAGACATCCTTTGTGCCCCGGGAAAGTGAAACACACATCATATGGTACTGGGTTATTCATTCGTCTGTGTTCTAGTGTACTACTACCTCTGCCAAATTTAATTCAACTTAAATGCTGTTTGAAAACATGATTTTTTTTTAAGGTTCTAAGGCCCTGTTTAGTTCGTGTGACGAAAAATTTCGGCATGTCACATCGGATATACGGGTACACATTTGAAGTATTAAATATAGTCTAATAACAAAACAAATTATAGATTCCGCCTGTAAACTGTGAGACAAATTTATTAAGCCTAATTAATCCATCATTAGCAAATGTTTACTGTTGCACCACATTGTCAAATCATGGCACAATTAGGTTTAAAAGATTTGTCTTGCAATTTACACGCAATCTGTGTAATTAGTTTTTATTTTTGTCTATATTTAATACTACATGCATGTGTCCAAACATTCGATGTGACATGTTGAAAAGTTTCTGTTTGGGAACTAAACAGGCCTAAAGTGGCACATATGAGACCTCATGTTTTATTAGGAGTGACTGCTACTGAGCTACGTAGCTACGTGTCTCTCTTTTGCAGGTTATTTCCATTATTATTCACTAGCTTTGTACCTGGGTTATTCTTTAGAAGTTGGGATCACGGGATTTTTTTTTTGGCATGCCAACCGGTGGTGTCGGTGGTCAGAGTGTTTTACCAAGAGCATGGGTAACGATTTAGTATTCGGATTGATGGTTCTTAACACTTCCTATAGTTTCTTCTGTTTTGAGGAAACCTAGCGTGCCTATGCTTTTTTTTTTCTGTGTATCTTGGTTATGCAGAGGCTGAAAGTATTCTTAGCTAGTTGTATACTTTAATATAATTGGCTTAGTTGAATCAAAGTTTCCAATCTCCCATTATCTTTAAAAAGGACACGACTACCCACTGCCGGATCCCCCCACCATTGACCTTCTTCCTCCTAACCATAGGGTCCGGTCTACCCCCTCGCCAATGTTGGCCGACCACCCTCCTTCATCCCAGCGGCTCTGGCCCGGTGGGGTGGGGAGGGCATGGGGGGAGGTGGTACGTGAGGAATTGCGTATTCTAGGTGTGTTTAAGCGTGTGTGTGAGAGAGAGAGAGTGAGTGAATATGCGTAACAATTCTTGGAAGAAGGTGAACAGTGTTAATTGTTAGTACCAATCATTATGGCATTACACGATGTTGCGGCTCTAGAAATATTGCTTTAGCTGTAGCCTTCTCCCCTGAAATAAGAATTTAACCAAGAGATAATAGAGATATTGTAGTGCTTACAACTTAAATCTCATAATCACCAATTTGACATCCTTAAGAAGATACTTCTCATTACTTACACTGAAAAAAATTGTGGTACCTCTAAAAAACCATAAAATCACTCTAATTTCAAACTTGAAAGAAGGTTTAGTTTTAAGACATTCTGGATGTGCTAATTTGTGGCTCCACATTGGAGCGACAATTATGGGTGAAGGCATGTTGTATCCCAGTAAGATTGTTGACATGTCTACCTTGCTGACATCCACAAGAACGTGAGGTCATAAACTGCAAAATCGACATCGAGGATATTTCAAGTCATATATAGTTCATCATTGAGCAATGAATCCCTGACTTAAGGATTCGGTATAACCAGTAGTACCTTATTCTTCCATATAATGCAATATTCTCCCTCAGGCCTTGTTCGTTTCATCCCCATGAAGGAGGGAATTCTCCTCCAATCCCCCTCAATCCCCTTCTTGGTAGGATTAATCGAACAAGTTCTTAGGGTGTGCTCATCCTCTGCTCCACTATTGATGTAATCGTAAATCACCTTTGGCAGTGCTTTCTTGGCGATTTCGTGATGCTCATAGATATTGAGTGGTAGATTGTCCTCCATTTCTGCCACACATGAATTGTTACAAAGTCATTGATATTTGGCTGTTGCCAAATTTCTGTGTTTATTTCAGCAAATATGTATTCGAGAAATTTTGCCATCCTTAAGAAAGTATCTCGAGGTACCTAAATTTTACACTAATTTTTTTATCTCAAGGTACATAGTACCTGGAGGTACCGAATTATACACTAGAAAATATGCTATCTCCCGGTTCCTTCTCAAAGATGATAAAAATTACCTATGTATTTAACCATTATTCTTTAGAAATTCAAGCTGTTAGAACTCTGCATAGATGGAGAAGAGGACAGACAATTGAAAGTAGCAAACAGTATATTTGTACTCTCAATCAGTGAGTACAGTTGGGAATAAAGTACAGAGTGCAAAGCAAAAATCACCCGACAATCAAACTATTCAATTCAATATTTAGTCCCTGACCTGCATACCTCAACTGAAACTCATCCTGAACAATTGGCTCTTTAGCAATGTTTCTTTCTTCAGACCAGCTCACTAAAACAAGTCAAGCATGCTACTTGCGCACTAATAGAGATACTAGTAACATTATACTCCCTTTTGTTTCTTTTTTATCACGTTGTTAGTTCAAAAAACGTCAAACATAGGATAAAAAAAGTCAAACATTTCAGAACGGAGGGAGTAACATCAAATAAATAGAGTTCATTTACATAAGTTGGGATAATCTAAAAAAAAGAGGAAATAAACAATACTTCATCTGTTTCACAATGTAAGTCATTCTAGTATTTTCCACATTCATATTGATGTTAATGAATCTATCTAGATTCATTAACATCAATATGAATGTGAGAAATGCTAGAATGACTTATATTATGAAATGGAGGAAGTAGCTTAATTCTGGTTCAAATTAAGCCTGAACAAACTGAGACAATTAGGAAGGATGGACACCTTCTCACAGTAGCATTATCAGCTACCAAGTTAGTTCCCACAGAAATCAAGATGAAAGGCAAGATATTTCACATGTAATTAGAGTGAATTGAAGAAGGATCATGAGCAGCACTATACCTCTAGAGATTCAGGAGATGAAGGAGGAGGAACCAGATAGCTCAATCCTCACTCCTTATCAACATATTAAAGTGAAGGAGATGTCGCAAGCTAGGTAATACTAGAGATAAGTAGACAAGAGGTATTGGACATATCCTTGATTCCATATCAGAAATCACGTGCATGTTTCACCCACCTACCGGCTACAACAGGATTGCGACTAGATTTTCCATGGTGATCTCTCCTTTTCTTTAGGGGGGTGGGGGGGTGGGCATGATCATGGCAAAATTTATTGTGAATTACTCTATCCGTATTTTAATATATGACGCCGTTGACTTTTCGACCAACGTTTGATCATTTGTTTTATTCAAATTTTTTGTACAAATGTGAAAATATTTATGTCATGCTTAAAGAACATTTGATAACGAATCAAGTCACAATAAAATAAATGATAATTACATACATTTTTTTAATAAGACGAATGATCAAACGTTGGACAAAAAGTCAACGGCGTCATGCATTAAAATATGGAGATAGTAAATCGTTTAAACATATTTGTTACTGTAGTATATGTGGAAGTTGCAAGACATATCCAAAGGTCAATTTTTGGCCACTTCGCTTTCGAAATTTGAGAACTTTTGTTCTCTGAAAAGTAGAACTTTGCTCGAACAAAAGTTCTCAAATTTCGAACTGAAACCAATGGATAAAAATGCAACTGCGGCAGCAGCAGCAGCATCATTTGCATTACATGTGATGTGAGGTTTGCTGGGACATTGCATCATCAAGAGAATCATTGGATTTATGGTGAAGCTGCATAGATGCAGTTTTGTACCCCTCTCTCAGAGAAAGGCACAGCCTTTTTGTGCCCTGGAAAACACACATCTTGGTACTGGTTTTATTCATTCATTCATCCGTGTTTTACTAGTACCTCTGCCAAATTTAATTCAACTTAATGCTGTTTGAAAACATGCTGTGTGTAACTCCATTAATCTTGGGTTTTAAAGTGGCACACTGATTGTCTGACATAGTGGCAGCACTAGTAGCTCCATTAATCTTGGGCAACATATCCGTGTGGTTTAGTCCTTTTGTACTGACCAAATTATAGACTGCAAATGTTCATCTAAATCATGAAAGTTAGAAGGAAAAAAAAAAGAATCACCCTCATCTTTGTTATATTCAGGTTCAAGTTCTAACTTATAGGTTCTGTTACCTTTTTCTAAAAAAGAGGGCTTTAAAATATATTAGGATGTTGATTTTTGTGCATGATATTTAAGTTTTTGTTTTATTTTAAAATTACTACAAATATACAAAATATAAGTCATGATTAAAAGTCAGAATAAAATATATGACACATATAGTGTTTTTAATAAGATGGATAATGAAACGCTATGTTTAAAAGTCAACGACATCGTCCATTTGTAGCATTAGGTCGGAAAGTGCTGATATTTAGTGAGATTTTAGGGTAGGATACAGGGAGAGCTGAAAAGTCACGGCTGTATTAGGAATGCGATGCACTGCTGCATTTGGTGGATGCAGCAGAATTTGCAGAGGTAATGTTTTCGCCGAAGAGGACGAGTACTGTAGAACAGCAGCTACCCCATAGTTTTGCTACATACTCTGGCCCACATCCATCGCATTTGATACACTGTTTCGTAGTAATCCAGCATGTCAGAAATCCATGCGAGATTTCCGTAGTACAATAGTACTCCCTTTATCCCAAATATAAAAATCTAGTGCCGTATCTAAGCTCCGTTGAAATTCATAATAATAATAGGATACGTCATTTCGGTACTAGGTTATTAATAGGATTGTGGCAGCATAATTGTTTGAAGATGACTTTCATGGGACCGACAAAATTTGCAGGTTTTTATTTTCTCTTGTCTATATGTAGAAAAGACAAGTTTATGTTTTTAGTCGGCAGAACTCAATTAGCACTTAAAGATTTTCTAGCTTTGACACAAATCATGGTAGGCACGGATTCGATTACTGCCTCTATCCTAAAAAGAGAGAATACTTATACATAACTAAGCTAGCTGATTATATATATATATATATATATATATATATATATATATATATATATATATTAAATTTGTTTGGTGCTCCATGGTGTCTAGGCTCCATGGTTCAAATTGAGTATATACTCAATTTAAAAGAGTATGAAATTTTTTAAAATGTTTAGGTATTAACATTAACTACTTTACTAACAAGTTTGAACTGAATTTGAACTTGTTTTTGCTAGATTTTGATATATATATATATATATATATATATATATATATATATATATATATATATATATATATATATATAAGTGGTCCAAATTAATTTTACTATCAGCAGGGATCATTGTAAACCACGTCGTCACTGTCACTTTGAAGTATCAATAGTCTTCAAATGCAAACAAGCCCAGCATTTGGATATTTTCTGTACTGCAACAACTGAAAAGAGGCATGAGGTATTTTGGTGTCCAAAGTCCAAACTACTCCAATATGATTTCACAATTTATGCTATTTTTCCCTCTTTGCAATTATTCTTTTTGTACGTACTATGTATCGTAGTCCTCAGCATATCAACGTCTCTATCAATTATTCAATGCATGATATCGTATGATTCGTTGTATTAAGTAGCAGTGTACCAAAGAAAACAGTCTCGGCATGTCACTCTCTTCTTCTGGATGGAGAAATTGAGGATTTCTTTATATCATCTAAATTGCTATGATTATTTTTTTAAAAAAAATAACAAAATATATTAATATATGATATATCACTCCATAAACATCCAACAGTAGGTATTGCCGAATTAATTTGAGATGTACAAAAATTCCTGGTTTTCGCAGGATGCAAAAGCAATCTAACAAACTATCTTTGAAAATCGGAGCAAACAAATGCATTTAATCTCTTTGCAAGTACATTAACGAATACTGCACATGATCAGCCATTTAACAACTAACAACTGCACTGTATCAGCCATTTACACGAATTGACCTTTGGTGAAAACAACATGATTGTACTTAGCCTAATACATGTGAACTACTAGCAGCCTAGCACAGTAAGTAACGGCCCTTCTGTTGGTCATTGACTCATTGGAAAGCTAATGATTCTGCAGCAGAAAGGCATCGCAGAATAACTGAAAAAAAATTGTATATCATTGGTTCAGTACCGGGACTACTAAGGGACAAGTTTTATAACAGGGATAGTTGCCATATCTAATTTTATCCATGTAGCATAAGAGGTGATATATATTACTTGCCCTAACACCTCACAGCTTAGCCAAGCTGTATTCTTATCCCAAGTTTCTCAACTCATCTCTCTCGTTTTCTGCGCGCACGCTTTTCAAACTACTAAACGGTGTGTTTTTTATAAAAAAGTTTATATATGAAAGTTGCTTAAAAAATCATATTTATCTATTTTTGAAAAAATAATTAGCTAATACTTAATTAATTACGCGTTAATATACCGTTTCGTTTTCCGTGCATACTGTTTCGGTTAGGAATACGATGAAGCGAACACAGAGAGTGTAATTCTCTTCTGAAAATACACACAAACAGATTCAGAGATGCAGAGTGAGAGCAGCTTGTCAGTTTCAGACGGGTCATGAACAAAATCCCTTTGCATTTACACATCACCAGCGCCCAAACCCACTGAAATCTACCTCATCGGATAGATTTCGCCATTGATGCCGAACCATTGGTAAGCCTGTTGATTTTGGATGAAACTATGAGACTCTCCCACGCAAGTTGAACGGTGGTAGATTTTAAAAATAGAACTAGATTCGATATATACGACACTTAGTTCTGTTCCAGTATGCACAATTGTATCTTTTTTTACTCCATCGATTTTTAGAACAGAAATAAATCTTATATACAACTCATATCTTCTGTTTTTACATATACAACTGTATTTTGTATACAACAATATCGAACAATCCGCATCGCTAATCTAGACCCACAATTTAAAGGTCCAAATCATTTTCTTTTCATTTAATTAAGGTGAGAATTTCTAACCTCTCTAAGATGAACGTGTTGGTTTCTTTTTCGAGATACTTTAATAGGCAGACAGATACAACAACGGAGACAGCTCCCGGGCTCCGTCGTTATCGTCTCTATTGTCGTTAGCCGTTGACATGTACTCCCTCCGTCCTAAATTATAGGGCACCATCTTTTTAAGGAAAATTAAACTTGATATTTTTTTACTAATAATCATAGTAACAATATATGTAATAAGTATTATGCATGTTATATCATTAGATTTATATTTTAAAGCATTTTCATGTGATGTTAATTTCATATTTGTTGATAAAATAACATAGGGTCTGTTTAGCTGCCTTGTACAGCGCTGTTTCACAGCCATATTACAGCTTGTTGCTGCAGCAAGTGAACTAGGTGCAGGATGCAGGGCAGCGCTATACACGATAGCCGAACGCGCCCATAGAATAAATTAATGGTCAAAGTATATTATTTAAGATCGTAGAAAAAAATATAGACCTTATAATTTAGGACAGAGAGAGTATAAAAATTAGTCAGCTACCGAAAAATACTACTAGTCATCCGGGCTTCACGACGGTGCTGGCTCCGCCGCTGGATAGAGAGATAGGATATTGACCTTGTGCAACCATGAATCACTAACGAAGACGTACGCATCCATGGCTTGGGCCTCCAGCATCCAGCTCGGCCATGACCGTGATGAGCTCTAAATCCTGCGTGATCCCGTGGCCCAAAATTTCTTTGTCAGGATCGATTCGAGACTCGAGCCGTGCCAACGATCAACTGATCGTAATTTGGCATCGGATTTCAGAACCAGCAGCAGACACACACCCCCACATCGGAGCTTAATAAAATCACAAGGAGACAAAACGCACACATGGCCGAACCCAACCATTTTAGCCCACTGAATTGTGTGTATGTGTGTGCTCATACACTCATCATCTTGTTTGTCTTTCAGTTCATAAGTTTCAGCAACCGATGGCAACAAAATTGCTTTGCCAATAGAAAAAAAAAGGGGGTATAATCCCAGGAGGCCAGGACCACCTAAATCCCTCTCCATTATTTTAGACCCTTTAGGGGAGATTGTTTTCAAGCACTCTATAATAAGTTTTAATAATTGATTTCCAAGAGAAATTTGTGTGTTTGAATAAACCTTTTGCCAAACGTCGCCCGTTGCATACCAATATTACTATTATCATACCATGATATTATTCAATGGTAGGGTTATCCCGGGCCAGAATATAAACATCTTAAAAATAAATCACACATAAATTCGTTTTATTTTTTTTTTACCAAAACATGTTGTAAAAGTAAAACTTCTTAAAAATACTAGAGTTATGAAGTATAATTAAAACTGAAATTTCAGTAGGAAACATAAAGACTCTCTTACAAATAATGCAGTCACCTTAAACCCTTTGATTTTTTTTTTCTTAAAAAAGGTAAAAAAGAAAGGTAGTACTCCATCCGTCCCATTTTAACTGCAGCCATGGTTTTCCGCATCCAACTTTGATCATCCATCTTATTTAAATCTTTTTTTTAAAAAAAATAAAAACCATAAGTCACGTGTAAAGTACTTTTCATGTTTTATCATCTTAAAAAAACAAAAATACTAATTATAAAAAAATTTAAATAAGATGAACGATCAAAATTGTGCGCGAAAACTTATGGAGTATTAGAAAAAAAAAGAAAGAAAAAAAGACAAAAGAAAATCTCTGTTTTTTTTCTCCTCCTCCTATATTAAACTCCCCAACCCTCTCTCCCCCTCCTCCTCCACACTCCACTCCTCGCCTTCCACTCTCCACACCTCGCCTCGCGTCGAGCACCTGGCAATGGCGGCTCACGCGCCCTCGATGCGCCCCACCCACGCCCTCTCCTCGTGAGATCGCCTGCTGCGCTCTCTCCCCGCGCGCGCGCGCGCCTCCCTCCCTGTTTGTTGAATCCAAGAGCGAGCCCGACCGCATCTTGGACCCTCCCCTCCCCGCGGTTCTTGGACGACGCCGGTGCGCGCGGTGGCTCTGCTGTCCCCGCGCCGCACCGCGCCGAATCCGAGCAGAACGCGCGCGCGTCGGCGGGGGGATCTGCAATGGCGGCCGTGGCGGTGCCCCCGCTCTCCGCGTGGCTCGTCGCCGCGCGCTCCTCGACGCAGGCGGAATGCGGCGGCGCCGACGAGCACCACCACCACCACCATCAGCAGCAGCACCAGTGCTGCGTCGGCGGCGGGTCCAGCACGGTGATGTTCGGCCCGCGCCGCCGCCGCTTCCTCGGCGGCGGCGCGCGGCGGCGCGGCGCGGCGCGCTCTGGTGAGACAACGCACGCACGCGCGCCGCCCCCCCCCCCCCCTCATTTGCCTCTGCATTTGTGTCCTGTTTGATTCCGTTGGATCATCGCGGCGACCGTACGTGCGAATCGCGGCGCAATTCGCGAGCCTCGGTTGTATCGCCCTGGGGGGTAAAGACGTGATTTTTATCCCCTCCGGGTTTTGGCGTCACATTGTGCGTGTGCATGTGCAAAGAAGTGGAGATGTGGGGAATTATTCTCTGGCTTATGCCAAAGGATCTTGGTCTAGTTGCGAGTGATAGTTTTTTTTTTTTTTTTTTTTTAATATCCGTTTGGGGTTTTGGTTATCTCGTCGCCAGGTTCCCTTCTGCTTCATGGGATGCATACATTTCTGCTGAATTAGTCTGTTCCTCATCGCTTTCGTTTAGCTTAGTTGTCCTTGGATTGTTTTTACTCCATCTCTTGATAGCACAGAGGTTTGACCGGATGATTGAGACAGAATTAGCTTGGATTAGTATGGAGTACAAGGTGACTTGTTTAAGTTAATGGTGTGAAAGACTCCAAATAGGTTGAAAAAAAAATATTTGAGTAGGAAACACAGCTTTAAACTTGAATTGCCAATGTTGCATTCCGGTTTAAATTTTAATGCATGTTTCTTGAATCACCAAAAGGCATTAAACTTTGTAGTTTTTTGAACGAATTGTTTTATATAGTGATGGGCTGATGGGCAATTGCAAGTTGGTGCTTGAGAAAACGTCTAGCTAATGTGCATGTTTGTGGAGACTGTCACTGCTTGTTTGTTTCGTCTGCTGCTGGTTTATGATATGTGCTGACTCAAGCAGACAATGAGACAAGGGTCTAAAGGAAATTCATTGCCATTTGCAGGAATGGCCATGGCTGTTGCCCTGCAGCCTGAAAGGAGAACTGTTGAAAAGAAACCTGATGTTAAACAAAGAAGGGTGGTTATCACTGGCATGGGTGTAGTAACACCGTTGGGCCATGATCCTGATGTGTTTTACAACAACCTTCTGGATGGTGTTAGTGGAATAAGCGAGATAGAAAGGTTCGACTGCTCCACGTTTCCGACGGTAATACAGATGGTTTTCTTCCTGTCATGGATATGGGGGCATGAATATTTTCATGCAGCAGTTGACATGTTGAACTCTTCTACAGAGAATTGCAGGAGAGATAAAATCCTTTTCTACTGATGGTTGGGTTGCTCCTAAGCTAGCTAGGCGAATGGACAAGTTCATGCTATATTTGATAACTGCTGGAAAGAAGGCGTTGGAACATGGTGGTCTCACTGAAGAACTCAGGAATGAATTGGATAAAACCAGATGCGGTGTTCTCATTGGTTCTGCAATGGGTGGCATGAAGGTTTAGTTTCTTGTACTAATATTAGTTTTATTCCTAAACAAATTTTCACATTTGATAAAAAAAACATGTTTTCCTCAATTTCACACATTTAAGATGCAACATTGAGCAGGTTTTTAATGATGCGATTGAAGCATTGAGGGTCTCCTACAAGAAAATGAACCCATTTTGTGTCCCTTTTGCAACTACAAATATGGGCTCTGCAATACTTGCAATGGATCTGGTGTGATATTTTTTTGCGTAAAGTTTTTAAGTGGTTAACAATGACTATGGTTCTTGATGTCTCATATTTCATTGTTTCATAGGGCTGGATGGGGCCGAACTATTCTATTTCCACCGCGTGTGCTACCAGTAATTTCTGTATCCTCAATGCAGCAAACCATATCAGAAGAGGGGAAGCTGTAAGTAATTTTGTATTTTCACGATCTCTTCTACAAGTGAGCAAAAATCTTGTTTGACCTTGTTTCTAATCTTACAGGATGTTATGCTCTGTGGTGGTTCTGATGCACCACTCATCCCAATTGGTATGGGTCCTGATCATTGTTGAAAGTAGCTACCATTATTTTCAATTCCCACTGTTGTTCTTTCTCCTCTAGTCTTCCACGGCTTATCAATCGTTGCTGTTTGAAATGTTTAATAAACTATTGCATGCAGGATTAGGAGGTTTTGTGGCTTGCAGAGCACTTTCACAGAGAAACAGTGACCCAACTAAAGCTTCCCGGCCATGGGATGTGGTTAGTATATTTTGATGTGCATATTTTGGTCTTGTCATTGTAGCTAATAATTTACTTCACAAGCATGCAAAAAGCTCATTTACTGCAAGTGACAAGTTTCTTGGCCAAATGGCAATGATTTATTACCTGTTTTTTCTATTGTCATTCAACACATCCCAACATAACAGCAGCTTGTAGACATATAACTGTTTGAGAAAGTGATCTTACTGATTTTGGTGCATGCAATGTGTTGCAGGACCGTGACGGTTTTGTTATGGGGGAAGGGGCAGGTGTTCTTGTGTTGGAAGAACTTGAACACGCCAAGGTTTGTTACATGCAATCACCTTTCTCCCTTTTCATATAGATCTATTTGAGCCCCTTTTCCCCAGTTAAGTGCCTTGTAGTTATGTTCAAACAGTAAGGTTTTCTGATATGGATGCACCATTCTGCAGCAAAGAGGTGCAAAAATATATGCTGAATTTCTAGGTGGAAGCTTCACGTGTGATGCATACCACATGACTGAGCCACATCCTGAAGGTTAAATGTGCATCTGGCTTTGTTGCTGTTATCCTCTTACTGACCTAAATCTAATACCTTCTGATGCCAATCTGATCATGAATAAATATCAGGAAGAGGGATTATTCTTTGTATAGAAAAGGCACTGGCTGATTCAGGAGTAGCAAGGGAAGAAATCAACTATGTCAATGCTCACGCAACGTCTACACAGTCAGGTGATTTGAAGGAGTATGAAGCTATTGTCCGCTGCTTTGGCCAGAACCCTCAGGTATACGTGCTATCATAATGGTTGTAGTGATTTTATGAATTAAACCAAGTAAAAAAAATGGTGTGCGTGCAGCTAAGGGTGAACTCAACAAAATCAATGACTGGACATCTAATAGGTGCAGCTGGTGGAATAGAAGCTGTTGCTGCTATTCAAGTAAGGAAGTTCATTCCCTATCACAGTTTTTATGCTCAAAATAAATTATCACTGGTATTTAAAATTTTATCTTCTGGCCTTTGTCTATTCCTTGTTGATTTTCCTGAATTTTTCCCTATGAACACTATATATTTCAAAATGTTGATCTGGACTGTATAGTCCTTTCTAGAGCAGTTGGCTATAGCAGTAAGGAAAAAAGCTTTTCATTTGGCTAATTGATATACATCTGATATAATTTGTACAAAATGGGAGCACATGTAAGTGTATGACCAGTGTCAACCAGCCTTTGCATGGCCAGTTCGTATATCGCAGTACCATTGATCAATCACTGAGAAATATGTGATAGTTTATTTGGAGTTCTGTATGAGATACCAATTTCCAAATTAGGGACTGTCAAAAGAAAAGCATCAAGCAACATAAAGAACCATTGAACAATATCTCAAGGCTAATATAGAATTGTACTGAATGTATAATATGTCCCATATATCGGCATGTCCTTAAACAGCTGCATTTCTGGAAATTTTATCACTTTTAAGCACGAAACCCAAATATTTTCATCTAGTTGAGTGTTTGTAAAAAAAGGGGGTTCTGCATGAATTCAGTACTGACCAACTCCAGTACTGTTGTAAGTCATGATTCCGTGCACTTAGTGAACTTCTATAAAGCTCAACTGCAAATCTTCTACCGTTTTGGTGCTCTGGATTGTTGCACAAGCAGGTGGTGCATCTAAAGTTAGCATTATCCACCATCTCTCTTTGTTTTTGTTTTTTTTTTCGAAAAAAAGGTGCTTGGTGTAGCACTTTAAAACTGTCTGCCTAGTTGGTACTGTATTATGGATAAAACTACTCCAAAATGTACATTCTTTTATTGGTTCCTTTTGGTAAGGTCTGCTTGGATTTCATATTCATATAGTCAATGATTTGTCTTTCAATTTCATATTGCACTTCAGTTAGGATGCTTTGAATTCAGCGAGCGTGAATTCCAATGCCTTTGCATAGGATTTATCATATTTTTCAATGTGAATATATTGGACTCTGCATGGTTATGTTCCTCATTGTTTGGTACTGTTGCTTGCAGGCTATAAGAACTGGCTGGGTCCATCCGAATCTGAATTTGGAGAACCCAGAGAAAATAGTGGTAAGCTCTTTGCTTGCAAACTACATACTTCAACTGTAGATACACCCTTTTGGGCATTTTTAGGGAAAAATGTCATAATAGAATCTGGTATGCCTCGTTGAGAATATTAATGAGAGATTTAGTATACTTCCTGCCAAACATCTCGCTGCTACTAAGCTAGATATGAAATTACAAGTTTGAAGAAAAATATAGAAGTGACTTGAATTGCCCACAACGTCAGTTAGAGCTGATCTCACTCAATGAATGTTCTAATTTTCAATCGCGACACAGGATGTGGGCGTGCTGGTCGGGTCGCAGAAGGAGAGATGCAAAGTGAATGTGGCACTGTCAAACTCATTTGGATTTGGTGGGCACAACTCATCAATTCTGTTTGCACCCTTCAAGTGAACTCGGCCTACGATTATCGCTTGCTCCCTCAAATTTCCAACCGCGCCATGGTACCGGAACCGCGTATAGAAAACTAGCAAGCAAGTGAATTCATGGCTTACACATGCTATGAATAATTGAACATGAAGGTCCAAGCTAAGAAGAGCATTGTGCCATACAACAACAGAGTGAAGAAAGTAAGAAACCATAGAGGCCATGTCCATGGCATGACCACTCCTAAGTTTCATTTTGTATCACCATCGCAAATACATCCCTGGAAAAGTCCTGGATTTCCTTTTTCTCAAGTGAAGAAGAATATGATGTAGCCTATGGCCTATGTTATTACTTTGTTTATCTCATCTAGGAGGACTTTGTGTATCCTACCTGGGCCGGTAATTTTTTTTTCTTTTTTCGCCTCACCTCAGAACCCTTCTCTAGATTTGGCATAGTTGATGAGAGTGAGGATGCTTTGCAGTACAGAGGTGCTGTCATTTGATGTTGTATTGATGATGTTTATTAGTAACTTTGGCTACTCATATTAGCCGTGAAAAAAAAATGATGGTTTCTTGTAAGCTGTGAAATACTGTTTTTTTTTTCTGAATACAACAGTTGTAAGCTGTGAAATGCTACTTCGGAGGATGTATTTACAGTCACGTGAGATCGAGAAGAAACATGTTTAGAAACTCTTCTTTTTTTAGCTTATGGACAGATGCTTATTTGCTTGTGTAAAGTCACGTGAGAACGAGCCGAAACATGCTTATAGTCGAGGTGTTGCATTTTAAACCTCGATTGGAATGGAGGAATTTTACAAGAACTTTAAAGAAAAATAAACCAATCCATCTAAAATTCCATAAAATTCCTACGTTCTAAAGGAGGCCAATGGCAATGTGATCTAGGGACATTTAACTATTTACCACCGATGTACCAATGACATGTGAGCCCTCATATATCAATGACATGTAGGCCCAGATGATAAATCATTAATTGTCACATCTAAATATGACAAATAGTTAATTTTTCCGGTCACGGAATACATACAGCTACACAGCTGAGGAAGACCTTGAGAACATACACCAAGATCAAGGTTTGGACTTTACACCACCAAGGCCCAGCTCTGTTTAGAACGCATGAAATCTATCTATCTATCTATTATCTATCTTCTATTATATACTAAAAGTCCATTAAACTTCCTACAAACGCTCCTACGACGCCACATGGCGTTCTAATAAATTAGAAAAAATACTAGAAATTCTATAAAAAAAGCAAAATATCTAGCCATTGATTTTCATTAAAATTAGTGGGCCCATTACTCCAAGCCGTTAGATTAGATTGGTTTATTCTCTTACTTTCTAAAAAAACAAAGAAGGAATCCTGCCGTGCGTCATGTATGAGTACCTCCTCTCCGTTTCTTTTCCTCCCCCTCCTCTCTTTACTATGTTCTGCAACAATAAATATTGAATAAGTATACTTCTAAATTACATATTATTTATATAAATAAGTAAATTACATATTATTTGGACCAATAACGATCCTAGGCCGCCACGTGGCGTTCTAGCAAATTAGAGAAAATCCTAAATCTATCTATCTATTATTTATATACTAAAAGTTCATTAAACTTTCTACGAACGCTCTCAAGCTGCCACGTGAGACTCCTATATATAAACGCTCCTACGTCGCCACATGGCGCTCTAATAATTTAAATAATATTCTGAGAAAAAGAAAAATATCTGACCGTAAGTTTTCATTTAAAGTGGTGGACCCAATAATATTAACCGTTGGATCAAAACTAAATCTTTCTCACCTTTTCTCTCCGGACCCATAAGTACGTACGTACATACTTATGCTTCTGTTAGCTCGATGCCATCCATATCTGGATTCTCCCTCTCTCCTTTTTTTTTCCTAATTACACAATACATGTGCATCATAATTTGTTATCATTTTCATGGAGACTGATCTGCCTCGGCGAGCTCGATTGATGCCATCCAGATCCTAATTCTCCTTTTTTTCTTCTTTTTTCCAAATTACATGATACATGTACATCATAATTTATTATCATAAATTATTAGATCAGTTTTTTCATAGAGAGTAATCTGAGTGTGAATGCGCAAACGCTAGGAATTTACAATAGAAGTGATCTGGTGTTGTAAATAAACAATTATTTTTATAGACGATCTACGCATACACTTTAGCAGCTGTAGGTTTTTTTAATTAAATCACCAATTCCAGAGCTATATTAGCTATATTTTTACTACAATATCATATTTTATCTTATGTGCCATTTCTACCAACTCTTGTAGGCCACCATGTGACTTTGTCTAATCTCATCATTAATTTTTATTTAAATTGGTAGGACTGTTATCTTAGAGCAAGTACAATAGCAAGCTATTAGCCAGCTACAAGCATATTTTAATGAGATAAACGATGAGAGAGAAGAGCAGCGGACTACAGATTTGTAGCCAGCTGCAGCACGGACTACAAGACGCAATGTGCGTATGACAGGTGGGACCATATATTAATAGTACAGTAAGCAACTATTGTATGAATTGGCTATTAGATTGACTATAGATGAATTGGAGCTAATAGTGAGCTATACTATTAAACTTGCTCTTAGGACATTAGATCAAATCTACATGTACATAGTTAACTGTTGCAGAAAAGCATAAGTAGTGTACGTATGATTAAAAAAAAAGTTAGAGCTTACAAAGAAAAATATACGCACGTACTTAGGATAAAAAAGATAAAGGCAAAAAAAAATGTACGGAGTACCAATGGGAAAAATATCGACGGATTTTAAAACAGATGTTTCTATAATGTAAAATAAAATATATTACTTCACAAATATAAGCAAATAAAACTAGATCTATAATATAAATATCAAATATCAAATCAATGGTCTTTAAACATTCATCTTTTTAATTTATATTTATATTCAATTTGTGATTAGTTTCATGCTTTAATTAAATGAAATACTTATGTCTTATAAAAGGTATATTATGGTCCTAAATACACACATGGGACCAACATATAATAATTAATGTTGTGGTAATTTTTAAATAGTTTCACATTATATTTTAGGATTTCTAATATCACTTGATAAATATACAACACTAATTTAAATCTACAAATGTAAAAAATGATAAAAACACAATTTAGTCTATTTTTTAAGTAAATCCGATTTAGTTTTAATTTTTTGGATTAATTTATCAAAAATTTTATTTTCAATTTTTTAGAAAACTCAACAGAGAAAGAAAGTCTTAGTGGTTACGATGGGCTTCACCCGTTAGAGGGGCATTCATGTTTATCTTTAACGGTGTTATTTTATTAATTGGTATAAGTGGTATTTTTAAAATATTTATATATTGATTCGGAAATAAGTGAAACATGAACACTTAGATAAGTAGTGAATATTTTAGTGTATCAATGATGTATTAGGCTTATTTTATTGGTACATATCCAGTTTTATCTATTTATAGATACATAACTTTTAAAACAGTAATAATAAGTTGTGGTGACAATAGGAGAATTTATAAGTAATCGGGACAGACTGATTTTCTTTTAATCTTGGAGACATTCTTATCATTTACTAAGTATATTAAAGTCAGTTTATCTCACAGCATAAAAAAGATGAGACATGACATCTTTTAGCATTATTTCATAAATCATAAAACAATAAATTAGATGCCTGCGCATCTGCGCGGGCTTCCTTCCTAGTTTTACATAATTTCTGCAGAAGTTTCATAGGAAACTGTTCAATTTCTATGGGGCATTTTACCCTGTGTTCGGATGAGACCATAAAAAGTATTTACACAGGCAGCAAAATGAGCAGGGCACCAGTTAGTACATTTATACAGAAACAAAATTATGCTTCAGAAATCTGTAAAAACATATGTACAGCAAGAGACTGGTACCATCTGCTGAAAAACTCAGCTGATCTCACGTGTTTATACCAAAACAAATGTCTTGATGCAGGGTAGATGAGTCTGATTATGAAGCTCAGTAAACTGAGAATGAAAATATACTGCACGGACACAAAACGGTGGAAGATGCCTTTCAGAAATTTCTAGGCTCATGTTGGCAAGATTGTCATATACCGCGAATTTGTGATATATGTGAATGAACAAATGGGGGTGGAAGATACAAGCATATCACAAAAACAACAAAATGAATACAGTGTCTCTGGGCCAATTGAAATCAAATACCGCAAAAGAAAGAAAAAAAAATCTAGAGGTCCAATTCTACACAAGTGATAGGAAAAAGAATAATCAAACAACAGAGGAAACGCTCAACTGGCAGCTTATATGAATTACTATAGATACAGAATATATTGTATTTATAAGACAAGCTAGCAGTGTCCGCGTACCATCCATGAAAATTTGATACCGGTACCTAATTTCGGGAGATATTTTATATACTCCAGCTCTGGTGCTTAAGGGTATGTCACATTGTCACCTGAGCCTTGCATCACCCCCCTTGCTACGAAACGTTGAGAGGGAGAAGAACGATCGCGGTGCTGCATTTTTTGGGGGGAGAACATATTAATATTGATAGACAGAAATAAGAAGCAAAAACTTCATATGTTATGTGGTACATTAGCAACTTAAAATAAAAAAAATAAGGTACTAGTAGTATATATCTGTAACTGTAAGTGTACCTTTAAGTGAGCTTCCAGTGAGTTGATCCTCCCTCAATCTGAAATTTGCAGGGGGATTTGGAATGGAGCTGCGAAGTGATTGGTCTGCAAATTAAAAAATTAATTAAACGGGTGTGCAAAACTAAGCAGACAAGTGTGTATAGCAAAGAGTTAATGAATGAGGTAAGGAAAACACATGAATGAGAAAAAAAAATACTTTCAAGATCACATGAATATGACAATCTAGGAAATCATATTCTTTTATTCAAGTTTTGGGTCTGGTCCTTTGGAGGGGGTTCCTCGAACGTCACCAATAAGTAGGGACTTTTGTTGACAATGGAAACAGAGAGTGGAGATAAATCGGCAAGCGAAAATACCTTGTTCAGCAAAAACATCGGTATCAACAAAACCATCATATGCAGAAGGATAACCCATTCTTGACTTCCTGAAATCATCAGAAGATCCCATGGCCAAATCTCGTCCATCTTCCATATCATCGTCACATTCCGAGGCAGTTGAAGCGGATACCCAATCATTTAAACCATCAGCACCTCGTGTCTTCCTCCCAAATTTCAATAGCTTCTTAAATCCTTTTGTAACATCTTTCCGCGGCTGTTGAGATGCATTGGGACCAACGAAAGGCATCTGAGCGCTGCCCCACTTCTTCCTCATCCGGGAAACATCAGCATCTGTTATTTGATCTAAAGTATGAGAATTCCATGGTGATGGACTTCCATTTGGTGAATCAGCAAAAGCATCACCATCTGAGTTATCATTTGCATAAGCGAATAGGTGTGGGCGTGTGCTCCATGATGCTGGTACTTCACCAGGTGTATCATGCATGTTTCCTGCAAAAGCATTGAACTTGGAACCACCAAGAGTGGGTGCGTCACTTGGAAAAGAAACATCACCATTTTCTGATCCTGGGTCATCTGAATTTCCAAATTCATGACTTATTCCTGGATTCTCACTGTCTGAGTCAGCAGGAAAATCGCTCTCCCTAAGATTCTCTTCAATGCTTTCATATTCTTCATCTTTGGTCTCATCTGGGGAGTCTTCTTCCTGATCTAGAAAATCGTCATCATCTCCATTCTGGTAGGTATTTGCAAACATAGGAGGAGCAAATCCAGCTATACCGACAGCAGGGTGAGCCTCATTGCCTTTCCTGAGAAAAGACTTGGTTGAACCAGCTGTATGGGTGATATAAGCAAAAACTCCCTCAACTTGATCATTGGAAATTTTTGAGGGAGCCCAATTGTATATGACGTCATTCATGGATGTAGCGTCCCTTAATTCACCAGGACTTAAGTTCTTCCTCATGGACTGTGATTTCCTCGATTGATCTTTTGATATATTCTTACTCTCTTCAATGATGCTCTTACTACGGATAAAACTTTTTGGCTGGGTCCTTGGAGCAGCTCTGCTCAGACCAGCTGAGGGCTTTGTATTTTCTTTTCTTAAGTCCGCGAAATTGGGGACAGACTGTGCAAGAGGATTATCTGGTAGATTCCTACGGTTTGCATAACCAGAGCTTACGGTCCTTGATGAATGCCTATGAACAGGAGCAATAGACTTCTTTTGATTGCAGGCAACTTTATTTGAAAAATGCTTCCTGGAATCAGCACTCCTGGATGAACCATCACCAGATAGATAGTCACTATTCATTTCTTCTTCTACCAAGAAGGAATCTATCCCCTGGGAAAGGCAAAATCAAAAATATAAACAACCATAAACTACAACTCATCATTTCACTTTGCGTAGAATTATAGCCTTATGGGCTCCTCAAGATACACATATCATGATTGTTTAGTATTAAATTTTTTTACATAAAAAAACAACCTTCAGTATAAATCACATCAATGCACTAAGGGTGTGTAGTTAAGTAATTTTCTGTACTACTGTTTTCTACTTAAAAACTGCTATAAGTAGAATTTAATACCTGATCCTTATCCTTTATAACTGATTGCAAAGGAGGAAACTTATGAGCGCAACGAGAAATATATGTTGAATCAGGAACACTTGAAGACCGAGAGAATTTGGCCCGCATCTCAGCATTGCTTCGTTCTAGGCTATCACGCATTGCCTTTATTGTTGCTTCCTTCTGTTCTCCTTGCAGCTTCCAATCTTCCTTTAGTTTTGCATCCCTCTTCTGCATATATTGATCATAGAACTTTCCCCTTGACTCTTCTAAGCTAATAATGCTTTGTGGTACGTTATTGTTATACCCTTCAGTATCCACCATCTTTAAAAGCTCATTGGCATCGAACTCATTGGTTATACTCTCCTTTACAATTTGCTTTGTATAAATCCTCTCTGGAAGAACCAGTGGAGGCTTTACCTCATTCACCCTGGGTGTGTTCTCAACCTGCACATCAGTTGACTTGCCTCTCCTAGAAGAGGTTAGCTTCTGTGCAGCAAATAGCTTCTCCAATTCATTGGCTTTCTTTTGCAGTTCATCATGCCGATCTTGACTACCTTTTGTCGGTCTCTTAGTCTGCTCCAAAGGAACAGCATTTCCATCACTAATTAATTTGACTTTACCTCCATGCAAACTCAATTCCTGTTCAGCACTGGATGATTGTCTGCTCAAATTAGTTCCCTGATGAATAGAACAATCTGATTGAGGCAGTATTTCAGAGCCAGCTGCAACCTTTCTCCCAGAATCCTCTACCTTCCGCGCTAGACTTTTCCGTTGCAAGTTAACATCATGAACTTCAGCTTCTGTAGAGGCAGCTTCATCCCTGACAGATGAACCCCTAAAATTAGCACGTGGGTTGGAGGTGGCCCTTGTTCTGGTATCAGATATCTTTCCAGTTGTTCGAGAGGGTCGGTCCTTCCTTCCAACCACATCTGCTTCAGCATGAATCTCTTTAGAACGGAGACGAGAACCTCTATTATCTTTCTGTACAATCTGTTCCTTTTTAACTGCTACTTCATGAACAATGGGAATAGTTTCCTCATCGGTCATCTGTACATGCTCCTGTGACAATGGTGGGCTACTTAAAGTTACATTGTTTTCTGGCCATGTTGGCCTTGGAGATGTTTTTACTCGGGCTCGAGTGGAAACACTTGAAACAGCTTGCCCTGACATCCTCACGTCACCTTTTCCTTGACTAGCCCCTACCTCCTTTCTGAAGGATGACTCACTCTCAATGCTAGAGGTTATAACCATGTCATCTTCCACACGAGGTGCGGTCTGTTTCTGAGGAGAAGAAGAAGCGATGGCTGATAAGGGGGATGGTGAGGTAGTATTCAAAGTTGAGGATGAGAAAGCATCTGCAGTGGTAGAATCCAAGGGTAAGGCATCAGATGTATCTTTTTGGCATGATGTAACTGCATGCTTCAGCCCATTAGCGTCCCCGTCAGCTCTTGCCTTAGAATTAACCTCCAAATTGGCAGATGTTGGGGTTCCAACAGGGGTTCCAATTTCCCTCTTTTCATTTAAGCTGCTGCTATCGTTGTTGCTTAGATCAATGCTCATATCACTTACATTGCTCCACCTCCTTACCAACTTGTCCATGGACGCACCAGAAGGCACCCTGCGGTGCTCACCTTTCGTTGGAACCACCTTACTAGTACATGCAGCACTATTACCAGAACTTGAGGTTTGTTCCTTCTGCTTACTCTCAAACATGTTTATCCTGTCTTGCACACTCAACCGTCTTGAACCCCCTCCAGCTGGGGCAGGGGCAGGAAGAGCATCTGTTTCCTTTTCTTGTTTCTCTACTGACTGCTGTATAGTTGGTTTAGGGTGTTGAACTGCGCTGGGTTCTGGTGGAACATCTACTGAGTTTTGGCTGTTGCTTCTGTGAATATGAGAGACACTACCACCAATTATAGATTTGTTGCTGGATGCACCTTGATCAGCTTGTGTCTCGTCTAGTGACATGTCTGAACTGGAGGAGCCACGGACATTTCCATCATCAAAGCTCTTCCATTGTGACGAAGTTGATGACACCGAGTAATGAGGACAGATGTCTGGACGCCGCTGGCAAAGTGACATGAATTTGTTGCATGCTTCACTGGATACCCAAAAAAAAAAAGTTGTCATGTGTGCACAAAAAATAATCATCAAGAGGTCACAAAAGGATCCTCCGAGAAACAAAACGAGTGGGACAGAGGGTAACTCAATGTCGCAATGCTATCATGGCAACCACAGTATAAGGATGAATTGGGAACATATAGGTGTGCACAACTGAATCTGATATAAGATTCCACTTCAAATGATCTCCCTCCTAGTACATTGAAGAATCTTCTCATGCAAACTTTACCACTTTTCCATAATAACCTTAGGGTGTTTGAAGTTTATGTGTGTCCTAAACTGCAATTCTGAAGTTTGTATGTTCATAGCTTTCCATCATACTGTACAAGTTTGAGGTGAGCTAGGTACAATTTAGTGCGCAATATAATGGCATTTGTAAAAGTTAATGATAATCTTTCTCTCTACAGATACCAGTAGTTTTGTGAGTTATTTAGTTCTAAATCTATAGTTTTATGTGGCTTTTCTATTAAAGTGTCTGAAGTTCTGTGAAATGTATTCTTTAAGTAAATATAAATGATGACACCTAGAACCTAAATTATGAACTTGTTAAGTTCCAATCATACCTCAGCCGGTTGGCACCAAAATGATCTGCAAAAAGAACAAGCTCAGAAACACTGTCAGGGTTGAACCCTGCAGATGATGCCCGGGCACAAGCCGTGACAAGGTCTTGTTTAAGAGCACTTAGACGAACATCAATCGCTCTAAGAAGTTCCTTCCTGCATAGAAAAAAAAAAAGGCCAGGGCATCAACTTTGGATACTGACAATACAAAAATGGCTAACTTTATATGCAAATTACAGTAAGTTTCAAGTTATACGTGATGAAGTAGTACAGACAACTATATTTTGTATGATTTACACAGTGCCATTTGTAAGGAATTATAACTTTAAGACTGAGTACAGATGAAACAGTATAATCATTTATATTCTACCAGCTATTATGTGTAAGTCCTATACTACTGATAGCGATGCTTTAGCAACAACTTTAATTAGTAAAGCATAAGCAAGAGACTGAATTAATGATGTAGAAATACACAACGATAATAAAATAAGGTTTTGGTGCATGCGTGGATGTAAGTGCTCATTTGTGTAAAGCTATATAACTAGGGCTCTTAACAGCACTGACCCACATAACCAAAAGAGATCAAGCATTTCACCTTTATCTAATTATCATAGTATTCTACAATCTACATATTCAAGCGATGAGTTTGTCTACCAAAATTTGCAGCAGATCACATTGCTACATGACTGCAACAATTTTACTAATATTCAATTAAGAACATCAAGTTTTTATAATGTTGTAAGCCGAAACAAAAGATGTCCTTAAGCATAGTAAACAGATGAAAGGATGAACACAGTTTGCTACACCCCAAGCAACCGAAAAGGGAAAATGATCATGAAAGGCCCCTGAGACAGAATAAGCATTAAACAGTTCATCAAGGAACGCCCGAAATACTAGTCATGTTAAAGTATTCTGACACAGGCATCTCCACTCCGTATTTAGTACGATGTCATGAATAGTTCTTAACCAACCATTTCTTATATATAGAACAGTCCTAACAAATCATATATCATTGACTGAAATTGATAACAATCAAGGTTCTCCCTGAAGAAGTAAGGGTTAACCATGTTCAACTCACTTAAATCAAGGTTATCGGACAATGAAGAAGTAAATAGATAATGACAGAGATGGCATAGAAGCATACTTCGTAATATCTGCAGCTGCTGCTGATTCTGCAACATTTTCACCCGGGAAAAAAAAATTTGTAAGATGGTAAGCAAATTGTGTTGAGAAGAACAATATGTTGCCTCAATGAAGGCATGTTAAAACGATAAAACATGTACCCTAATATTGCAGTTCAACACATGCAACAATTAATTAAGTTGTTCATTTCTTTCTAAAATTGGAAATGGATTATTTACTGTATTCCCCCATTAACAAAGCTTCACAGCATGAATAATATGGACAGTGGCATTGAATGCATCATCTCAGTAATCAAGCCAATCAATAATAAAAGTTCTCCCTGGATGTTCCCACAAATAACTTGTGAAGGCACTCGAGTCGCGATTCGACTCAATTCAAGTGTAGATAAACTGAGTGACATATGAACTATGAACAAAAACAGGCATAAAACTAATCGAACGAGACTCAAAACCCCATTCGACAAACAAAAGAACACTATAAACATTGTCATGCATACCAGCTCCATCAGCGCCTCCGGCAACCTGCGTACAGCATAATACTATTTTTAGAACAACTGCAAGATCATTCCACCATAAACCACACAACCTAAACACACTCCACAACTGAAAGAAAATATAGAAAAGAAAACTTTGGCCACTCACTCCCTGTGCATAAATCTTCCTAGCCCCTTCCAGCTGCGACATCTCCGCGTCGAAGGTGTTAGCCATCTCCAGCACCTCCGGCGTGCTCACGAACCGCACGAACCTTCAACCACAAGAACACCTCTCAGAATTCCCATCATTTCTTTTTCTCCCCGAATTCTCCACACCACCAACCAACCCAATAACTGCCACGGCAGCAAACGGACCTCTCGAGGGTGCCCTTGCTGAACCACGCGGCGCGGCGGTCCAGCTGCAGCCGGATGGCCGGCGGCGGCGGCTGCGCCGCCGCCTGCTCCTCCGCCGCGCGCAGGTGCGCCACGAACGGCTTCACCGACCCGGACGCGATCCTCTCCGTCCGCCCATTCCCGGACACCACCAGCTCGCACCTGCAGCGGAGGCATCCCACCATTAGCAAACACCCACAGGACGAACACCACCCCCCCCCCCCCCCCCAATCGAAATCCTCACCGCGAGCGGCGCGGGGAGAGCTGGAAGAGCGCGAAGTCGAGCGGGGCGTCGGGCTCCATCGCGGCCGCCGCCGCCGGCGAGGTCGGATCTGGTGGATCCCCTCACCAAGAACCCCAAGCTCTCCTCCTCCTCCTCCTCCTTCGCGACAGCCCCAAGAAACGCCGGGAAGGCGGCGAGCCGGCGCCAATGCAGCTCCCGCGGCGACGAGATCGCCGCGGCCCGCCCGGATCTCGCCGCCGCTCGCCCCCCCGATTCCGGTAAGCGTGCGCTCGCGCGAGGAGAGAGAAAGAGAGAGAGTGAGCTAGAGAGAGAGGAAGAGTGGAAGACTGGAAGATGAGCTGCTTGGTTTGTTGGTGCTGCAGTGGTGCTCTGTGACAGTGAGAAAAATTGGGAAAGAGAAGAAGCTAAAAATTACTACTAGTACTAGTATAGTTAGATTTTAATTTTTAATTTATTTTGAGTGGTGTTTACTGCTAATTAGGAGAGATTAGTGTTAATTAAGCTTAGGTGAGATTATGGAAAAGGGTTGGTAAAAAATAGAGATTTTTTTTGGGGTGGTATTTAGGAGAGATTAGTGTTAAGGTTGGAGATTATATGAAGCTTTAGGTGAGATTATGGGAGGGTTTTTTTTTTAGAAGTGTAATCTTTGGCAAGAAAGGGGTTGAAGGGTAGCTACTTTTGTTGTGTTCTCCTCTTTATTTCCATTCGGCTGTGACTGAGCTTTTTCGGTGTAACAACGGCTTTGGGTGGACTGTGCGGCTGGGATTTACCATTCTACCCCTAGAGACAAACTAGAGGTTGCTTTTGAATTTTAATGGAGGGATTTTTTTTTGAGGGGTTATTTATCGGTCTACTTCATTTAATCATTGAAATTGTGGTAGTGTTAATGTACATCTCTAATTTGATAATATGTACGTGTCAATTTAAAAATAGTGTTAACATCGTTTTTTTCGTATCACGTAGAGAACACATGGCGGACATACGTATTATGCCTCAATGTCATGTTGTGAGTTTATTTGACGGCATTGTTATATTTCCTACTGTAATCGTTATAGTTCTAGTATGACATATTTTCTTTAACATTATATCCTATATGCCACGAATTTGTGGCTAAAATGTATAAGAAAACAAATGTAATTTGATAATAGGAACAGATAGAAATTTTCATTTTTACTCACCTACCAACATACTACTAGTAACTTACAAGGGAGGATTGAAGGAAATCGGTACACTTATTTTCTCGACCCAAAAATCCCTGTAGTGTCAACCACAACTTTTCTTCTTTCCAACAGGCAAAAGAGAGGCTGGTACGATAAACGGTGGTCCAATTGAGCACCTCTTGGTTTCTGCACTAAACATCAGGTCATCTGACCTGGAGTAAGCATCATGCACCGATTGTTCTAGACAATTAACAGGGGCCCCAAAGGGGTAAACAGTGACAGCTAGCCCAGCCTTGTGTTAAAAGATTTTTGAGCATTTTATTTGTGACTAAGTGACCCTAATATTCTTCTAAATTAGCCTAATCAATGCATTGTATGGTAGATTTGTTTCGATAATTGAAGCTTTATTAAACTCAATTAATTATATAAAGATAATAGAATTGTACAGAGAACACTCTCAGCCTCTTTATAAAAAGATGCATATAGTACGGAACAAATGCAAAAGGATTAGTTTTCCAATTTTCTCTTGGCAATATTTTCCAAAACTAATTCCCAAAAATCTAGGTCTTGCTGTTGACCGACATTTGATGTTCATTGATTTTTGAGAAAACGAGAAGACCAAGAAAGAAAAAAAGGAATCCAATGTGCAAATAGTACGGGAAGCTCAAAAAAAAAACATGAGAGAAACAGTAACTCACATAACCATGATGCAACATGATGCTAATTTTCCACCTCTCTGTCGGTGAAAACAACTTAGGAATTGAGAATTGCAACCAAGGGAGCTTGTCCCAGACAACAAGGTTCAGAATCAAGTTAATCTAGAATAATTATAACATAACCATGGCCCTTAGAACAGAACCAACAAACTTGTTTCTAGGTTATTATAGCAAATCTTCATCTTAACCTCCATTAGCAGCAGATGTAACATCTCTCAAGAATGAAAATGTCTTTGCATTAGTACTGTTTGTAAATCATATGAAGGGACTGGGAGAGAAAAAAAAGACAGTGGGGCAGAGTAATGGTACAATAGAGTGAGTAGTTGGAACATTAGGCTCATGTATTACCCCACACAGTCACTTTCACATGAGGTCATTGGATTTTGGCTCAAGATTTCTAACAAACATTGATTTATCCATTACTTTGGTTTTGTTTATAGGTTCCTGTGATGTAACATTGGAAACTTTCTTTAATTTTAAGGAAAAGAAAACAGTACCACAAATTTCTCTGACCCACTGAATGCTTACACGAAATTTCAATTGTTTTCATGACAAATTGATAATACATGAAACTTTATTATCGTTGTCGTAGCAAAATTAAGTCAAGTCCTAGTCAGGTGACATGATGTGCTCGGTTCTAACAAACAGTGATAAGATGCAACCTTGACTTGATAGATACAAGGTCTATAATTTTTATCATAAACACTGTAAGCTAGTATTGCATCACAAATAGTGCATGTGCATGGATAAATTTACTGCTAATTGTGTTTATAAGATTGCAATGTTTCACCCCCTATCTAGCTTTTCTTAAAGCAGGTCAACTCCAGGACAGGGTTTGATCACCTGCCTCATAGTACTGTAGATGTTGATTAGTCATGGTTTGTTGGTGGCATTGCTGATCATCAATTCTGGACTCATTGTGCAAAATATACAGCTAGGCAATTATGAGGAGAAAAAATTGGATCTTTGTCAATTAGATCTATGTCTAGAAAATAACATCCACTGCATCCCCCCCCCCCCCCTCTTCTAAAAATCCTTTAATCAATCTGAACATGCATGTAGCAACTAATTTGAAGTATTTAACCAATTGTTCCTTGGTTAAAATAAGGGTCACACTTCTTCACAAGGTTCAGTTTCTCAAGAAGAAAAGAGTACATATCTACCATTAAAAATGTGAGGGGTGCATCTCTCAATGAAACACTGGCTGATGATTCCAAGCAACTGATTGATTAATAAAACAAAGAAACCGACACAATTGGTAGGAGTTGAGCTTAGCATGGCACACTGCACACAGTAATGGTCAAAGAGACAAGAAAAAGAAAAGAAAAAACAAATAAAAACTAATAATCTGAACATGCTATACTGTGCATGGCACATTAAAACATTCTTCAGTACAGTCTTCTGCTTTGTATGCTCCCTCTGTCAAGTCAGCCTGGCCTTGTGACTGAACTTCTTAATTAGCTCTATCTCTTGTCCCATATCTCTGAATAATACAGGAACTGTACACCTCTGGTATTTGACTTTGTTGCGGTATAAAAAAAAATAATATCTAATTCATAATTACAAATAGGTCCCTCAAATATTATGTATTTGAAAATTTATACCCTTGTGCTTCATGTGGTCCATGGAAAAACATTTGTGATTCCATTTTGCCCCCCAAAAGTAATTAACTAGCCGACGCCAAAGACAAGATGGAGAGTGACCAAAGTGTTCTTCTCACATATATTTAATAGAAAGTTGTTGATGCTCCGATTAGGAAGTATCTTGCTTTGTACTCTTGCAAGCATATCGTGGGATTGAACAAATCCATCATCCATTTGTCTGATCACCTTTCTTTCTTTTTTCCTCCAGAGATTTGATCGACTAATCCGATCAGGTCGAGCTTTAAGATTCGTGTCCATCTCCATCAGATGATTAGTTGGTTCCCTGTCAGAATTCAGAAGTGATTAGCAAAGCTGAAAACGTGTCACTTATCTGGGATTTTGGGGCCATCTCTCTTTCCTTGCTTGCTTAACCTGTTCTGTTTGGATAATCTCGAGTTAGTACATATACTAATAAAGCTAATGGTTTCTTAAACATCATGATTAAATTCTGAGTTAGTCTGACCATCCGTCTAAAAGAAAATTCAGAGTTAGGGGCTGCTTCAATGATGAGTTTCAGGAAAAAACAGAATGGGTGGCATACTTATCAGGTACTACTCCTATTCAGGTTTCTTCATAATACTTGAAGTAATGATAAAGCAATGATGAACAACTTGGGTACTAGTAACACTATTACTCAGGAAAATGATGCACATATAGCATCCCAAATCAATTACTGACAAACACATAAATACACAATCTTGCTGAAATTCGGGTACAAGTAATGACACCCTGCCAGCAAGTCATTCGTGGTATAAATTCAGCATTTATTCCCCTTGTAATCCTCAAAATTAAACACTAACCAACTAGCAATTGACACTGACAGTGATCTAAATCAGAAAAAGAAAATGACTTGATATGTGGAGTTTTTCTTGAACAAACACTTGACCCAATTCGTGTGATGTATCCATCAAGAAAGGACGTTGAATTTCTGCATGTCAGTGATTACGGCGAGAAGAATGCTTAGCTTAAGGTTAATGCGAAATAATCACGTATTAGACTCCCCACATGACATTGCTTTGGAGTTAAGTAGGGAATAGTGGAGCAAGCACCTGAACTCAAACTTTTTCATGTCTTTTTATTTTCAGAGAACGCACAAATCAGCTTTGTTTCCTTGGCTGCTTCTCATGAAAAGAGACATCCAAATTAACCTTTAGCCTTTGATGCCAATTAGCTCACTAACCATTGCAGAAATAATCAGATGGTGCTTGTTTTGAATCGCAGTGACGAAGATTGACCGACCAACGACCGGGATCAAATGTGACGGCTCCTGAATTTTCATCACACCTTCAGACTGAAGCTGAAAAGCATCGTCAAATTTGCACTCAAGCAACACTTGGACAAATCTCCTTGAACTATCTCTTGTATTTTTTCAAACCGAGGAATAAAAATTGGCACTCTTTCCTCCGTGACGTGGTGCTGTTTGTTTTTTTTCTTTTTCTAATTATGGTCTCTTAGGGCTCTTTTTCCTGCTATATCAATGTGAAATATTACATTATCTCATAATATTCGTTAAAAAAAGGAAGAGAAAAAATGGCATTGTTACTTGAGTTTACACGGAGAAAGCACGCAAAGGAAGCAGATATCAGTCGATCAGTACAGTGGCTGCAGGGGAGGAAAAGAAAAGCAGAGAGCAGCCACAGCACGTTGCCCATATAGTCAGGTCACATGCTCTGCTAGCTGCTTGATGCGTCGCGTGACGGCAGAGCAATCAACAGCGAACGACACATTGCTACGGCACAGCAGCCAATCGCTCCACATTATCATCAGGACAGTTGCCCGGCACAAAATTTTACTGTTTACTGAGAGAGCATTTTTACAGTTGTCAAGGATATGAGATGTTACCGTGACGAGGGATGTGTAAAGTGACCAGGGATGTGTAGTTTCAACCTCAAGATCTCATTTTCAATCCCCAAGGCCCCAACACGATCGTTTATTTTTACAGTCGATAAGTTGATGCCGAAAACACTGACTTTTCTTTTACAGGTACTAAGTCAGGGCCTGTTTAGTTCGCGAAAAGAAAAATTTTGGGTGTCACATCGGATGTTTGACCGGATATCGAAAGGGCTTTTCGGACACGAATGAAAAAAATAATTTCATAACTTGCATGGAAACCACGATACGAATCTTTTGAGCCTAATTAATCCGTCATTAGCACATATGGATTACTGTAGCACTTATGACTAATCATGGACTAATTAGGCTCAAAAGATTCGTCTCGCGATTTCCTCCCTAACTGTGTAATTAGTTTTTTAATTTATCTATATTTAATGCTTCATGCATGTGTTTAAAGATTCGATGTGATGTTTTTGGAAAAAAAAATTTAGAGAACTAAACGGGGCCTAAGATAAACACATGCACCAGCGCACATATGCCCCTCTTCACCATAGAGGTAACACAAAACAAGACTAAATATATGATACTTTACTTAGAACCGTTAAAATGATCGCATTGAGGCTTCCTTTGAATGGAAGTATATATTTCAAAGACATTTTATAGAAAAATGTCTGAAATAACTTTGTTTGAAAAGAAACCTGACAGAGTTGGAAAAAAGAGAGCGAGCACGAAAGCACCTCGAATGTGTTTTTCAAGGACACATTGGTAGCAGCATTATCGAAGCTCCCAAGATATACGATGCATTGAGGACAATGAACAACATTTGCACGCATTATGCAACTGTGCATATGGGACAAATGCGCCCAAAGCCAGGCTTGAAAGCACAGCTGTCCACTGTAGCGTCAAAGGCAGCTCCTAGCTCGGCCGGTAGCTCTCCGGGCTTGAGATCCACACTGCCAAGCTGGGCTTGTCTTGCTTCCAACGTTTTATTGCATGAGCTGTCCAGCTCACCTCACCTGCAGGTGAAATGAAACGAAATGAAACCACCCCAAGATCTGAATCTAACTGAAACCCTCCTAGGATTGATGATCATGATGGGTCTGCTTGCCCTGCAAAGTTTCAAAGGAGCAATCTCTCTGCATTGGCATCTGATCACCTTTTTTTTTCTTTTATGAATGGGCTAGGATAAATAGACTGTTTACAGAATGCACAAAATTTCCCTGGGTGCAGGTGGGCAGCACAATCATATGATTTCATACCAGAATCTAGTCTAAGAGCCTAAGTAGGATGGGCGCCTCAATAGCTGGGATTTCCTACAGCTGCATAATTTACAAGTTGGAAACTTTTATTCGGGGGAGCTCCGCATGGCCTGTTCTCACTGCTTCAACGCCAGTATCGTGGAGCAGGCACCGTGCAGAAGGAATAATGTTTAGATTCAAGTCACCTGCATGATAAATTGATCACATAAATAATCTGTTTGATCCAACAGAGCTAAGTTTGTCCACGTGTCATCGCCAAACTGCTTTAATAATTGTACCTCGAAGGAGGAAAATCCAGAACCAAGTGAGCAATATTCAACAAACAAAATATTCTATCTAAATCTCCCTAAAAAATTTGTCATGCATCTCTCAGAAGGGGGAAACTTTGGTTGTAAATCAATGCCCTAGGTTTTGGTGCAATGGATAGAACCAGATAGGCTCAGTAATAGTCCAAACAAAACAAGAGATCAAATTGGCATATTAATAATTCATAATCATGTATGATACCTGCATCATGAGCTTCTGCGAAATGAATTCTCATGCATATTAGAAACAGGAGTGTCCTGCAGTTAACCAAGATAGAAAACTTTATCAGCCACAGCACATACAGGGGGAAAACAAGGAGAATGAATCTTGCAGATTGGTTACTTGAATCATTGCACTGAAGCCTTGGAGACCATGATGGTTTGCAGGAGGTACAATGGAATTTAATGATGAACCATTTCCATTTGCCACATACCCTTGGTTTTCTTCATTTGCAGACTTGGCAGTCCTTCTCCATCGCTTCAACAGATATCTCTGAGGTAATTCTTTGATATTTCTGTAATCGAGCACCTTCAACATATGGCAACATGGAATACCCATAAACTCAAACTTCCTACAAGTGCAGATACAGGAGCAGTCACTCGAGTCAAATCTAACAAAATGTTCCTTGGGTTTTTCAGAGGGAGCGACTTTGTACTCAGAGGTTGCCCCAGCTTCCCCACAACTGAACAGAACAGAGTCCATGAACAGCTCAAACTCTTTACGAAAGATCTCAAACACCACTGGGGTATATGTATGGGCAGCTTGCTTTAACATCTTGGCTGGGGGTATTCTTGGATAACTTTGACTAGCTTGGAAGTCAGCTTGGAGCTCAGCATAGCGGTGCTCATCTACGGCTCTTTCATAATGCTTGAAGAAGGACAGTAAATCCAGTTGAGGGCCCAAGAACTTTTTCAGAACACTACTGAAGCTTTCAGCTTGAAGTGCACTTATTATGTCAGCACAAAATATATGTCTCTCATATGCCAAAGCCCATCTTTCCCTTTCATCAAACAATTTAGACAGCCACTCATTATGCCTAAGATCATACTTTTCTAGCATGCTTCTCCAGGCAAACAAGAATTCTTCCTCTTCCTCATAGCCAAATACACATCTGCTAAAATCCTTTGCAAATGTTTTTGAACCTTGGAAAACATGATTAAGGTGCTTAAGAGAGTTCTGATATACATGCCAAGCACAAGTTCTTTGAGTAGTATTTGGCCATGCTGCTGCCATTGCACTAGCAAGTGGAATAGATTGATCTACTAAAGCTACCGCTGGTTGTTTTCCATGCATAGCAATCTTAAAACTCTCAAACAGCCACCTATATGACTCAAATGATTCATCATAAAGCATAGCTGCACCAAAAACAATTGTTTGTTTGTGATGATTCACTCCGAGGAATAATGACAATGGTCTGCCATATCCATTTATTTTGTAAGTTGTGTCTAGACAGAGGACATCACCAAAGTAGTTGAAGTCTTCTCTAGATTTTGGGTCAGCCCAAAAGAAGTTGGTTAGCTTGTCGTCTTCATCAATCTGCATGGTGTAAAAGAAAGCAGGATTTTCCATTTGCATTGTCTGCAAATATTTCAATATTGCGCCACCATCACCGAGTTGCATAGCCTTCATACGCTTTGAACGGAGATAATTCTTATAATCTGCTGGGAGGAGAGAGATACTTCGAAGGAAACCAATTTGTCTCACAACAAGATCACCGGTTGCTTTTGTTGTAGGTGTCATGACAGAATCATCTGACAATTCTGCTTCCCCAGACTGAAGTTCTGTCAATATCCTCTGTGACCTTAACATATGCATTGTCGAAGGAGGGGCCAGCTGATGATTGTGGTCCGCTTTGAAGTCAGTGACTCTGTATTTACTCTCTGGTGTGACTTTAATAATCAACCGCGCTGGACAACCAATTCTTGTATCCAGCCTTGGCTTCTTTGCTTCCAATGATTTTTTGTCCCTGTTGTAACCTTCCCTTGAGCAAACAAAAGTCCTTACTTTGGTAATATTTCCGGAAGATTTGTGTGATGTACTTTTCCGAACACTAAAACCAACATGTCCAGCATATTTGTTGTAGAATTCATAGGCCTTGTCCTCACTCTCAAATTCCATGCCTACCTCAGGAACCAGCTTAGCAAGTGCAGCTTCATCTATAGGTGGTTCAGCTTCTATCATTCGTCTCATTTTCCCCTAGAAAACCAATCATACTATTACTTGAGTAAATAAACAGAAATAGACACATTTAGTATTTTAGATTATCATCAATGCACCAAAACAGGAGGAAAATGGCCAAGAGACAGCTATAAAATTTCCTCGGAAATGAATTATAGCTGAACATGGTATCACACAACAGGCTCATCGGTATTCTGTATCGAAAATTAGAGCGCAGCCATACCTTTCTGTACGCAATGCCGCACGCATTACAGAGAGTTCTTGGGCCATCAGGGCCGCGGCGCATATGGGGCGTCGCGTTGCCGGATATACCACACCTCAAGCACCTGGCCAAACACAGTAAAACTATCAACACGACAAATGGAAAGCCCAAGGTTCTTTTACTAAAATTCACTCGTGCAACAGGACAAACAAAATCTTCTGAGCTTAAACCAGAGCACGCCAGAATGGATGAACCCCGAATACCACGCAAAGGCGAGACGCTACGAGACCTCGCCCACCTCCTCACCGCCGATGAACTCATGAACACAAGTGACTTGCCACACACACACAGAGAGAAGCTCTCACCGCACGTGGCCGTCGAGGCCGTCGTCGGCGTTGTCGCGGTGGAGCTCCAGCTCCTGCTCCATCGGCGGCGGCGGCGCCGCCGCGGCTCCCCCGTACGGCGGCGGCATCTCCCCTCCGCCGCCTCCATCGGGGGCCACCAGCATGTGCATCATGGCATCACCACCACCAACCCTGCCAAGCCACACTCGCATCCAAAAACAACACCAAAAAGAAAAAAAAAACCCTCCCCAAAAAAAACCACAAATTCAAGCTCGATTTGAACCCCGAGGAGGAGCCGAACAGAGGAATTCCGTTGGAAATGCTTCGGCTGGTCGGGATTTGGGAGCTAGGGTTTGGGTCTCCGCGAGAGGTTGGTAGTGGAGAGAGGAGCCCAGGAGGTGGTCGGATCCGATGCGGCGTTGGGGGGCATGTGACCCACCGTGTGGTGCCACGTGTACCCCCTTTCCCATCTCGTACTGTATCCTGTACCCTCACTTATCGCTGACGTGTGGGGACACCGATCCTGGGGCCCGCTTGCCAGGCGGCGCCGCATCTCGGGAGTACAAGTAGCCGAGAGCGCAGAAGAGAAGGCGGCGGCGGCTGCGGCGAGTGAATTGGAGAGGAGGAGGAAGCCATCGATGGCCATGAGCGCCCTCAAGTTCTGCGGCGAATGGTGAGGCGGAGGAATCTCTTGGCTTGTGATTCGTAGTCCGAGATTTGATTCGATTGGAGGTTTGATTTTTTGTGTGTTTTTTTGGTTGGATATGCAGCAGCAACATGCTCTACCCGCGGGAGGACAAGGAGACGCACACCCTGCTCTACGCCTGCAATTCCTGCGAGCACCAGGTGGATTTGCCTTGTTCATCGGCTCAGATTAATATGGTTTTGGATTGGGTGTGGTAAATAAACTCTTGGGACCCTAGGTTGGATTGGGGATTTTGGGGAATGGTGATCTAGGGTTTAGGCTGGGTTTAGTGATGTGGTGTATGTATATGGAGGTTTCTAGGTTTAATGGTGCATTGTTGAGATCGTAATTTCTTTTTTCTTTATTATTTGGGATGGATTTATGATTGTTTGGTGCGCACGTTTTTACGGTTGCTGCATGCGGGAGATTTCGCTGAGGAAAGAATTTGATGTCCCATAATGTTATTGATGCTTGCTTTGTTCGATTGATAGAGTAGAGGGGTTCTGGTTGGGACTTGGCGAGTTTATGATGAATTGGTAGACGGCTAATATTCCTTTGTAGGTAGTTATCAGCTTATCATGCTTTGTTCTCGATCTCATACATAAAGGTTAGGCGGAGAATCTCTTTGTCATTACTGCCGACATATTTGTCCAAATTTGGGGCTTCTATGTTAGCAAAATTGGCTGGTTCCGTACCGTGCAAGTATCGCCTATTTTGTTTAATACTACTAAGATTTTGAGGTAGCATTGAAATAGCATATACAAGGAGATATCCTTGGTGGATTCAGCAATAAATTTCACAAACTCAGTTGCCTCCTTCAACTAATGGAAGGTGCTGACTTGGGAGTTGGGAGTATGGGGAGCGCAGAAGGCAGAGGTGTGATGGATGAATGGGACCGCGGGATATGAGGGTGTAATGGGCGATACGGAGCAGGAGAGGTTAAAAAAAAATTGAATGGCAATGGGTGCTGGTGGTTAAAAAAAGAAACGGAATCTTATTAGGTGGTATCAAAGCATGCCCCAAAATTTTGGTGGTAAGACTAAAAGGGAAATATTTCGGGTGGTATGAAACCAATTTTCCCTTTCAAGTTAAGGATTAAGGTTACATAAGTGGCTTCCCACTAGCCGTTTGAGATGAACTTTCTGCTGAAAATCTGTGGTCAGAGAACTGTTGAAAGTAGGATCTACTCCCACATAGAGCCTGTATATTACAAGGGCTTTAGCTCTCTTTCCTTGAGAAGTGTTTCTAGCTTATCTGGCATACAATGCCCTCAGAAAATCAGGAACTTGTCTTGTAATCACAAACTATGCTTAAGATGTTACTCATTGGAAAGAGACAAACATATGCCAGAATTATGCACACTGCAACAACCTACCTGAGGTATCAATGTAACAAATCACAACTAAGTGTCCCTTAAAAGAAGTTTGATATGTCCCTTGTTGTAGCTTCTGAAACATATTAACTTCATTAAGAACCAATGTAATCAGGATAGAAATAAGACAGATTTCCTTGGTGTTTTAGGCATTCTTCCACAAAATGTCCTCTCTTTTTTTTCTGTTTATTGAAGTGATTGCTGAGTTTTTCTCAAGGCTTACATACTTTGCAGCTATATTGCATTTATAGTTTTCGTAGTTCCGACATTTTTAAAAAATTTGTGTGTAAGTTTTCTTGTAGGTTGACTAATGATTTCCATTTATTTGGATCGTTCATATAAGCAGGAGCCTGCCACTGACACTTGTGTGTACAAAAGGGTTCTCCGTAAACCTGCTGGGGAACCCAAAGATATCCTAAAAGATGCAGCAACTGATCCCACCCTGCCTCGCACCAGAAGTATTAAATGTTACAACTGTGGCCATCCAGAGGCTGCTTTTTTTCAGGTCAGTGTATTTGTGTTGTTTACTTATTGTTCTCTATGCGATTCTTGCTATATACGATGTGACTACTGTATCATCTATAGTTCTATACAGTCACTGATACAAGAATAGAATAGCAATATGAAAGCATGAACATACAAATCTACATTTCTGTCAGCATATTAAAGTTTTTAGTATAGTATGTATCGCTTCGTATCCACAGGGTTCAGGAAACCGTTTCATTACATAATTGGCTTTTCTCGTAGTGGTGGTGATTGTGACATATTACAACTCTGTTCAGAATCCTAGTATCTGCCACAAGCTGTGGATGCAATCAGTCACTCTTTTTCCCGTTGAACTTGCAGGCTCCAACTAAGGGGGAGAAAGGCCTGACACTGTACTTCATCTGCTGCAACCCAAGCTGTGGTCACAGGTGGAGGGATTGACGGCAAGGTTCATGGTGCTGAATCTTGGCCGTTCTTGTGTTCATGCTCATACCCGGTGTTATCTGAAGGACTGGAACTTCTACAAGTAATGTAGTTTGTGAATTGTGTGACTGATGTAGCTCCGAGGTCATTTAACTGCTGTGATTGTCTTGTCAACTTAATGTGTCCGGGGTTGTTGGGTGCCCTGGACCCTGTTGTCACTTTGGTCCAATTCTGAAAGGGAAAAGTACACCGAAGGTCCCTCAACCTGTCATCGAGTTACAAAATCGTCCCCCAACCGCAAAACCAGATACCGGAGGTCCCTCAACTAACAAAACCGTTCGCTTAAGGTCCTTTGGTGGTTTTGACCCTGGTTTTGTCTGACGTGGCGGGTGAGTCAGCGTGGGCCCCACCTGTCAGCATTGCCACATCAGCCTTCTCTCTTTTCCTCTCTTCTCTCCCATCTCATCTCTCTATCTCTCCATTCTCTGCGACTGCGAGCAGCGGGGGAGGGGGGCGCGTGGCCGGCGGGAGAGGAGGAGGGCGTCGATGACAGGCGGCCGGCGACGCGGCGGCGAGGAAGGGGCGGCGCGCGGGCGGCTGGGGGAGGCGCGACGCGCTGACATCCGGGGGCGGAGCGGTGATGCGGCGGCGGGGGAGGGGCGGCGCGCGGTCGGCGGGAGAGGAGGAGGGCGGCGCCTCGATGGCGGCAGCCAGCGGCGGCGGCGGCGATGGGGAAGCACGACGGCCACCCGCGGAGAGGAGGTCCATGCGGAGGAGGACCATGAGGTGCTCCCGCTGAAACCGAAGGTGGCGCCGGCGGCACGGGGGGCATGAGCCTAGAGGGGAGAGCGTCGAGCTGGCACATGACCTTCTCGATGTCGAGGACGAGGCGCTCAGCGAGAGTGCGGCTGAACTCCTCCCGGTCGCCGCTCCGCCCCCGGCCGCCCGCGCGCTGCCTCTTCCCACCGCCGCGTCGCCGCTCCGCCCTTGGCCGCCTGCGTGCCGCGCCTCTCCCAGCCACCGGCGCACCGCCCCTCCCCCACCACCGCGTCGCCACTCCGCCCCCGGCCGCCCGCGCGCCGCGCCTTTCCCAGCCGCCCGCGTGCCGCCTCTTTCCCCGCCGCCGCGTCGCCACTCCTCCCTTGGCCGCCCGCCTGCCGTGCCTCCCCCAGCCACCCGCGCACTGCCCCTCCCCCGCCGCCACGTTGCCGCTCCGCCCCCGGCCGCCCACGCGCCGCCCCTTCCTCCGCCGCCGCGTCGCCGGTCGCCGACACCCTCCTCCTCTCCCGTCTCATAGACTCGCTGTTGGAGAGTACGGAGAGAGAGAGATGAGGATGAGAAAGAACAGAGAAGAGAGGAAAAGAGAGAGACGACTAATGTGGCAATGCTGACAGGTGGGGTCCACGTGGGGCCCACGCTAACTCACCCGCCACGTCAGACAAAACCGGGGTCAAAACTACCAGAGGACCTCAAGCGAACGGTTTTGTTAGTTGAGGGACCTCCGGTATCTTTTGCAGTTGGGGGACGATTTTGTAACCCGATGACAAGTTAAGTGACCTTCGGTGTACTTTTCCCATTCTGAAACTGGTGATGTGTGTGTATACATGCTGTCCCATCTTGTTCGGCCCACTATGTGCATGGGCTTTAATATTGGGCCTATTAAAGCCCATGCATTACATTTACATGGGTTTCTTAGGTTGCGGGCAGCAGGCGAAAGAGAGATTGTTTGCTCTGTTTTCCGCGTGCACGCTACCCACGATATGTTTTTTGCAAAAATTTTCTATATGAAAGTTGCTTTAAAAAAATCATATTAATCTATTTTTAAAATTTAAAATAGTTAATACTCAACTAATTATGCTCTAATGGCTTATCTCGTTTTGCGTATCTTCTCAATCTCTTCTTTTCCCATCCTCTCAAACTCGTAATGCTTGTTTGCTGATTTTTTTTTAAAAAAATGTATGTTTAATAAAATATTTATAAAGATATATTTTGATTTCAAAATTCTGCAGATCTATATCCCTAAAGCCCTCTAGAAGAGAAATATTTTGTTTAACTTACTTTCACTTTCTTCTGACCTTGAATAACTGATGTGTGAAATATTTTGTTTAGAGTAAATTTCACAAACAGATACTTGAGTCAAATTATCACAAAACTACAGATTTAAAAATGTGTATCACAAAACTACAGATTTAGCGTCAAACTTTTCACGGAACTACAGATTTAATGCACCATATCACAAAACTACAGATTTAGTGATGAAGTTATCAAAAATCTACATATTCTAGAGTTTAGATCGTAGCACTATTATTTATTTAAAGTTATAAAATCTGTAGTTTTGTGATAAAATAGTTTTTAAATGTGTGGTTTTGTGATATAATACCTTAAATCTGTAGTTCCGTGATAAATTTGACTTTAAATCTGTAGTTTTGTGAAATACATTCTTAAATCTGTAGTTTTGTAGTTTTGTAATAGTTTGATCAAAGTATTTGTAGTTTTGTGAAATTTACTCTTTTGTTTAGCTTATGGGTTTACATGTCAGCAACTCACATTAGAGGGCAGAAGCCTCTCATCTCTGTTTTTTTGCGACAGTGTTGGCGTATGTTAACGGCAGTCTTCCATGGTGTTGGCTATTTTGAGGTGTAATGGAAACATTTTACTCGTTTCTCAAGATGGATCGATGATCATGGTAGACCATGTTGTCATCTGATACTTCTCGTTCCATATTCCATAGTTAGAATTACGTACATGACAATACTCATACCGTCATACGGTATCTATTTGTTAATCGAACTCACATGCCTCGAAGCAGTGTCTCATTTATCGTCAATTACCACTTTTACCGCCGGGGTATCGTAAAGACTCGGTAACACCCATAAAAAAAATAAATTCTTCATAATTTTTCTCTGGTTTTTCAACTGTTTAATGTGGTTAACATGATGACCGGGCTTATCTCTCTGCCAAGCAGCATGCCGCAAGCGTGCACACACAATACAAAAACAGTTGTTATAAATCCAAGTTAGCATCACGATCTGCGGGTGCCTATACACTGCACCATTTACCTTTTTCTGGACGGTGCTAATCACCTCGTAGCTAGCTAAACACTCGAGTCACTGACAGATCATCTCGCCGTCGTATGCTAGCTCGAGCTAAACTCCTTGGAATAATCTCTCACAACTTTACACGAAAATACCTCCAAAACCACTCAAAAGCTCACTAATTAACCAACCTAGCAAAAACTCTTCGTCGGTTTTGTGTCACCAATCCTTATCCCAGCTTCTACCCATTCAGTGACTCAGAACGCCAGCCCGCGCCGCGCCGCGCCCGCGCGCACCCCGTGCCCGCGCGCGCGCGGCGCGGAAAGGCAGCCGCGCGCGACACGCCACGCCACGCCACGCCGCGCCGCGCCGCGCCCGCGACGCGACGCGACGCTAGCGCGCTAGCTCGACTGGAGCGAGCGAGCTCGAGCGAATGCGGTGGCGGCGGCGGCGACAGGTGTTCCGGGAGGTAGAGGAGCCGATCGAGTTTGCTGTTGCGGACGGGGGGCCTCCGATCCGTTACTCCATCTATCGTCCACGTCACGCTTTTTTTTTTTTGGCTGTTTTTTGTTTTTTTTGGCCTGGACTGTGGAGTGTGGAGTGGAGGTGGGGGCCACTGACACCTTTTGGCAACCTGAGGTGCTATGTGCACCCCACTCGGCTACCCACGTCGCTACCCACCCCTACACATGGCACGGTCGGCACGCGCAAATGGTTTACCCGCATTGCTACATGGTCCTACACATGGCACGGTCGACACACGTGAATGGTTTTTTTCTTTCCTGTGATTGTAAATTTTAGATAGTTGGAGGGGCTTGATTCGATATTAAGGTCGCGTAAATGCGACGCGATGACGCCGTCTATATAAGCGCAGTGGGCCAACCTCGAAACGCACACCCTTGATATTATTACAGTAGCCACTAGCCAAGTTTGTATATTCTCGGGGGAGAGTGTTGGGCGAAGGTGATTTTCGTCCAACAAGAAGTGTGAAAGATGGACTCAAGACCGGAAACTCAAAGGTATAATGTTATTTCTAGATTGTTTTAAATGGATCTCCGTTTATAAGGTTGTTACCTGGTGGGAAAATTTTTACCAGTATTTAGTTATTAAGAGAAATTTTTTTCTCTCCATATATACATGAGTTAGGAAATCATGTAAAGATTCTCATTCACACAAAAGCAAATAACATGAAAAAAAATAGAGAAGGAATTGAGAATGAATTTAGCTACCAAATATTTCATTTTTTTCCTTTCATCTCAAAGAAGATATATGGACAAAACTTTTTGTTCACTGATTTATGATTTATTTAAGAAGAGAGAGATTGGTATAGGTACGGGGTGACGTGCTTGATTTATGTAACTAAGGATAATAGGAGAAGAGGGACAACGCGAGCGAGTTTCTCCTCTAATCGCAAAAACTTGAGAGTTTCCAACTTTCACCATCTGAGAAAATTGTAGAATTGGTGGAGGTTGGAAACATGTGCTGACTAACTAATTGTAGAGGATTGGGTAGGTTTGATTTCAAAATTTGATAAGTTAGACGATAAATAAAATCGTCAAGAAAGGGATCTCAAATAGCTAACATTTACGTCTTAAATAAGATAGATGGGACGCTCCTCCCTAGAGTAGACCGTGTTAAATGCTTTTATTTTCATCTAAAAGGTACAAAATGACCGCCATAAATCCTACCAGCGCCGCCACCGCCAAACAAAGCCTCCCAAGCACATAATAACTTGTGTACACTCTTGGTGTTGCTTTAGCCGCGCCGAAAGTACCAACAAAATTAAAGGAAGCAACAAATAAAGGCATTTAGAATTCCTCACCAAGCAACCCCCTTCTCCCCCCAAAGCTATATAAACCCACACCGCCTCACCCTCCCAATCTCACCATTTTCACTCACTCACTCACACTGAACTCCTATGGCCTCCGCCGTCGTAGCCAAGCCACCGGCCGCCGCTCCGGCGAGCCGCCGCCGATGCTTCGTCTTCGTAGAGCGCGCCGCCGCCGCCGCCGTCGGCGTCAACGCGGCGATCGCTGCCGTCGATGACCACCGCCCAGTTCCGGCCGCGGCCGCCGCCGCCATGGACGACGTCGTCGGCCGCGTCGCGCGGCCTGCGCGCCCCAGCGCGCGCGCCATCATGGAGGGGACGCACAAGCAGATCAGCTCCGGCGGCGCCTCGGGCGGCTACTGCACCGTGCCGTGGTGCAGCATCTGCACCGGGAATAACCCGTTCGCCATTGCCGAGTTCTTGCTGTGCTGCAACCTCTGCGGCGTCCCTCTCGCCGGCCGCCCCAGCTTCATCTACATGTACAATTAGTAACTAATTAAGCATGCATTGCACAGTAATTAACTCAACTAAAATAGTAGAGATTGAAAGAAGCTGAACAGTATGTTAGCTTGTACTGCATTGCATTAATTTGATGTTTTTTTTTTGTGTGTGTGTTTTGTTGGAATGCATATGCAGTGGAGAGAAGGCGTTCTGCAAGGAGGAGTGCAGGTCGAGGTACGTGGTGGAGGAGGCGCTGCGCGAGGCGAGGGAGGAGAAGCGCCGCGCCGCCGCCGCCGCCGCCGCGTCGCCGGAGAAGAAGAAGGAGGCGGCGGCGGCGAGGAAGGGCGGGGAGGAGTGCAGGGAGGGGAGCATCTTCTTCATCTGCGCCGACGACCTGTGAAGAATGTGATGGATATGATGCATCATGCGTGCATTGCATGGCGGATGATAATCGGAGCTTGGCTGTAATAATAATCGATCTCCACCATAATATAATACAATAGTAATATACTTAGTGTACTGTAATGAGGATGAATAAAGGGGATCAAATCAAGGCCACCATGCATGGCTAGTCGATATATATCTGAGTATTTTGTGTTGCTCTTTTTTTTGTGATTTTTTAAAGTGACATGCATAAAAACAAAGGAACTTTTTCTTAAGAGACAAAAATACTTTTATTTTTTTTCCATTTGTATCTTTTCTGATCTGTCCGTTAATTTGTAAGAACGATATACTTGCATGATGCTATAGGTAGTGATAGATGCAATCCTTATCTTTGGATCGATCCACAATGCATATACATATGTAGGGTGATGGATTCTTCTTACACATTATATATGTGATTAAGCAGTGAAACACGACTGCTAGCCGAATGTACGTTACTGCAGGCTGCAAGGTTGTCTCATTACAGCATGCAGCCGTTTTCAGGTTTCACCAGCAAAAGGAAATGAAAAGAAAAATTAGGCGAAGCTATGAAGTCCAAAACAAATTAAAGACGCGCGCAGTGGTTTGGTTAATCTGTGTATCGTTGCCTCGTAGCAAAAGCTACGAATTCAGTTCGTATCGAGACGAACTCGTTTTCAGATAAATATTTGAACGCTTCTAACGGGCCACGCGTTCGCTGGGATCTGTTCCGGCCCAAATAATAGTGGGCCGCGCGTAAGCAGAAATCCCCTTCCGACCCAACTCGTATGGGCCGCATCTTCGACGAATCCCGTTCCGGCCTAACTTCATTGGGCCGTACGCTTTCTGCTATCTCGTTCGGGCCCAACTTTAGCGGGCCGGTAGCAAGGCCCGTCCGACGAGCCCACGAGCAGCGATACTTGTACAGAGCACACTCTTTGGAACCTGGAACAACATTGCTATTTTTAAACACATTTCTAATGCAAAAATACAATAAACAAACCACTGATGGCAGGCTGGCAGCAATAACATTAGACTAAGATTATATAAAATTGTCAGCTTACATCCTTCACACACATATACCATTACACATTCTCCATCCATCCATGTACGAAACAACATCGAAAATAGCTCCAGAAACACTCTAAATATAGACGTAAAAAAAGTAACATTAGCTAAAACAAAACCAGAAAAAAAAAGAGATCAGACTGATCGAGTCACAAATTACAGCGACGAGCTCGCAGGAATTTTATTCAGTAGTACATGAGCTGCTGCTGCGAGGGGCCAACGTTGGGGAAGCTGGCATCATACATGGCCTGGCTCACGCCTGCACCCATCCCCATTGCCTGCTTCAGATGCTGCTGTGCCTGAGCCTGCATCAGCGCCTGGCTTGACACCATCTTGCTCAAGGCGAGGCTGCGCTGGTACTCGAGGAGATCGGCCGCCGTCACGCTGGGAGCGGCGGGAGGGGGCAGAGGCGCCGACGTGGTGCCGGGTGGCGTCGGCTTGTTGCCCCAGGAACACTGGAGAGACAAGTGTAACCAGGTGTCAAAGGTGAATCTTAGGGTTCAATGGAGTTAAGAGGAATGATAACGGCATGCGCGAAAACGGTGAAGCGGGAAATGTGAGTCACCTTGATTGGTTTACCACCTAGAATGCGACCGTTTCCCATCTGGATTGCGAGGGCGGCTTCTGCGTGGTTGCTGTATCTGACGAAGCCAAATCCTTTGCCAAGCTGGATCCGGACCTCCTCAATGGCCCCAGCTCCAAGTGCGTGGAAAAGACGATGGAGCACATCTTGAGTAACCTGAAATTCAAAGACGTCAATTTATCAGTAAGACAACCGGAACAACATTCACAGCGTCTAGTGTTCGAAGGATTCAATATGCCATACATTTAGTAACGCTGAAATAGAATTACCTCGTGAGCAAGGTTTCCAACATAAACAGTTCTGTACTGTGGATTGTTCTCTGGGGCATCTTCATTTGCTTTCTCCTTCCCGTCTTCTGAACAAGATTAAAAAAGAACAGCACAACTCATCATATATTCATACTGAAGCCCATCGTATTAAGAACAATGAACTGCAGCCCTTCGTTCCAACAGCAGGGCTAAGAGTATCATGCAAGTGCGCAGCACAACAACGAAAGAAGACGCACACAGCAAAATCATAATGAAAATAGGAGTAGAACAGATCAACACCATCATTCGTTACAAAAATATTCTGGTTAAACCAGGCAATGTTTTGTAATGTTACTGCCTGAGTTATTTGTTAGAAGAACTCAAAGAGGAAGTGGTTTTTAATTACCAAACCTCTACCATTTGCAGGAAGCAATATGTTTGAAGGCTCTCTATATATTATTCTATATTTTTATATTTAATTACCAAACCTCTCACATTTGCAATGCACAGCTAAAACACTATGCTTTAATTTATTCTGTCTTCTGAAAGTACATACTAGCAAATGGAAGGAATTTAAAATATTAAAATATGACTAACACAAATATGTTACATATCCATAAAGATTACCTGTCAAATTGTTAGTCAGATCAGCTACGTTTTTTGAATCTGAAGTCTGCTGCTCGCCATTGCTGGCACCCTTTGTTGCCCAGTTGCAGCGTATCTGCCGACTTCCAAGCCATTGTCCTATGAATAAGATCAGATGAATAAGGCACCAAGCCAACCAAATCCAAAACCACACAACCCAAAAACATTGTACATTCTTAAATGAGAAATATTTGGAGTTTGTGCATGACATACCATTTAGGTCATTTATGGCACTTTGTGCATCCTGTAAGCTCACCAAAAAACTTTTTTTTAAGTGACAGGAGTAAACAAAGAACCCATACAAATGCACGTGCTTTTAGAATTACCATACCTGTTGATTCCTGAAGGAAACAAAGCCATAACCTCTAGATCTTCCAGTCTTTTGATCCCACATAACTCGGGCATCACTAGATACCAGAAAGTAGTGCAATTTAAGATCCAGATAAACCTTAATTTAATTAGTAAGATAAAGAAAATGGTATGAAAAGTGAACTAGGATGTATCCTAGTGGCGGTAGAGGTACTACTGACACAACTGATGATTATTATGAAATCGTGACAACAGAAGAATTAAAAGAGGACAGCTGACAACGCACAAAATATTATAAAGCTGGGGTAGGAAAAGCCAAATTGGGCCAATGGCAGAAAACACTAGTGGATAAAGGTAATAAATACTTACGAGCAACTGGAATATCCAGAGAAGAATGCAAATAATGCGGAATCAGTAACCTCTGGGCTAAGATCACCAACAAAAATATTGAAATGGTCTGCAAAAGTGATAAAATTTACCATGTCTTGCCAAAAGTTATATCAAAAAATTCTGAGAATACTGGTATAAAAAGCAAACATAGTATCAACCTGTTGTGTCCTCCCTCTGCCCACTAGCATATGCCCAATTAACTCTGATAAGCTGCCCAAAACTGTATCATTTTTCTTCAATGAGTGTTTTTGGGGAGAAAAAAAAACATAATTAAGCTTCAACAAACTAGCAGAAATGAATAGCTTTTCTCTTACATTTGCTTTCCATTAAGTGTCAAAATTGATAATGCAGCTGATCTGCGGTCATAGTAGTCAACAAAGCCATAAGATGACTGCAGAAACATATGTTTAAAAGTAAATCATGAGATCCTCATGACAATAGTTGTGTCAGACTGAATCACCCCACAAAGGATACGCTTTCAAAAATATAACTGAAATAAACAGAAAAATCAGGTAATGAAAGCAAACCTTCTCTTTTCGTATAAGCTTGCATCCTTCAACTAAACCAGTACTCTGAAAAACCTCTCGGAGAAGTGCCTCTGTGACTTGAACATGAACATTGCCAACATATCTAAAATTATGAAAATAGAGCATATCAGAAAACATTAGACCATGCTTCCATGCAAAATATGCTCTTACATAAGAAATACAAAGATTAATAAATTTGCCGTGTTATTTTGTGAACAGAAAACATTAGACATGTTTCAATTTTTAGTAAGGATTAATGCATATAGATCTTGTAAATGTATTCAAGGCACAAATTTTCACCTTACTTTCAGCTATGAAATAAATATAGTATGTAAAATTTCATGTTACCAAAATACCATTGTGTCAAAGTTTTAATGTATACATGGCCAACATGCAATTAAGAAAACAGTGGCTAGCAGATAGACTTGCAAAAGCTTCACCAACAAAATATGTGCTTGTGTACACAGCTAATGGAAGATTCTTGCTAGATGTATTAAATTACATTACATGTGTACAGGAAAAGATGCCCTAAAGTCCAAAGCATGAACTTATGCATTTTCAAGCATACGAAGAAAAGAAAATAAAAAAAATAAAAAGAATCCCTAATGGGACTCACACACTGCGGCATGTACTCGTATCAAAGCCAGGAGGCAGATTTCCAGTAAGGATTGGCTCTATCTGCAAAAATAAAAATGTAAAAAAACAAAGAAAGAAGAAATAAAAATCTACAAATAATAGGAAACGCCTTAGCAAAAAGAAGCCTGGTACATGCAAACTACACAAGGCATCCTGCAGATACTACAGCAAAGTTCCAATGAGATAAATGTAACAGAGGAAGGGAGAAAGCTGCATGCTTTATTTGCCAGCAAAAGGGGGTAAAAACGGCGCTCCCGATCAATCAGGGTACAGAATAGACGTATATGTCAAATATAGAAAAATTTCAGCTAGTAATAAAATAGGAACCTTACAAATGAGAGCTAAAATCCAAGCCCTACAAATCCTAACCTGAGTAAAAGGAAATCAGACCTCATCAATGATGCATGTTTTACTTAGACATCAGTACATCACAATGATGTGATCCGTGCAACACAGCAACAAGAGTAATGTGATCTCCATTCCCAACTAGATAAGGTTGAACTAACTTAACCAACCAAAAGGAATCAAAATATTCCTAACCAAGACAACAAGAAGCACCAAAAAAGTGGGCACCTAAGCCCAAACAATCCCCAACCCTGCAAGGATTCAAACCAAACGGACCTAAATCACCCAAAAGTCCCAAAGGCTATACCTTTGCAAAATCAAACAAAGAGAAACACAAAACTCCCTAAGTCCTTCAAGATTTTATCGATTAATTACTCGTTACAATCAGAAGCACAAAACTTCCAGATCACCTGAAGACCAATCTCAAACAAAATTAACTGATCAAGTATCAGAACACTGCATAAATTCGGATCACTCAAATTCTCAGACTTGTATTCTCCAAACAAGAGAAAGAAAAAAGGTGTCTTTGAATTCCAAATTGCACTACCCTCCCCACAAGCAGCAAGCATGCATGAAACACAACTAGAAAGCCCCTCAATTTCGTGCAAATCACCTCGGTATCACTCAAAAGATCCGTCATTTTCCACAACACCCGTAAATCAGAGTCAGAGACCACCAATGCTTTCACTTTTTCACCCCACACAACACCCGTCAATCAATCGAAATCTAGGAACCCAACAGTTGGAAACCATTCGACGCTAGCAGAGCCAAGGCACAGGAAACGAAGCGATCAATCAGCGAGACTAGCAAAGCTCCCCCGCTTTACCCGACCAAACTCCCGCGAAACCCGCAGCCTCTTTCGCGGGCAGCTAACTGTGTGAGGGGCACGGCACGGACCTGCTGCTGGGGCGGCGCGGCGGCGAGGAGCGGGTGGTGGTGGTGGTGGAGCGGCGGCGGTGGCGGCATCGCGTACATGGACGGCGGCATCAGCGCCGCCGCCTGCTGCTTCTGCTGCTGCTGCTGCTGCGGCAGCATCGCGCGGGCGCTCCCCACCGTCGCCGGGAGGGCCTAGGGTTGTAGCGCGGCGGAGGCGGAGGAGGAAGGCGACGCCGCGCGCGACGGTGGGGGGAGGGGAGGGGAGAAGAAGGGTCGAGAAGGTTTGGGGAGTGGAGTGGACTGACTGGGAAGAAGGGTTGATAGAGTAGTACTAGTAAAGTTGGTGAGAGATTTTGGCTGCATTTCTTTTATTTTCCACCCTTATAGAGCAAGTACTCCATGTCTCCCTCCGCCAATTTTAAGTGCATTTTTGCCTAATTTTAATCGTTCGTTTTATTTAAAAAAAATTTTATAACTAGTACTTTTGTTGTTATGAGATGATAAAACATGAATAATACTTTATGCGTGACTTATATTTTTAATTTCTTTTAGAAAAACTTTCAAATAAAACGGACGATCAAAATTGAGTACAGAAAATGGATGCACTTAAAATGGGACGGATGGAGTAGGAGAGAGGAGAGGAAAAAGACAAATATGCTACGAAAATCCTTTTGAAAGTTCAGCCATAAATGTATCAAATTTTGCTAATTTGATTTTATCGATTTTGTCGATTTCAAGCCAAAACTATGAAACTTGTATCAAAACTATCGAATCTATGCTAGATTTTATTACAAGTATGTCAAGGATTCGGATAAAAAAAGAAGCATGGTCAACTGAGTAAGGACAAAAAGGATAATTTGCCCCTTAGTTAACACTATTATCTTATCATCATGAAATAAAATCAGTCTTGATCTTCAATTTTAAAAAACAAGGTCAAATGAGCAAACTTGAAAAAAATATAATCAAATTAGTATAGGCTTCATAACATGGTGAAATGAGCAATTGCCCCTGCTTATAAATGGTATTATACTTGTTTTAGTAATTTTATTTTTTTTTATTAAAAATTTATATAGGTAATTGATTTAAAATCATGTTAGTCTTTTTTTAAGTGTTTAATTAATTAATTAATTATATGCTATTTTACTGCTCCATTTTACGTGTTGGGTGCGACGGTTTCTAAGGGCAGTCCCAACCCATAGTGTCCATAAGCAGTGTCTATGGTGATATCACAATAGAAACTATACTCTACAACCCATGGTTTCTTAAAGTGGGCTATTAATAAATACATCATCTCTCTTCTCTACCAATAATATTTATTCTTCATCTATTATGAAGACACTATTCTCTCCCAATGCAAAACTTGATAGTATCTAGCGCATAGGTTTTTTGTGTTGAAGGTGTGTCTTGCATGAGACCCAATTTCTTACTCTCTTCACTCTCTCTCTCTTAATTAATATATAGTGCTACATAAGCTAAAAGTCCTACATGACAATGTATTTAATACTATAGACACCATCCTAGGTGGAGGTTTGGGACTGCCTTAACATCAAACCCCCAACCAATTTTGTTGCATTCCGCGCTTGCGGAGTGAGAGATGGATATATTGTTTTTATTTTTCAAGTTCTCTTCTTTTTTTCCATTGGAAGCACATACGCACTTCACTTAGATATAACCGAACACACCTTATAACACATACTCTATTCTCAATAAAATCATATTGAAATGACACTAAATAGTAATGTTTATTTTTAAATAGGGTTTAAATTCTGATGGGTTGAGTCATACACCAATGAGTACACCATCAAACGCCACATGTACTTTCTTTGTGTAGTATCTCTTTATTATTATCTATTTCCTTAACGTATCCTATCGTAGAAAATAGAAAATAATAGGTACATTCAAATCTGAAACTATTGAATCAGTAATAGACTTAAAATATTATTTGAATTTAATACGTGGATTTATCATGAAAAATATTTTTTACGGTTATATTTTCATTAAGCTTTGTAAACATAAAATTACGAGCAGAGAAAGTAATGATAAGACAATGTGTATTTGGCACCTTGTGGATATTTAAAAGGAGGTGGTTCGGTGCTGGAATTGCGGGGTGGTGGTTCTTGCTTCTAAAGAGTTGTGAACAATCAGATCTCAACATAAGCTCGAGCCGAGCCTATTTCATATTTTAGGTAAGTTTGTTTCGAGCTCGATCAAGCTTAGCGATATATTTCAATGATAATTCTTTGGTAAGGATAACATTTCTCTAGTGAACCACACTTAAAAAAAGGTAGAAAAAATATTACCATTGACACATGCTAAATTATTGTGTAGGTAAACATATATTTATCTCATTGGTAGAGATCGATCTTGTTACCAACTGGGACTAAAGGGTTAGTCCCAGTTTTTTTTCATGTTCTTTTGAATATTGATTTCACACCACTCTCTCCAAAATCATAAAATCAATCACAAAGTCCAAATCGAAATCGAGATACTCCCTACATCCCCAGATCAAATAGCAACATCACAAATCATAATATTCACATCACAAATTGTCAGAAAAAAAACATCACAAATTCTTAAAAAAAATTACATCACAATCACAATCACAAATACATCACAGATCAAATAACCCAGATCCAGATCTAGATCCAATGAATCACAAGTTATTAAAAAAAAATCCGGTCGCCGAGGGCGGCCGCCGCCGCTGTTGCCTCCTGCCGCGGGCGGCCGCCGCCTCCTCATGCCGTGCGCGGCCGCCGCCGCCGCCTGCCATGGACGGCCGCCACCGCCTCCCGGCATGGGCCGCCGACTGCGCTCGGGTCCCTGTCGCCGCGCTCCGGGGGCGAGCTCCTCGCCGGCTAAGTGTTGAGAGAGGAATAGAAAGAGACTGAGAAGAGGATAAGGATAAGTGTGAGAGAGAAGAGGAGAAATAGGAGATAGAAATTTTTGAGGATAGCAGCAAGGGATTATATATGGTATATTTGATTTTTAGTCCCGGTTAGAAACAACAACCGAGAGTAAAGTTAGGATTTTAGTCCCGGTTGGTAATACCAACCGGGACTAAAGATCTCTAGGGACTGGCAGCCTCTGACACGACATGAACCGGGACCGGTTGGTGTTACCAATCGGGACTAAAGATGATTTTTAGTCCCGGTTAATAACACGAACCGGGATAAAAGATGATATAGTCCCCTTACAGTTATCAACCGGGGCTAAAAATGCTTTTTAGTCCCGGTTTTTAATAGAACCGGGACTATTGTGGATTTGGGTGGACCGATCAAAGATGGTTTCTCCACTAGTGCCTATAAGTTTATCAAATTAACAAGGTATATAAACCATAAAAGTTATTATACATGGTCAAGATGGTTAGAAGCTTGAGATCGGCTAGATAAAATTCGTGAGTTTGGGTTTGGGCTTGGCTCATTTAGAGCTTAAGCTGAGCTCGAACCTAACCTAGAAAAAGCAAGCTCGCAGCTTTGAGTCTTTTTTTTAAATACACCCCTACGTTTAAAATCAGTTTTATTCTCGGTTCTGAACAATAAAGTGCTCCTATGGCTGGCGAGCTCGAGATTCCTAATTCGTGCATACGCGCTACGGGCTAGCACTTCAGGCCCACGGCCCACGCGGCCATCGATGCTGATCGATCTTTTTTCTCGTGGCATTTTTTAAGTAACGTAACTAACTATGTTAAGGATAATAATAGTAGTAATTAAGGAAATATTTTTTTTTGAGATTTTTTTTACTAATAGATTGAAAATTTTTAAGTTACATTTGAAAATTTTTAACTTGAGATTTAAACTTTGAAGTTAAATTTTAAAAACTTTCAACTCAGATTTGAAAACTTTTAATTTTCATCTCAAATTTGAAAAAATTTCAACTTAGATTTGAAAACTTTCATCTTAGATTTGAAAACTTTCAACTCGAGATTTGAAAACTTTCATCTCAGATTTAAAAACTTTAAAATCGAGATTTGAAAACTTTCAACTCAAAACTTTTTTTAAAAAAATAAGTGTGCTAAAGATTAAAAAAAAGTAATCAGAAAAAAAGCGAAAAAAATCGTAAAAGAAAAACGAAAAAAAAAATCACGAAAAAAAGAAAAAGAGGGCTGATGGGCTGATGGGCCGGGAACAGCTGGCGCGCGCCAACTAACAACCCCTGGCGAGCTGCAATGTAGAAGAACTCCATTGTTAGCTTTCGGCATCGGGGTGGTTCGGATAAGAGCGCATCGTGTTACGGAGAATTACAACCACTGATAGCTTTGAAAAAATTGAAAGCTAAAAAACTATCATCTGGAGCAATGGAACATGACAACGATTTTTTTTAAAAAATAACATAATATAGTTGTAACACTCATAACACGCACACACTTACCTCTACCTTTATAAACATCCTCGAAAAACTTGATCGAAATATCTCACTGTCGCGTACTACTGAACATAAAGTTTTTGAAATAATGGAACAATCGCAGCACACTGTAGTGCTGTACGGGCGATTAGTCCAGCATAAACAGTGGCATCTTCATGCATCGCCAATGCCCCAACCATTCTTGGGCTCAAAGCCCACATATGCATCCACACAGAAAAAGCCCAAGTAAGCAACCGATGCCTCTGCGATGGGTTGTAACCTGGGCCCCCCTATCTCCCCCTCTGCACGTCAAGATGTACATATACGAGATTATACCCCGTATCTTCTATTTATTTCTATATAGTTTTAACCACTAAATTTCGAAAAAACACATACAAACATAGCAATCATTAGTATATTCTAAAACCTAACCTACAAACATGTCACATCAACCCACTAAACACTTACGAGTCAACATACAGACATAACTCAACATATAAGCACGCTAAATCATAATTTCTCAAATCATTTACATAATACTTTAACACAGATCCATCCATCATTTATATAACATTTAATATATATCCATCCATATATATTTTGCAATAAAGTATGGGCCGTCATATAGTACATTATATTCTTACTACACCTAATTCGTTCTAAAAATGGATGATATACATGAAGAATATGTGTAGTCAAACCTTAAAATATTGAATTATTAATAATGTTAAACTATTAGGATTTTAAACTTAAAATTTGTGTTAGTGTATTTGTTATGAAAAAGTTTCATATAGTTATATTTTAAATAATTTTATTAAATATATAATCTCTCATTTTCAATGCGTGTTCAAATTTTGTATCGAAATATAGCTATTTATCAAGTACCAAGGGTGCTTTAGTGATGAAATATCCAAAGTATTCCTCGTCTCCACAACCACACACTGCCACATTCCATTAATCGGGCCAATTAATAAAGAAAAATATAGTATTTTCAACAATGTCCAAGAAATTAAAAGATGGGAGGCAGTACAATAACAGCAAGCCCGTGGATAAGCAGTATAGTACGTGAATGATTCAGTCATTCAGAGTAACTGTACACTGTACAACCACTGCTGATACACAACAGCAGAGTGCAGTGTTATGGGTGTGTTTAGTTTCACGCCAAAATTAAAAGTTTGGTTGAAATTGGAACAATGTGACGGAAAAGTTGGAAGTTTATGTGTGTAGGAAAATTTTGATGTGATGGAAAAGTTAGAAGTTTGAAGAAAAACTTTAGATCTAAACTCGGCCTATTTAGTCCAGTCTACGGAAGCGTGCACTGCTTAAATAAACAGCGTGCATTCAGAAATTGCTTTGCAGACACAAACAGGAGAGTCAGAATAGTAGAAGCATACTGTATCAATTCATCATCATACTATGCATATTATTATATTACTAAAGTTCTAAAGAATCAGCATGTGATGAAATGGACCTGGGCTAAAGTTACTGAAATAAAAAGGAGCAGCAAGCAATGGACAGATTCCTCCCCCTGCCTCCGGATAGCTACCATGCTCCCCCTGTTTTTTCAGATTGAAAATAATTAAAATGGCTTCAGAATGAATCAATGTCTTTCAGTCTTTTCAAGTTTTTCCCCCAAAACCAATTACACACATGGTGTTCCAAAGTAGCACCAGGGTTTACGTTATCGTTTTCGAAGTAAAAACCGATACCTGTTGGTTTACCGGAAACCGATAAAATCACCACTTTCAGTCAACTTCGTAAAAAACCAGCTAAAACCGCTCGGATTTTACGACAGATAACCAATGGTTTCACGAAAAATGAGCGGTTCTCGGTCGGTTTTCCACGATTGTCAAGATCCCTCTCTTTCTTTTTCTTCATTCTTGCGTGCGGGTATGAACTCTAAATCCATCACTACAGTTGCGTGAGAAGAAATTAAAGAACACAACCAAGAACTTAGACAAGGTTGAGGCAGTCTCTTTCTTGCAAGGATTCTTTCTGTTGCAAGTCACACAGCCAATTCGTTTTTCCCACTGTTTGGTAGCTACTGAATCATCGGTAGGTCGTTGGTTCATCCATCAGATGATGAACAGCTAGCTCGATTCAAATGGTCCATGCTGCCATTTGCAGTCCACTTCATGCCCCCCATGTGGCCGTGTGGTCTGAAGAACGCTCTGAATTTTGACCTGGATGGATAATGGATTACTGGACCCAATAAACCCATCATTAGTGCCTCGGATTAAACAAGCAATTGCATCCTGGAAACAAGGGCAGCATGTCTCCTGGACCACAGAGGACGGCACACGGATTTTGTTAGTTGTAACCATGAACAGCTTGAGCACATGGTGTGCCTTTTTGTTGTTATCTTTCTCTTTTGATAATTCTTCAAACACACAAAGGACGATTGGTAGTACGTGCATGCATCAACCGGGCAAATCAATGAGTAAATTACAAGGCAGAAGCCTGCAAGAAAAAAAAAAGGTATTGTAAAGCTGCCAAGATGTGTTAATTTTATCGGTTCGTGGAACAGAAGTAGTCTGACCAGATTGGCTGGATTCCTGAATTTGAAATTGATTCAGTGAAGAGTAAAGAGAGAGAGTTACACAAGCTCTCTGACAAAATTGTGTCACAAAGGAATGATCGAGAATGGCATGCAAAATCTTCTGTAAGAGAAAAAACTAATCAAAAGATTTGACAATTGGTAGACAGCAAGTTGCAGGAATGTGAGCACTAGTTCATCAAGTCCTTTTGTTAGGAGTATAATACAAACAAGTTGAGAAAGGAGAAAAAAGCAGGCAACTTGGCTCACTGTGGGCTCCCATGCGTCCAACAAACATCTCTCTCTGAAAAATGTCTTTTGTATGTATGTACTCCGTATCATGTATGCATACTGGACATGGATCCTCCGCAGTACAATTGGTTCAGTAGCAATCACTGACAGGTGGATCCGATCCCACATGTCAGTTGCTATTATCATATCGACAGTACTGCAGAGAATCCCGGTCAATGCATCCTTCTTCCCCCCCCCCCCCCCCCCCTTTGCAATTTCCAAACAGCTTCCTGTTGTTTTGCTCTTCATGCTTTGCTTTGCTTTAGCTGTCAAACAAGAATCCTATCAACTCATCTCCACCCCCAATTTCTCACATGTGCTCATATCTTTTGATTAAAGAATTGGGCATGGGGTGACAAGTCTTGCCTTGTGCACCTTCCTTCGCAAAACCCTTATCTTCAGCTTGACAGTGCCATCCAACCTACCCCAGGCTGCCTCCTGTGCTGCCCTGTATCCCCTTTGCATGATGATAAAATATATAGCTACAAAACAGAAAAGATTCATAGGCAATCACTAATAATTGTGTTTGTGGAACATCAAATATTCCATTAGTTTGTAGTTTGTGTATGTAGTTATTATTTTATGCTAAATAATGAGGTTTGCATTTAAGAAAAAATGAAAACGCGTCAAGAAAAGGAAAAAAGAAAGTCCAAGAGCAAATTGACTCTGCAGGCACATATAATGGGGACCAAATAATGCAGACATATTGGAGGAGGACCAAGCCAATAAGCCATGTAACAGAAATCAACAATAGGAATATGAATTATATTCTGAATCCATTACAATCACTTTGCTTTGCATAGAGCAAGGCTAGAGCCAAGGACAAAGCCAGATGATCAGAATTTCAGAAGATACATATATGTTTCCTTTGCAATAACTTTTTACCTTAGCATGGCCATTTTCAGAGTCACCATGTGTTAACATGCCAAAACTTCTCTCAGGCTCTCGGCACTGGTCGTCAATGCTACTACCTTTTTCCTTTACATTCAGAACTATGTGACAAGTGAACAACATAGAAGCACGAACTAAAGAAAAAACACTAAAACATGGGGTATGAGAGAACATATATGATTTGGTACTCTAACGGCAAGCGCATTTCATATATTTTTGAAGAGCTTTGGTGAAGTTTCCATGCAACCTCATTGGCCGCGTTCTATGGGCTTCACGACGGCGTTCGGCCCTAGTCCGAGCCATGGCTGGCTCTCAGGCTCCTTCTTGACTGGGGTTGCATCTGAAGGAGAAGCCTGGTATGGCGTCTTTGCATTAAGACTGTGACAACAAAAGGCGCATATTAGATCCATGAACTGCAGTGATCAAAATACTGAACTTAAACATCATGCAAATCATCACAGCAAAACAACTTACCGATCCTTTCTCTTCTCAAGGAACCTGTGGAGTGATGCCTTCCTAGCAATAGGCATATCTACACAGAAAAAAAGAGGTCACTTGATAACTGCTACAACAAAATTCAACTGGTTATGCGTTCAATACCCCGACAGACATGAACATCAAGAAAGGGCAGAGTAATTACCAGAAGCATTCGCGCGAGCAGGCTTCTGAGCATCGGCCTGAGCTGTAGGCAAGCTACTGACCGGGGCCGGCACGGCCATAGGGGCCTTGGTGTTGTCTGTAACAGCTGCTGGTGCAGGTGCCGCGGCATTCTGAGGAGCCACCGGGCTGCCCTTGCTAGCCAGCTGCATCAAGCCCTTTGCCTTGTCGGCTGGGAAGTCGTTGAACACGAGCACCTTCCCACCATAGAAGATGGTCAGCTGACGCTTCTCAGGCTCTTGTTCCCTGAAATTCATTTGCACAGAGAACACTATGAACACCTGGGATACCAGTATATCACCCCTCCAATTCTGCACCATCTGACTAACTCTATTTTCACCGGCAAGCATAAAAAGGGTTCTTTTTGAAACTACGTTTTCAGTGCCCCAGTTTAAACAAAAAAAAAACCCTAAGTTTGGGGTTAAAATTTTCTATTAACAAAGATAGGTAAAGTTTTTATAGATCCATTAACAACTCCCTGAAGTCTGAATGACCTAGTAACTCTGCTTGCCTAATTCCAATTAGTATCTGAACCCAAAGCAAAAAACAACAAAATGTTTACTCATAACCCTCTCTCCCCTCAACTAGATTTGATACCAAAAACAGTGGCTTCAACCTATTGAGGCACTTACAGCTAAGTTTTGTAGACTGCAAAATTTGTCATTTCTCTGCGTGATTCCAAGAACTAGGACACACACACACATACACCTAAGGAGCAGGAACTGCACAAAAATGAAGCAGAGAACCAAGTGGCATGGCCCCATACCTAGCATCAGCAGCAGAATCGGCGGTGATGGCATCCTGCTGGCCAAAGCCGGCGCTCTGCGGGAAGAGCTCCATGGTCTCCTTCTTCCTCTCCGCCTCCCCGGGCAGCAAGCTCATCGTCGCCGGCGCCGCCCTCGGAGCCTCACCCTCACCTGGAACCGAACCAAAACCCCAAACCTTGTGATCAGATCTCAACACGAAACCGAAGCTGAAGATGAAGATCCAACCAAGCCGAAGCACACCCACAAAAAAAGGGATGAGTTCTTTTTTTTTTCCCTTCTCCTCCTCACCTCTGATGCCGAGGCCGAGCTCGGCGGCGGCGGCGCCGTTCTGGCGGACGTAGCGGCTGAGCAGGCTGCACGCCATGGCGAAGCTCGTCGCCCTCTCCCCGCCGACGCCGACGGGCCTCGCGGAAGCCGCCATCTCTCCAAGCTCCCTTCCTAACTACCCGGCGTCGATCCAATCTCTCCTCCCCGCCGCTCGCCGCGCCGTTCTTGCTGCACCACCCCGGCTCGTCGTCGCCTCGCCGCCGTCCAGCTACCTCCGATTCCTCCTCTCGCCTTCCTGCCGCTGCTGCTAGTGGTTGAGCTGCGAGAGCGAGAGCTAGAGAGAGAGAGGCTCGTGCGCGAGCGTTTATAAGCAAGGAGAGGAGACGGAGACGACGCAGCCGCTGCGGTTTCTGGTCACCACTCAATTCGATTCAATTTAACCTCGCGGATTTTCTTTCTTCCCATTTTTTTCTTCTCCTAATTACCTACTTCCTCCCTCCAAAAAAAACAAACCCTATATATTTTCGTGTCCAACTTTAACTGTCCGTCTTGTATGAAATTTTTTTATAATTCTTTTAAATAAAAAAATATTATTAATATTTTATGTGTGACTTGTCTTTTTAATTTTTTTCATAATTTTTTTAAATAAGACGGACGGTCAAACGTTGGGCATGGAAGCCAGGGTGTCTTTTTTTTTTGGGACGGAGGGAGTACTCCGTACTGGAATAAGTTAATCTAACACAATGTGACATATTGTAGTAATACAAATATGTCTAAATTTATAGTATTATTACGATATGTTTATCCCATAATTTAATTTGGAATGGAGAAAATAGTTGCTCTCTTCGTTCCAAAATACTACTTATAAATTACCTTTTACCTTATCTCAATTATTACCACTGGATTCATCTCTATCCAACTTTGTTATTATATCATAATAAGAGTACTACGTTTTAGAACGAAGGGAGTTACATCTGTTCTAGAAATATACTCCCCCTGTCTCATAATATAGCAACCAATGATGAACACCATCAATCATTGGTTGTTATATTCTGAGACAGATGGAGTAAATAATTATAAAATAGATAGATGATGAACACCATCAATCATTGGTTGTTATATTCTGAGACAGATGGAGTAAATAATTATAAAATAGATAGATGGTACCCTAGCGTCTTAAAAAAAATTCAATTCTAGCTACGAATTTAGACACGTATGTAAGCTACGAATATATGCGTGTCTAGATTCGTAGCTAAAGTTTATCTTTTTTTAGACATAGTAGTAGGTATTAAGAAAGTAAGTAAAATTTATTGGAGAAATATTATGATTTGTTGAGATAAAAAATAAGATGAATGAAATAAATGGACGAGGGTTGTGAACTTTGTGATGGGTTAGAAGGATATTGATGGATAAATAGGTTTACTATAGAAGAATATTTTGTTATTACAAGTAACTGTATTTTGGAACGGAGTAACAGATTTCTTCTTTTAAATATTATTTTATTCAATTCGGTATCATTTCGCGGGCTGGGGGGGACGATGCGAGTACTAAATGCGCGGATTCCGCACGTGGTTCGTGTGCGGAGCGAGGGGGTGGTGGGCCCCACCGCGACTGCTCCCCTCCCCCTCCTCTTTTAAATATTCTCCGGATTTATTTTATAGCGATTTTTCGCCCTTTTCCTTAATTGCGGGTGGGGCCCGCGCCCCCCATGTGCGCGATCGATCGGGTCGGTACATGCAGCACGAGGCGGTGAGCGCGAGACGTGTCGGATCCGGGTCGGGTCGGGTTTTGGTTTTGGGTTTGACCCGACCCGGTTACACCTGGCTGGGGGGGAATCCATGATCCGTCTTGAATTTCTTGATAGTGGTTTAGTAGTAGCAGCAGCTTTGGGTTGGCTTTAATTTAATTTTTCAGGTCGGGTTTTGCTGCCAAGTGCCAACAAATGTAAGTGTTGGATTGGTTGTCATGGGTAGGATGAATGTACTTTGAGACTGGTACTTGTAGAGTACAAAAGGTTAGGTAGGATGGAACTTACCTGATCGTGTTCATCGTAAAAGTGACTAGAAAGTTTTGTGTATCTAAACATTGCCGTATACTTTCTGTCAGACTTTCGGATCCAAATAGTTGCCTTTGAATTTAGGTGAGGATACAAAGTAATTTTCTATGTGCCGGACATTTTAATTTACAGTAGGCGCCTCTGAATCTAGGTTAGGATGAAGTAATTTTTTTTGCGTGCCTATTCTTTTTACTTTAGAGTGGAAAAGTCTAAATAACTTTGTTTCATATTATAAATCATTTTGACTTTCTTTTTCTTAGTTAAATTTCTTTAGGTTTGAGTTTTTTGAGATGTTGCTAAATTCTTTTACAAACTCAATCAAATCTAAAGAAGTTTGATTAGAAAAAGAATTCAAAACGACTTATAATGTGAAACAGACAGAAGGTTAAGACCATAAACCCACATAATTACCATTCTTAAACTTGATTAAAAAGAAGGTTGGATCCCAAGTTCGCAGAAATACAATTTTTTGGGACAAATGTTAAATGATATAAATGTAATTATTCTGAGATAGAGGTAGTAGAACTTTTTGATTATGCATGTGTGATTATTGACAAATGTATGTAACAGTTGTTAATAGTAAAGAATCAAACACCAAATCACGTGTAGGTGCCTTTGTTGCCAGATGGCTAAATAGTGTAGCTTCAAATTTAAGAATTACCACTAGGTGCATGTTCACCAAATTTATGTGGTGTGAGTGTAGCGCATGTGTGTGCACACATCCCATATTGTACTTTAAAGGAAAGTAACACCAACACATAATACAGAGAGATTAGTCAATAAATTGTGTCCTTAACCTTAAGTACAACACTTTGGTGAAATAATAAGTTATGAAGTGCATGAACGTGATTGAGGCCTAAATTAACAGCCTTTTTGGAGGGATGTAGGGGGGGGGGGTGCCTGTCAAGCTGAAACTTCCTGCTCTCTTCCAACCTCATGGAAATTACAATTAGCATCGCTTTCATCTCATATCGTTGTCGGATATCGATGTTCCTTTCCCCAACAGCCTAGCTACAGTTTGCAAGTCCTTGATATATGATTTTCAAAGGGTTGCTTGCTTACACATGGCTAATAGGGCTCAATCAATCTGTCGGTGTAGGATCTATCAGATCGATCCATTTAGTGTAGCTAGCGATTTATTCATTCAAGTAAAATATATAGGAGATCAAGTAGAGGTCTAGGTTATTGGGATGGTGTTAAGGCTGCGTTAGTTTCCAGTAGTCGTTCCCAACTCCCCCACTCACATTTTCTGCACACACGCTTTTAAACTGCTAAACGGTGCGTATTTTGTAAAAAGTTTCTATACGAAAGTTGCTTAAAAAATCATATTGATTCTTTTTTTTAAAAAAATAGTTAATACTTAATTAATCAAGCGCTACTGGAACGCTCTATTTTCCGTGCGGGAGGTATTAGTTCCCATCCTCCTAAAACGAACACAGCTTAAGTGTAGAATTAAGCAAGGGAGGCTAACATAAGGCTTGAAACTATACATATTAACATAGACAAACAAAATCGGTTATGTATAATTCCTCAGTTGGTGAAACGGTTTTTTTTTTTTTTGGTGATGGTGGGTGGTAAAACAAATTTGGAGTAGAATTTTTCAGATGATAGGTGCACTTTTTTGTGTGTGTGGGAATAATAGGTTCATTTTGTATCAACGTATTCAAGTATTTACATGGCACTTTAGGAGCAACAGGACAATATCCATTTAAGGTCTTAAAACTGCCTCCCTGAAATGTGCTTTAAGTCAACTCAAGTTTCTTTGAAACTTCATATATGCGAATCGGTGAAATATCCATGTAAAACAAGCTCAAGTTTTTTGTTGAAAATTTCTATATATAAAAACAATATGAGATTTAGGGGAGATTGTGTTTGGAGAAATATTAAATTTCAATATCATACTCAATCACAGTCGAAAGATACCAAAAGGTTATATATTACTCCCTCCGTTTCGAAATGTTTGACACAGTTGATTTTTTAGCACATGTTTGACCGTTCGTCTTATTCAAAAACTTTTGTGAAATATGTAAAATTATATGCCTACATAAAAATATATTTAACAATGAATCAAATGATAGAAAAAGAATTAATAATTACTTAAATTTTTTGAATAAGACGAACGGTCAAACACGTGCTAAAAAGTCAACGGCGTCAAACATTTCGAAAAGGAGGGAGTACACTTCTTCACGGGTCTCATCTCACAATGCGTTGAGTGTTGACGAGCATGGAGCGAGAGGGCAATTATTTGTGGATTGATCATCAGTGCTCGACAAGACGACGACTGGCCAATCAGTGGCAACTCGTTTTGGCCTTGATGATCAGTCGACGCCATTTTTTCAATCCTCTCCCTGGAAAAAATTCTGGACTAATTCTGAATTCAAGATTTTAAAACGGCGCGGCAACGCAACTGCATGGAACAGAAAATTAACCGACCGAATTAGGGTTCTAGAGTTTTAACAGAAATAAAGAAAAATAATCAGCCTTGCTGTTGTCTGACAGGAAAAAAAAAGAGTTGAACTCGTGTTGCACGTATACTAGTTCAGTCAAGTCAGAGGAAAAATTATAATCCCCTGTGTTTTTTGTTTTCCAAGTTGCAGAGTCTTTATAAAAGTTGCAATGGCAGTGTTTCTCGTGTGTGGCGAGTTTAAAAATAGAGCCACTTGTGTTCGTGGTGATACTACTGAGGTGAAAATCAAGGTGAGAACAATTATATCTGACAAATTGCAGTATCTTGAGATCAATGATACTATAAATTAATTATAAAAGCAAAGGGAAGCACACTACTAGCTTTCCCAAAAGGAGTAATTAACAGATGGATTTGTTGGACCAAATCGTCTTCTTTATCTCGAATAGTACGTGCACCGAGCAGAGCAATTATTCCCACTGATTATTTATTTATTTATTTATATCTTTTGTCATTAGTCATGCACAAGTTGAGGTAAAGAAAATGACCTTTAACCTTGGTCTTGGTAGTTTACAGGAAATTCCAACTAACAGTTAGCTGTAGTGATCAGTGTTCTTCACACTCACCAAATCCCTTGAAGGCTGTCTTGTTCACATACAACCATTTTAAATAATGTCAGCTGAGTCTTGTCTTCAACACAACGGGTAAATACATTGAAATGAACAGTGAATTCTACAAAGAAATTATAGACGTACTGCGAGGGTTTTCCTTACTGTTTTGGTAGGATTACTTCTACTTAGGCTTATTGCAGTAACCGCAAAAACAATTACATTACCAAGAAAACTGTAAAGATTTTAAAACTAAAATGATTATCGCACAAGGTTACCGCAGTAATCGAAGGGTAACCGCGTGGTATTATAGACCCTACTTACTCCTATATGTTACTAGTTTCTCAACGTTGGAGAGAGAGAGACCAGCCACACTATTATTTCGATAGTTCTCTAATTGCCATGTACTTTATTTTGACGATTCTCTAAATTACCATGTACTTTGCTTTGACAATTGTCATCAAATTCTCTGAAGGCCGTACAATTTCTTGAATGGAAGTTGGAGTGTAGCTTCTTTCAAAGTGGGTGCTCGACTAGTCAGTATTCAACCCCAAAGGCCCAAAGCACATGCAAGGCATTCTCACAAAAAAAAAAGAAGGAAAAGAAACAGAACAAATAAAGTGTGTGGTAATAATACAATGACATTGACAAATGGTTTGCATTCCTAGACTAGTCCAGACTCCACAGTAGCTAGATACCACGTAAAATGAGCTCAAATAATGGTGGTGCAAAATTAATCTCTCCATCGACTTCTCCTGTTTGCTTAGTTGACTCCTTTTTCTTTTACCCTTTTAGAATCGATGGGAATCGATCTTGACTAAGACTTCTACTGTTCCTTTTTTTTTTCCTCACGTTTGATTCCCTGTCCTGCCTATCAAATAATTGACTGAAAAAATCTAGCTAGACTTGTACTGAACCCAATCAAATTTCAACAGTGACTATGTAAGCCTGGTTGGACGAACAAGTCAGAGTTGTTAGCCCATCCAGTTTGTTTGATTTAGAGAGGTCGAGATTATCTTAGTTTTTAGGTGGCATGTTGAGGTTATATAGTCCTTGAGATGGGAAGTACACGGCATACAAGTTGGATGACTTACAGTGCAATTTGCTGTGATGGAAACAATGAGACAATTAGTGCTCTTACATCGGCCATCGCCTTCCTTGCCTCCCACTAGCAAATGTTTCTCGGTTCAGGCACGAGGGCGGCATGGCACCATTAGCTTCAAGACGTGCGTACCATCTCAGAAATAGAAAAACAGAGGAAAAAAAACTCAATTCGGTCTCGGGAAAAAGAGGGAAAAAACTCAATTCGGTCTCAGAAAAAAGAGAAAAAAAACACTCAAATCGGTTTCATGCTTTCGATCAAACGAACACTCAAATTTTGACTATTATGTTTAATTTTCTTTGCAATAATCTAGTAGTAAATAAAAGAATATGAAACAAACCGATGCACTTCTCTAAATTCGTGTTGGTGTGATGTATGCATCCTCAATCTAGATCTTCTGTAGATGGATATTTTAGACATGTGTCTGTTATATTTTATATTACTAAAATGTTGTATTATTTTCTACATGTGAATTTGTAGATGCGTGGTTATCGGTGGATGGTATTATTATATGTATGCAATTTTTTGTTAGAGTATAATTATTTTTGTAAACTCAGATCATGTGACATATTCCTATCTTTTAGTATCTCGACCGTACATTGGTAGTAATGAAAAATTGCTGGTACCATTTCCATTTGGGAAAGTCTAATAAGTACTTGGAGATAGTGGTGTACAATAATTTCTGTGTTTGCAAAGCAGAATATATATAGTACTTACAATGGATATTTGTGCACAAGTGTGCAACGTGCCAGGAACCCACTTTGAGGAGCAAAGGGAAATTTTTTTCCACAGGCCAAGTACTGCAGGAAAACAGCCTGAGAGCTTCCGAAAGCAGCTGCACGGATCGCAATTGCTGTTACTATATTGAATAATGGAATGGTACTAATGAAAAGATTAGAACACCTGTAGCAAAGATCCACAACACGTGTTAAATCTGGTTATCCAAAACCCAATCGATCAGCTTAGCTGGTTGTTGTATGGAAGTTGCAGGTTGAATGATTGGTCTCTGGCCTATTATCATGGCAGTGACAGAACGTGAACCAAACACACGGGGAAGCCAACCAAACAGATCAACACACTTTTGAAGAGTTTTGCAAAAGAGCTAATTTGATACTTGAGTTGCACCTAAACGGTAAAAAGTAGTACTACAATTTACGTGCAATTGGTGGATATAGCATCCCAGCAAAATGAAATTTCTGGTGACAAGATGAGCCAAGCTTCGGCCAGAAGCCCAAAACTGTGTGAGGTGATTATTGAAGATTCTTCAGGAGGGAAAAAATGAAAAAATATTAGGAAATACCATTATCATTGCAAAGGTACATGAGTTGCGAAATACCACTGTACGTAAGAATGACACATACAGTGCTATTTTCCAAATCCGTGATTTCTTTGATAGTACTGGGCAAATTGTAAAAAGAAAAAAAAGAAAAAGGAAAAGAAGGCTTACTCTGAAGATATGGGAACATGGACAGTAGTTTTTTTTTTTTAACTGCGGTACAGTCAGTGAACTCGTTGAAATAGAGTACTAGTAAGTTTCTTGTGTGTGATGTGGATCTGTGCTCCTATGGACCCATTGCCAGCTTAATTGTGAGGCAAAGTGAATTGGGAGGTCAGTGTCAGAGAGGGTTGTGAACTTGTGATATGGAAGTTCTTGTGCTATATACTCTTACTCAGGCGGAGTTTAGTTCCAAACTTTTTCTTCAAACTTTCAACTTTTCCATCACATCAAAACTTTCCTACACACACAAACTTTCAACTTTTCCATCATATCGTTTCAATTTCAACCAAACTTCCAATTTTAGCGTGAACTAAGGTGGTGTTTGGATTCAGGGACTTAACTTTAGTCCCTGTCTTTAGACACTAATTTAGAGTATTAAATATAGACTACCTACAAAACTAATTATATAAATGAAAGCTAATTCGCGAGACAAATTTTTTAAGCCTAATTAATCTATAATTAGAGAATATTTACTGTAGCATCACATAGGCTAATTATAGATTAATTAGGCTCAATAGATTCGTCTTGCGAATTAGTCCAAGATTATGGATGGGTTTTATTAATAGTCTATATTTAATATTTATAATTAGTATCCAAACATCCGATGTAATAGGGACTTAAAAGTTTTAATCCCATCTAAACAGCGCCTAAACACACCCTCAGCTGCACGCCACAACTGACTAGACTTTTTCAGAGTTTAGTTGCCGCAAGGGAGGCATAGAACTTTCAGGGAACGTGCCTGAACTGAACTGCATGCTGATGCACTGCAGTCCCCATCAGGGAGAGTTTCTTTTCCTACATTTTTCTTACCTACACACTAACTCACTCTTCTAGGAAGCAACTGCCTGGTTTGTGTGTGCACATAGATTGTTGCATGATTGGTGGGTTTTTGGTAGTTGCCCAAGGCAAGCAAGAAAGAAGGGATGGGAGGGCTTACTCTGTATCAGGAATTCAGGATGAATCTCTGAAATGTTGTTTGAGTCAGGAGTTCAGAGTTTCGCTCCATTGATTTGAGGATATTCAGTTAACCTGTCATTTCATTTTGCTGTAACCGAAATGAGAAGAACATGTAACAACTATCATAATTCGATCAGGTGCAGATCATCATCATGTAATGAAAGAAGATTTTGTACACGAAATGGAGATCAATCACCTTGTGGAGAGAGAGAGAGAGAGAGAGGAGACGAAGAACAGTACAACACTGCTGCCTTATTGGTTCATGGAATCATGTGACTCTTGTTGTCCTCGCGGTGTTGAATTGCTGATAGGAAGAGGAGGACGATGGGCATCTTCTTCCCCGGGAGCGGCGGCGCCGTGGTACGCCGCCGGCCGGAGGGAAGCGCGCGGATACGTGGGCGGCGGCGCGTCATCTCCCCTTCTCTCTTCTCGCTCCGCCGCCGCCGGCCGGAGGCCGCACTCGACGGGTCAGACTCGAAGGCGGTGGGTTAGAGCGGAGACGGTGCAGAGGAGGATGGGGGAGCCCCCTCGCCGGCCGCCGGCGCCGCCGCCGGCGGCGGCGGCATGGTGAAGAGAGAGCGCATCGGGAAGGAAGGAGAGAGTGGGCTTGGGCTTGAAATCCATTTGGGCCCTACTTCGGATCCAGAAGTTTGTAGTTGGGCCCCCGTGATTCCGATTATTATGTATGGGCCTGAATATTACAAAGTCTGCTACTACAATTTGGCCTAAGCGAATACTGCGAGCCGTAATTTTCCAGTTTGGCCCCCGTTTAGGATAGCTACAATTGGATAAGTTCAGAAAATATACTGATAGTATATTTTAGTATAGGAATTACAGCGTTAAACCATGTCTGGAAGTAACACAACTGGCTGTTGCTGTTCCAAGATCTTTGCTCAAACTCAAAAAAAGAAGGTAATTTTGTGCAGTCACATAGCTGCTTCACATCGTGGAATCCTACTTCGCTTTTGCAATGGCCGAGCTGCTTCTCGATCTGGCTCACTGCTAATGCTGCTGCTACACAGAACGGGCGATTTCATTCCATCACGTCGATAAGTCGAGGATGCCGGTGCTTGACAATCTTGGGAGGCTTGCCGGAGCGCCGCCGCCTCTCTTCATCAGCCTGTAAAGTAGCAGGCAATAGTTCAGGATAAGCTGAAGAACCTGTCGATCATAACCCATTTTTGACAGATATCTCCAGCTTCATGTGCCTCACAAAGCAGATTATCACAAAACACAAGAAACATACTGCAATAAATATAAATGAAATAGAAGCATGGCAGCATTTTGGAGAAAACCTCAAAACTAAGGGTGTGTTTAGTTGGAGAAAAGGAAATTTTTGGGTGTCACATCGGAAGTTTGACCGGATGTCGTAAGGGGTTTTCGGACACGAATGAAAAAACTAATTTCAGAACTCGCCTAGAAACCGCGAGACGAATCTTTTGAGACTAATTAAGCCATCATTAGCACATGTGGGTTACTGTAGCACTTATGGCTAATCACGGACTAATTAGGCTTAAAAGATTCGTCTCGCGATTTCCCCCATAACTGTGCAATTAGTTTTTCTTTTTATCTATATTTAATGCTTCATGCATGTGTCCAAAGATTCGATATGATGTTTTTGGGAAAAAATTTTGGGGAACTAAACGGGCCCTAAGACAATGAAGCTACCTCCAGCATATCTGACATCAAGTGCACAAACAAAATTCATCTTCCAAGGTTCAGTTAAATCGTAACAAACTGGAAAACATCTTGCTTCCAGAATCGGGTTGGCTAAATATTCCTTTGGATTAAAAGAACAATATTCTGTTGGCAAATAAGTTTAAATTATACTACAGATTATCTAGTACGTGCTGGCAAAAGAAATCACAGATGGCTGGTCTGGAACAAGTGTACACGTGAAAACTTACCATCTCAGTTGGATGATCAGGTAGAAGAATAGCAATAGACTAGTCGAGATCATCACCTGCATAACAAAATAAAAGAAAACCGATTAGTTTTCCTAGTACATCAAGCAGATAGATCGAAAACACTTACAAATGGAGACTGCAATATGAAACCATTCTTACTGGTGTGCCGTCATAGAGATTGCCCAGTACCTTCTCTTTACCAGCTGGTCCAATGGTGTTGATCAGGAAATCATCGCCAATGAAAGAACACTGGATTTGCGATAAAAAAGTGTCAGGTAAAACCAGTGAACAGAATAGAGATGTACATAAATGAGTCAGACTAAGCTTAGAGGTTAAAGTCCACTTCATTAGATTGAAAAAAAAACGGAGCATCATGTGTACTTAATCTATGGCTACTTCTGAATGGAGGTTAAAATTTTCTTTCTAACAGTTTCCAGGATTCAACTTGTTGACAGTTAAGGAGCAGACAGCATTCAGTTGTAAGTTGAAAACAGATATACACCAAGTATATGAGAAAATACGACAGCTAAACAATTCCAGGAACATTATTCCAGTCATTCAATTAGTGTAAATTGGCCTCGACTAATTAAGACCCCAATAATATCAATCTAACATGCCAAGGGAATAAGAGATATGTATCACCTGCACAAGAATCAGTATTGCAATGTCATGCAAGGATAAAACTCTAAAATCGGAACAAATATTACATATCTCAAGTCCCAACATTGTATGACCAAATCAAGCAGAACAAGAATTGACACAACAGAAAACTGGTTAATGTGGCTGAGTACCTTTTTGTTTATAGTCATACCCATTTATATTTGTCTAACCCAAATCATCTTCCTCTTCATGGGTCAATGGTGGACCTGCAAAAGGGAAACAAGAAAGACCAAAGAGGTTTTATTACCGCATGTACCACTTGCATTACATAGGATGGAAGCATCGAGCAAAACTAAACAGTAGCACCTACTTTTAGTTAATGTGTCAACAGAGGAGAAAAGATCAGCAAGAACAGCGTTAACAGTAGAAGCATCAAGCCTAATCACAATTGGATCTGAACCCTGCAATCTTGACTCCTGAAGAAGCCAAAAGGCACCACCATTCCACCTACAGAGAAATCAAAAGGCACAACTGTCTGAATGTAATGGATGCACTATATAACCTAGACCATCAACACTTCAAGCCTTCAACAGCAAATAAAGTGCCGATTGACAAAGAAAAATATGATAAACAACAAATACAGCGCAAAATGGGAATCAACAATGACATATAAGTTACTAATGTGTTAATATGCTGTCACTAATTTGTCAGCTGCAATTTTAATGGATATATTCAATTGAAGATTAATTTGAGAAACCATATATCAATGCATGAAGGACGAACAGCATAATTAACCAATGGAAGGAATCGCAAGCTAACATTTTCTCTATTGCAGTATCATCACATAGAGTCAGATGAATCTACAGAAGAAGTGGTTATGTAACTGCATACATGTTTTGGGATTTTACATCTTTAGGCATCCAAAGAAATTTACTCGTAGAACCACCCACCTTGGTCACCCAGCAGCAGCCATAGACACATGAAACTGCAGGCGCCGGAGAGTACGGGGAAGCTTAGACCAAATCCGCCTGAAATCCCTGAATGAGCTCAACTGAGCTCCCCAGGTGCTGTTTATGGATAAAACTGTCATGTCTTGCCCATTTCTTATCTCCACAGTCCATAGTAGAGAAATAAATAGACCTAATAATCAATCCACAGTATGTGGGTTAATCCCTTTAAAAGATATCCCTTGAACAATTTGTAGATCTCAATGGAAATAGCTAAGATACATCCTTCTCTTTTGGAGAATTATCAACATCTGCATCATTGCCAAGGTCCAATATGCAGCTCAGCTTGGCATCTGGTGTAATACCTCTCTGAATCATATTATGATATGTCCTATAGGCACTTTTCTCATCTCCTGTTTTTAAGTATCCAATTATTAGATCTGTATAAGTTACTACGGTAGGTGTAAGCCCTTTAGTTTCCATTTCTTCCATCAACAACTCCGCAAAATCCATAGCACGAACTTTGGTGTAGCCACCAATTAAACATGTATAAACAAAAGTATCTGGCGATATACCCCCATTTTTCATCTCTCTGAAAATTTCCATAGCTTTTTTCATGTTTGAACGCTTACAATAGCATGCAATGAGAGAAGTGTACATAATTCTGTCGGGTGTCAGCCCCTCCAAAATCATATTCTTTAACAGTGGCGTCATTTCAGGGAGTCTATCATCATGGCACAACCCATTTATGAGGCTAGTATATGTAAAGATATTTGGCATCGTCCCCTCATCCAACATTTTATGATACAACCTGAAAGCCTCCTGCAAATCCAAAGCTTTCACAAAGCCATCAATAATAATACTGTATAGGACAACATCGGGAATATATCCCCTTTTTATCATGTCCCCAAAGAATCCCCACAAATCATCAGATTCGTTACCCTTGAAGAGGCCATTGATGATAACTTTGTATGTGTAAAGGTTGGGGACAATGTCAAATTGGCGTACTTCATCCAAGAAAAGAAAGGCTTCACTAATCAGCCCTTCTTTCATGAAGCCGTCAACTAGAATAGTGCATGTAATGATATTGGGGTTTATCTTGTTGTCAAGCATTAGTTCAAATAACCCCAATGCTTCTTTAAGGTATCTATGTCTACAAAATGCATATATAAGACTAGTGTAATTGTAAACATCTGGAACAAAATTATGGTTAACCATGTCAATCCAAAGACCATAGGCAACCTCTATATCCATATGTCGGCAACAACCATGAAGAACAATGCTGTAAGTAATTTGGTCATGCTTGAAACCTTGATATTTGAGACGTTCGAAAAGTTCAAGGGCCTCCTCAACTTTTCCAGCTTTGCAAAGACCATGCAGAAGTGAACTGTAAATGACAAGAGTAGGACTGACTCTGTTTCTTTCCATTTCATCAAGCAAATTAGAGCCTAATGATAGAGCACCTTGTTTGCAAAGCGCATCAACTAATATGCTGTAGCTATGGACATCTGGGACAACCCCACCTTTCTTCATCTCATCAAATACCTCCATGGCTTTGTGAACCTGATTATCGTTACAGAAACCATGAATCACTGCATTAAAACAATAGCTGTTGCAAGGGTAGCCTCTCTGCCGAAGCACTTGAAGAAAGTCCCATGCAGATTCGACTTGTTTGGCACGGCAAAGTCCATAAAGGTAGGTTCCGTAGGTTGCCGCAGTCGGCTTCACGCCTCTGATTTTCATTTCACAAAGAAGATCAAAAGCTTCCTCCAAACATGGTTTATCACCATGTGTATACATACTCATCAAAACTGAATAAGAGTAGACATTTGGTGAGGGACCAGTGCTCTTCATATCATCAAACAAACTCCTCGCATACATGAACTGATTCCTCTTGACTAAGGACTTCAGCAAGAAGTTGCAAAGCTGAAGCTCAACTCCAATCTTCTTGGCCTCGATGTAGGTGACAAGAGCATCCTCAAACATTGACAACTCTATAAAAACCCGTATGAGCGCAGCATAAACTTGAAGCAATGTTATCGATCCACCCAAATTGTTCACCAGCATAAGTGCCAACTCAAACAACTCCGGACCAGCATTTCCACAGTAATTGACAATGCTCTGAATCAAGCACCGGACCTCTATGACTCTCCGAGGCAAGAATGACTGTATAAGCAATGCAAACAACCCAATTGACTGGGAAAGGCCATATAACCTCTCACACTCCCTGAAGCTTATCTTTCTTGCGCCGTCCCAGTTTGAAGTCCGCACTGCTAGTGTGATCAAGGGAAGAAGGCACTGACGTCTATAATCACCAGAAATGGTACTCTGAGTGGGCTCTTGATGATCCAGGTTGTTCAAGCAACAAGCCAGTGAAGTAAATCGCGACGCCTGTGGGTGGTTTCTGGTTATGAGGGCTCGACGCAGGAACCCTGGCACTGCCCTGTGCATAGACAAGGGACGCCCAATCCCCTCCTTACATTGACAGGATATGAGCAGGAAGAAGATCCTACACAGAAATTACACTTCATGGACCAGGCCTCCGAGAAAGAATTCGCCCAGGTTTACAAATTTGAATCAAATCTCCTGCAAAGAGAACAAAAACACAAAATCATATCGCTATAACAATACCAGTCAAGCTCTCACTTGAAGCAAAGAAATAATTTAAAAAAAGAAATAATAAAAGTTTGTGTGTTCCAGAGAATCCCCTGGTCAGTGAGCTCCCGCGAACGAGAGCCCGGTCATCGCTCACCGACGAAGCAGCCGTCCACTCTCCGAGTCTCCGGGCGCGAGCTGGATGAGAGGGGCAGGGGGTGGGCGGGCACAGCGGCGAGGCCATGGGGAGCTTACCGGGAGGGACGACACTGAGGTGAGCTGGAGGAGGAGCACGCCGAGGAAGTGGCGGACCGCAGTCCGTCCCACGGGAGCAGCGCTAGGGTGAGGCGGCGGCGGAAGGGCTCGCCGGCGGTGGGCGGAGGGATCCACGGCGGCGGCGGCGGCGGGGAGGCGGGGAAGAGCGAGAGGCGATGGCCGTGCAGCTCCTGGGGTTTAAGGATGTGGTTGGGCCGTATCTGCTTTCCATGGGTGGGCCGGATTGCGCGGCTCAGAAGATCGGATGGGCTCCTCTTCGGGTGTACTGAGTTAGTGGGCCTCAAATATGGGCTTCGGTTTACGGAACATCCAGCCCATACCGTCGTGCGGCCCGTCCGACCGTACCAAAGCTCATCAGTTCAAGTAGGGTAGGCTGAGTGGGAAAAGCTAACGCGCGTGCCCGTTGGCGGTTGAGCGTTCCGGATAGTTTAGCCTAACTAACTAAGTTATTAGTAGATAATGACGATAATTAAGATACGATTTCCTTTTTCCCGGAAGATTTTTTCTACTACCTGACTGAAAACTTTCAAGTTAGATTTGAAAATTTTTGAAGCCAAATTTTAAAAACTTTCAAAACTCAATTTGAAAATTTTTAACTCGAAATTTAAATGTGTAAGACAAATTTTGAAAACTTTCAACTCAGATTTAAAAACTTTCAACTCATATTTGAAAACTTTCAACTCGAGATTTGAAAACTTTCAAGTACAGATTTGAAAATTTTTAAGTTAAGATTTGAAAAAATATGAAAGCTTTCGACTCAGATTTAAAAACTTTCAACTTGATATTTGAAAACTTTCGACTCCGATTCAAAAACTTTCGATCCAGATTCGAAAACTTTCAACTCGAGATTTGAATACTTTCAAATCAGATTTAAAAATTTTCAAGTTAAGATTTAAAAACTTTCAAATCAAAACATTTAAAAAAATAAGTGTGCTAAAGATTAAAAAAAGTAATCAGAAAAAACGGGAAAAAAAGCGAAAAAAAATCGCAAAAGAAAAAGGAAAAATAAATCACGAAAAAAGAACAAATAGGCTAATGGGCCTTGGGCTGGGAGTAGCTGGCGCGCGCGCGAGACTAGCAACCCCCAGGTTGAGTCTCACTTTTCCAACCCACCTATCTTTTTTTTCACGCCAAACTGCTGAATGGTGTGTTTTTTATAAAAAGTTTCTACACAAAAATTGTTTTAAAAAAATCATATTAATCTATTTTTTCGAAAAAAAGATAATACTTAAATAAGTATCACATATATAAAATACAGTATGAGTATTACACATTGGTAGTTTGGTAAAGGTAGTACAAAATTTAAAATTATGTTGTCATTTTAATATATTTTAATAATAAATTGAGAAAAAAAACATATATATACTATTATACGAGAGAAAATATAATAATACTAGCTGCGCAATCTGCACGGGCCACCATGCTAGTTAATTAATTAATCAATTAACTAGTCTTGATTTTTGATCTTGCAGGCATTCACGTCCCATTGACGGGATTGGAGTTTGGGACGTTGCAGTCTACAGATAAAAATGCTAAAAGCGATGTTGCAAAACAAAAAAGAAAAGACAGAGAAACGATGAATGAGATGTTTAATCGTGCGCTAATGAGTTACTTCGGTTTACTTGCGTGAGATGTTAGATCCTACTCCCTTTCTAGGTTAGGTTTTTTTGGATTTGGGACGGAGGGAATACATCCTAGCCAAGTTTGTCAGGCCATTTTAGATTAATGCCAAAACATACTCTACCAATATTTAAATAGTTTTCTAGATATATTTTGGTATTTGGAATAGTGCATACGGTGGTTTATATCATTGGCATTACCAATGTCCAATTTAAAATTTCTAGATTCCACTCAAAGCTTTGCTCTAAGTTGACATTAAAAAGGCAACTCTACCTCAGAAAAAAAAATTGGTGGTACCAAAATTTATCTAAGTTTTGGCACTAGCAGGGTATACAAACTAGCTCGTCATTTGTCAACATTGACAATCTTTCAAATAAAATCTTAGTGCCCTATAAAAAATAATCTTAGGGAGAAGAAAATGGAGAATTTAAAACATTTAGTATATACGCCTAACTGCAAGTCCAAATATACTTTCTCTAGTCAACATTACTCGTCGTTTCCGAGAAGCAATTTGCACTGAGTGTAGTTTAATTGAGTTGTCTGAAACGACGTATATTTCTGTCCAGAGGGAGTATATATTTATGGCAAAATTTGCTACGGGACTCTTAAAAAACGTGTAATTAGCTGTGGGACACCGTAAAAACGTGAATTGGCTATAGAACACCGCAAAAAAGTGATAATTAGCTACTAGACACCGGAGGTATTATTTTATTATTTCCTATAAAAACGGAGAGAGAGAGTGTTGAAAGTACCAAAATACCCCTGTGTCGTTTTGCTTGTTCTGGAGTCCCACTGATGCCGCTGCCCCATGCCAGCGAGCTGCCACGCCATGACCGGACTAAACAAGGAGAGAAAGAGATAAGAAATAGAAGAAGAAGACAAGAGAAAAAAAAAAGGAAGAGCAACCTGTAGCCATCGCGTGGCCGCCGGCGAACAGCACGCCGTGCCGTGCCACGCCACCACGGCATACGGCTGCCGCCGGGCAGCCCACACCGAGACCGCGGCGCTCACACGCGCGCCTTGGCACGCACTACCGTCGCTCACGCCGTGCCTCTGCCCTCGTCGTCGCACGGTCATGCCGGCGCCGTCCGACCATTCCTCATTGCTCCACCGCCGCACATGGCAAGGAACCATGAAAAGGAGGAAGAAATGGAAAAAAAAAAAGGAAAAGGCGCTGATGGGCGTCGCCGCACGCCGCCACCGCATAGTCGAATGGCGCCGTTGCCCGGCCCCCACAACGCGTGAACCCATCGTATCTAGGTGGTATTTAGTTGGAGGGACTAAAGTGGGGCTAGGCTAAACTTTATTCCCGGTAGAGACTTATGTTTTTGTGAGAGGGACTAAATTTAGTCCCTAGTTCCCAAACACCCCCCTAATCGCGCAACAGTTCCCAGCTGCACCCGTGCCCGTCGCATCCGGCCACGTTGCCATGTCCAGCGCCCCAGCCGCTTACAGCGCCGACCACTCACGACGTCAGCGCCGGCCACTCGTGACGTTGGCCGCTCACCATGGGCACTCGCCCACTCCACCGCTCGTAGCACCGACTGTACCGCCTCGCCCCTGGTGCCGACAGGCCACCGCGACTCTCCAGCCGGCCCCCTCCCCCCGCGCAGCAAGGCGGGGCAGATGGAGCTGGAGCGGCGTTGCATGACGGCAAGGCGTGCGTCCGCGCCACGTGCGTGAGGGCAATCTGGTCTTTTTCGATCATTTCTCTCTCCATGTTGTTTGAAAATAATAAAATAATACCTTCGGTGTCTAGTAGCTAATTACCACTCTTTTGCGATATCCTATAGCAAATTCATGTCTTTGTGGTGTCCCATAGCTAATTGCACGTTTTCTGAGTGTCTTCTAGCAAATTTTGCCTATATTTATTAAGACCATCTAAAAAGATGCACTTTTTAAGATGTAGTAGTATAAATTGCCCTAGCAAATGTTGCCGCTATCTTAAAATTGCTTCTGGTCTTATCATTTGCTCCTTTACTCAGGCTTATGGATGGCTAACTTTATTTTTTTCAGGGAAAAAGAACACATGCTACTTGAGTTAACCAGCTATCCTTCCAGCCACTATAAATAAGTAGTACATGACTCCACTAAAGCAATGACGTAAAAAAAGGCAAACAAGAGAACACATCACTATATATACATCAAAAGCAATATTTTCTGTGGATATGCTCTGAATAAACTATGAACTGAGAACTCATTAGCCCTAACAGCCACCCTTTTATACGGGGAAGAATATAGCCAAAAAGAAAAGAAATATTGATGTCAAAAGAATGGTCCTGCATGTTTGTGTGCTCTGTTCTTTTTGGGATGATTTGCTGATGTGATGCAAGGTTCCATGATATGACTTTGCAATTTTGTACCTTTCTTCCCTGGCCGCTAGTTGCCATTTCAATGCTGAGAGGTCATTTCCAAGAAAGAAATATTAATAATATCCTATAGCTTATATAATTATCGTTTTGAACGAGAACATGGTATTGAAAAATAACTTCGACCACTATTCCCAGTTATAATGTATATAGAAATATCAATAAATATATTATTTTATTTAAATAGTTTTTAAGATTAATTTATACATATAATCTTCATACTTCTAAGATATATATTTTAAAATTTATTTTTCTTGGTTTTTTTCTTTTTCCAGCGGCAAAATTTCTCAAAAGTGAAGGAATCTCGAATAGGCAAATATAACTTATGGCCCAAGATAATAAAATTGCCAACAAAGCATAATTCACAAAATATCCTATACTTGTTCCTTTTCTTGGAGCAACCATCAACCTTTGTCACACATAATTTGGAACTATCTCCATATATATAGTTCTTCATCGTTATTGTAATTCTTGAAAAAGACATAAAATCTATAATATATATATTCCTTCAACTTGTGCTTCGAGTATTTTTTTTCCTTGGAGTGATGCTATAAATCGAAAATAATAATGTAATACTACAAACCGCAATTTAGATGTACCAAGAATTTTCTATGGTGAGGCTCGCTTTGCCAAAAACGAGTGACCATGTGGGGTAGCCTCTGCCTCCAAACATGCTGAACTAGCAGTGTAACTTCAAGAAGATCCCCAAGGAATCATATCCCTTTCATCTGATGCTCTACAAAACCTAGAAGCAGTGTGGGAGCAAAAGTCACTAGCCACCCATGGTTTTGGCTATACGCCTAGAATATGCTTCTTGTATGCTTAGAATTTTAGTCACCACTCTTTCTCTATCCGTGCTCTAGGGACCCCCCATGTCACACCTTTTACCAAAAATCACTAAATCCACACTAGCCATCCTGCCTATTGCGACATTCTTACTCTACTTTGGAGTTTGGAGGTGCTGCTAAAGTTAAAACACACCAAATAAAACCATACACAGAAACCCTAATGATCTGGAACTACTTTTAACCCTAATGATCTGGAACTACTTTTATCAAGATTTTTGTCAAGTTCAAGAAAACTTTATATTCAAACAAGAAAATTGGGGCAAATACAAGGAGTTAATTCCATTTGATGTTCTTATAAGATGGAATTTCATTCAATACTTTGGGTCTAGATATTTTCATATATGGTATATTTATTATGCAACAATTGTGCACGAATAAAGATAGGTTTTTTTATGAAATTTCATGATGGAACAATATGTTACCTGAAATTATAAATTATAAGATTACGTGATGACAAATAACCCTCGGTATTTTCAAAAAAAAAAGGAAAGAGAGAGAGAACTCGATCTATATTGTAATAATATTACTCTATCTCAAATCCATGCTACAAATCATACGCATGTATAATAAAACCACAAACTTAAAACGTGACACCCGACGCGCAAATAGATCCACGGGGTGTCCATAGCACGTTTTGGGCAATCACGCCAGTCACCACGCTTGGCATATGCTGGTAAATATTCCACGAAACTCTGCTCTTATATCACGAGCACTCACCACGCACAAATCCACCAAACACAGATTTAGCTAACCAATGCTGTTCTTGCTACAAGATTAATCAGTTATCTGTAGGTATTGATCAGTGATCAGTTGCAGAGATGAAGTTTGGGAAGCTGCTCAAGAGGCAGATCGAGCAGAGCCTCCCGGAGTGGAGGGACAAGTTCGTGAGCTACAAGGAGCTGAAGCGCATCGTCGCCTCCATCTCCGGCTCGCCGGCCGACGAGGCCGCCTTCGTCGCCGCCCTCGCCGCCGACATCGACAAGATCGACTCCTTCTTCCTCGAGCAGGAGGAGGAGTTCGTCATCCGCCATAGGGCACGTACACCAATTCGCTTCAATTCGTTTGTGAATTTAGATAAGTTTTCTGATGGCGAAATGGGTTCTTGCCTTCTTGGTTGCAGGAGTTGCAGGAGGCGATCAAGAAGGCGGCGGAGGCGGCGGCGGAGGTGGCCGGAATCCGGCGGGAGATCGTGGACTTCCACGGCGAGATGGTGCTGCTGCTGAGCTACAGCAGCATCAACTACATCGGGGTGGGCAAGATCCTCAAGAAGCACGACAAGCGCACCGGCGGCGCGCTGGCGGCGCCGGTGGCGGAGGCGGTGCGGGAGCGGCGGCACTTCTTCAAGACGGAGACGGTGTCGCGGATGGTGCGGGAGTGCGAGGCGATGATGGCGGAGGCGGCGGTGCTGCCGGCGGAGGCGGCGCCCGAGGCGCTCGCCGCGGCGGCGGAGCACGGGATATTCCGGAACACCGTGGCGGCGCTGCTCACCATGGAGGACGTGCGGCGCGGCAGCTCCACCCACGGGCGCCACTCGCTGCCGCCGCTCACCCTGCCGGACTCCGACTGGCTCCGCTCCTTCCAGCCGCCGTCCCCCATCCCCATCCAATGACCACCGCCTCTTCGTCCTCGTCGGCCGCGGCGGAGGCTTTGCCGGGAAATTCTGCGCTGCGAAATCTGTAATTAAATTTGCTTAATTATCTTCTTGATCTTTTTTCTTTTTCTTTTTTTTTTTGCTGCTTCTTAAATAGGAGCGGCTAAATAATGTAAAAATGCGAGTTAACATACATACAGACGAATTCATACGTGTTTTGGCTTTCAAATATTCAAATGTAATACGAATTTTCCTCTTGTTTTCGAATGTTATTGGGTTAGGGGCAGTTTGACAGAGTTAGGCGTCAAAGAGAGAAAAAAAAGAAATACAAAAAAAAAAGAAGAAAACCACATGGACGATGTCGCTGCGGCGGCGAAGCGTTGAACAAAAAATCATTTGTGATTTGATACGCTCGAGTGGCCGTGATATATACTCCTATTTCATAATCTTCAGATCATGCAACGAGTCAACCTCAACTGTTCGCAGCGATCCTCACCTGCAAATTAGTGCTCGGTGACACAACGCAGCGTAGAAATTCTTCATGTTAAAAACGGTTACAATAATAGGCAGGCATGCCAATTGTCAAAATTCAAATCGAAAGCTATGCAGGATGATTCTCTTGGCCCGGACGGATATACCTCACATGTACTACAGGAGTTACTCACTCCGTCAAAAAAAAAAAATCTAAACTGGATGTGATATATTATAATATAACGAATGTCATATCCAATACTAAATTAATTTTTATTGAACAAAATGAGTAGCTGCAAAGTAGGTACATAGTGGCATAAGAGGGATGGCAAAGTTTTAGTTTGTCTACGGTGAACCGTCAAACAGACGGATGTCAATTGGAAGATATAATAATATGCCCCCAACTTTCCCACTGAAGCTGTGTGTTTTGGTGTGGTTTGGGAAGTAATCCCATACGCGAAAAACGGAGTGACAATATTAGCTACTTCCTCGGTTACAAAATGTAGCTACCTAGTACGTTATGCAACACTAACTAGTACTACGAATCTGGACAATCCAAAATGTAGCTAGTACGGGTGTGACACTACCTCTCATGTTCAGATTCGTAGTACTAGATAGTACGGCTGTCCAGATTCACAGTACTAGGTAGTGTCACATAAGGTAGCTACTTTCGGGACGGAGGAAATAACCTTTTTATAAAAATGGTTAATATGATTTTTAAGGTAAATATTACATATAAAAAGTTTATAAAATTGCATCGTTTAACAGTTTGGAAACTGAAAAGCGTGTTCGCGGGAAATAAGGAAGTGGAGGTTAGGAACAACCGCAAACGAACTCGGCCTAACTTCATTGACAAATGAAGTCTCTACACTTCCATTCAGCCATTCTCCCATCTTCTCAGGATAACCGGAAGGAAGATGGCAGGAATATTCTTGGCATGGGCAGATAACTCCAACGAAAAGCCGGCGTATTTATCAAAGAATTAACACTTGGGATATTCCTCAAAAAATGCCTGGTCTCCAGAAAACAAATGTGGGTTGATCTTTTGATGCCAAGTTGCTTCTGCAAGATCACACACTCTCTGAAAGAGATGGAGTAAGAAATAAATAGACTTTGCCGATGTCAGTGAGGAGTTGGGCAGCGTCGCCGGTGTCTCGTTCAATTCCTCACTGAAATATCTCCTCGCTTCATGGAGGCAGGCAAGAACTGGTTACGGAATACAGACTGAAACAGCTTTTGAGAAAGGGACATACTCCTTTGAATTTTGAATTTGGTAGGGAGAGCTTGCAGGTTTGCAGCTGATTTTGAAATTTTGAATTTGGTTTTGTGTTCGTTTTGGCCCTTTTTCTTGTCACTTTCGTTGAACAGCGTTCACGCTTTTCGTGATTGCTAAAAGGATATGTAAAAAAAAGGACCTAATATCAAAATCCAAATTTCAAAATTTAAAAACTGCTTCGGCTTTTAAGAGTGAGAAAAAAAAGTTGAGCCAAACATTTACATGGTCATGGAAGGCTGAATTTTTTTCATTTTTAATTTTTTTTTAAAATATTTACAGAAATAATCTATTGTTACAAAAATTTAAAAAATAGACCCTGCCGCCCTAGCGGAGGGCGGCAAGCTGACGTGGCAGACGACGGCTCGACGGCGCCGTGTGCACATTTTGCGCTTTGGTGGCGGCAAGGGGCGTAATGCAATTTGCCCAGCTGAAAAGAAGCATTTGGCTAGTTTTTTTTGCATCTAGGTCCCTTGCCTCTCTCCTAGAGGGCGGCAAGGGACCTAGATGCAAAAAAAAATCAAGTCAAATGCTTCTTTCCAACTCTGTTGATATGGCCCTTCCTGGGTTGGCTTTTTTGCATGGAGGCCCCTTGCCGCCCTGGCAGTGCGCGGCAAGGGTGTTAATGCAAAAAATTCAACTTTTTCAATCGGCCGTCATCGAGCTGCCATCTGCCACGTCAATTTGCCGCCCTTCACTAGAGTAGTAGGGTCTATTTTTGTAAATTTTTCCAACGATAGATTATTTCTGTAAATATTTTAAAAGAAACATTTAAAAATGAAAAAAATTCATGGAAGGCTTTACCTCGGCCTTCCCGTGGTTTGGGCCTGGAAGGGCATCTACATGGGCCCCTGTGTCTTTTTTGGGCCTCTGGAGAGTTATGATTGCAAGACAATTAGCCCAAGTAACAGACCAGGTGCAGTGCTCTGTTTAGTACCACACCGTCAGTTTTCAGAGAAAGGAGCATCAGGAGAGCTATAATACCAGGGTTAGTATCACGCAACAACTCATACCTTTCTCGGCCTTTTGGCTAAGATCAAGTGTAGTATCTGTTCTTATCAGTTTAATATCTGATATGTGGACCATGTGCCCACTTTGATATTAAATTTATTTTTTATGGGGGAGGGCTCACAATAGTGGCTTGCCACTAGGTCCCTCAAGCGTCGTTTAGGCGTTGCACTACAGCCTAAGCCTGGCGCACCCCAACCAAATCAATTTCAAGTGTTAGCACGTCAAAGAAAATTCGCATAGAAATTTCAGCTGTCAGTTATTGTTCATTAATCTTAATTTGAAGTGTTGTCAATTCAAATATACTACTTAGCAATTTCAGTTTTCATTGGCAAGTGCACAGTTTCGGTTACTTGCAATTTTGAAGCTGTGCATTGGCAGGGTAGTTATCAATTTCATACACAAATGAAAACATAGGGAAAAGGCCGAAAGGCTAACGGGCGATCGATCGCTGCCAGCGATCGTTTTTTTTTTCTTTTCCTCTTTTTAGTAAGTTTATACCTAAAGTTTACACATCTAAACTTTATCCACCTAAAGTTTGTAGAGCGAATGTGTATAAGTCAAAAGTTTATATACCCGATTCAAATTCGAATTCAGATTCAAATATTTTATATAAAAATATTTCTATACACAAAGTTTATACGTGCAAAATTTATGGTATAAAGTCTATGCACATGAATGAGAGTATTAGATTCTAATTGTCTTTTACTTTTTTTTGAAATTTATGATGTAATAGAAAAGTTTTTGAACTCGTCATTTTGACGGTTTGAAGGATAGATATATGAGGAAAGATGATACAAACAATTAAGTTCTTTGATTAATATAATAAAGCTTTTAGAATGACCCTTTTTCCTAGGGGCTGTTAGTGGGCGGGTAATCGTTTCCCTCTCCTCCTAGCGATCATACGTCCCTCCCTCTAATACTCCTCTTTCATCTCTCTTTTTTTAACAAACAGTGCCCCTAATTGAAGTACTCAGTTGACACTTGACAGTGTACCTACCAGTGTTTAAACTAATCAACTCCTTCTTAATCACTTAGACATTTTCTGTCCCATATCTGCTAGCACGCTCCTCCTCCTCACAGGCTCACACCCGTTTGTACTCTTCGCCGGCTTTAGCGTACACGCCAGAGTCCGTCCTCAGTATGATCTTGGCGTCCTGCGTGACGTAGCACGCCCAGTTGTCCACGTAGGACAGCGGCCCGGCCCTGATCAGCGGCCGCGTGTCCTCCACGTCATCGTCCTCGTCATTGTGCTCCGTGTCATCCTCACACTCCTCCCTCGAGTAGGCGAACCTGCTTGACACACCACACGCACACACCCACGAGTCGGTAAACTTTTGTTCATATTGATATAAGATGATGGGCTGTAGTAATGGTGAGCAGTAGTAGCATGTACCTCATTGAATTTTGTGAGGGCGTCCATAGGATGCAGATGGTGCAGAGGAGGAAGAAGGAGATGAGCTCCCACACCGCGGGGATTACCCACGCCACTCGCCACCGCTCGTTGTGCTCATCAGTCGTCTTAAAATGGACCTGAATTTTGATTTTAGAATTTTTTTCATACATTATTTTGAAGTGCTAAAAGTCTTCTTATGTTAATTAATTTACGAGCTTGTACTAATGTACCACATGAACAGTTAGTGTCATGACGATAAAAGTCACCAGTAATGTGGACGAAAACAACTAAGGTTGTGTTTAGTTCCACGCAAAATTGGAAGTTTAAAGAAATTAGAATGATGTAACGGAAAAGTTGAAAGTTTATGTGTGTAGGAAAGTTTGATGTGACGGAAAAGTTGGAAGTTTAAATAAATGAGTTGAAACAGGGCCTAAGAAAATGATTAGTCATTTATGAGAGCAAAAACAAATGCTGAAATGTTCAGGCCCTGTTTAGATGAGACTAAAACTTTTAAATCCCTATCACATCAAATGTTTTTGGACACTAATAATAAATATTAAACGTAGACTATTAATAAAACCCATCCATAATCTTGGACTAATTCGCGAGACGAATCTATTGAGCCTAATTAATCCATGATTAGCCCATGTGATGCTACAGTAAACATTATCTAATTATAGATTAATTAAGCTTAAAAAATTTGTCTCACGAATTAACTTTCATTTATGTAATTAGATTTGTAAGAAGACTATATTTAATACTCTAAATTAGTATTAAATATAAAGTTAAGTCCCTGGATCCTCAGTTCTCTGAAGTTGCTGAGCCATCAGAAAACAGCTAGGACTGCAGCGAAGTTATACCTCAAATGTGATCCAGCCGAGCGACAGGGCCACGGCGATGGTGAGAGAATTCGCGAATTTCCGATACATTTCAAGCTTCGCCGTCATCCTCCTCGCCTGCAAGAATCAGATTAATCACAGAATTCATTGATGATTCTCGAAGAATTATTCGAATTTTGGTAGAATTTTGAAAGTGGGAAGTTCAAATGATGCTACCTTGAGCTTGCTGATAGTTCTTGACAGCGAGGTGAAGATCCAGTAGATGAACACCGTGTTGAGGGCGGCGACGGGGAGAATGAAGAAGAGCCTCCTCGCCGGCGAGTGGTCACTGACGATGCCGACGTTGTCGCCGACGTCGAGCACCTCCGCCGCGGCGAGGAACGCGGCGCCGAGGGCGGCCACCCTGGCGTTGCCGCAGCCCAGTGCGGGCCTCGTCACGCCGTACCCCATGGCCACGAGCAGCGCCAGCACGCGGCACGCCGCGGCGCGCACGGCGCCCGACGTCGCCGCCCAGAACGTCGTCCCCGCCGGCCGGACGCCCGACGCGTCGAACTCGGCGAGGTCGAGGTACCAGGTGGTGACCTCCACCATGCCCAGCGCGATGGCCGCCGTCGCGAAGTTCTGCAGCGGCGACACCTCGCGCCAGAACCTCGCGTACCGGGCGAACCAGAGCGCGGCGAGCGCGGCGAACGCCAGCGACATGGCGCCGTAGAACGGCTTGAGCGGCGCCATCCTCCCCGGGAGGTAGCCGCGGCTGTTCTTCCAGATGGTCTTCCCCTCCGCGGCCACCACCTGCCCGGCGGCGAGCGACGCGTCGCAGTGGACGAAGTGGAGGCTGTACATCCCGGTGCGCGCCACGGCGACGGTCTCGTCGGGGAACGCCGCGACGAGGCTGCCCGGGAGGAACGACGCGGCGAGCACCTTGGGCCAGCGGCCGGTGGCGTTCGACGACGCGGGGGCGCGGTACACGACCGCCCCCTCCGTGCACCCGCCTCGCCTCGCCATGCCCGGCGTGCAGCACAGCGCGCGCTCGCCGCCGACGACGTCGGACACCGCCCCGACGGCGTCGCGGTCGCCGGCCTCGAAGATGACCGCCGCCACCGTGACCGTCCGGTTGCCGTCCTCCTCCGCCACCGACGCCGCCTCCGGCGTCCTCCTGAACGCCACCTTCTCGAATCTGCACCAAGAAACCCCCCCATGGCGAGCGCGTCACATCCCAAGAACCAATTCAAACAACGAAGCAATGACACTTGGCACCCACAACCAGCTCCGGCCACCGTACCGGACGAACGACTCCGCCGTGGCCGACGCGTAGACACCCTCGCTGCCGCCGTGCAGCACGAAGCCATTGCCGACGCCGGCGAACCTCTCGCCGGCGTACTCATGCACCGACGCCTCCGCACAAACGACGGCGCAAGAAACGACCACCACCGCCACCGCCGCGCCGGCGAGGAGGAGCCGCCTTATCGAAGGCATCACTGACATCGCCGGAGACGGGAGACTGCTGCTACCACCACCGCCGCCGCGGCAGCATCGGCGGCGGCGTGGAGTAGAAATACGAGAGGTGGAGGGATCCCGAGAAGTGGAGGGAGAACGGAAGAGACGACTTTGACGTTGGGAGGCAGCCATGAATTTTGTTAGGTCCACACCCTAAACTACAGAGGAAAAGAAAAAGAAAAAAATACAGAGAATCCATTGCAATAATAATGGAACAGTGACAAAACCATGATGGAATTAGGCAGACATGCATGACAAAAATGACAAATGAGAGGGAACAAATATGAGCAAGATTTAGCATTGAGATTATCTTGGTGCATGATTGGCTCCATTTCGTTGAGCACTATGCAATATGAAGTGACACGGGGATCGTTTGATCACGCGTTTTAAACAAAGATTTCGAGGGAAATATCATTCTCTAAATCAAGTAAGAATACACATAGTTATGATATTATCGGACTAAGGAGAAAAAAGAACCATGACCAAAACGCCTATTGTTTTAAAACGATTTTCTAACCTAAAACCGAAGTGGTAATATAGGTTGTAGCTCAACATTACAAGGGTTATGTGGGCAAATGTTTGGTACCTTGAGCAGATAAACATCGCTCCTGGGTGGAGAAGACCTAGGGGTTTGAGAAGAGCAGTGATATTGTGACAAGTTTCCTTAATTCCTCTTGCTTTGTTTAGTGGCAGTTTTACTTGTGGACTAAGGGATGACCGTGAGCTTGTAATGCCAGAGCTGAAGTTGAGGTTTTAGTGACGTGCCACTGGGGTTTTAGCGGTTTGAAAGCCACGTGTGTGTCCTCTCCTGATTACACTTACACCATCACTTTCTTGGTCATGTCAAGTCAACGACGATGTTAATTACCGCAATAAGAACAAATCTAATACTCCTCCGTCCCAAAATATAAACATTCTTAGCATAGTGACGAGTCAAATGTTTTTAATTTTAACTATTAACAGCAAAAAAATAAAAAAAAATCAATCATGTAAAATTGATATTAGTAGATTTATCATTAGAAAAACTATCATAATATTTAACTTTTTTTATTTAAAACATCTTACTTTTATAGATATTGTTGGTTAAAATAGCATCTCAGAGACCGTGTTAGAGTAAAAAAAAATGCTTATATTTTAGGATGGAGGGAGTAGTTATCTACATTCACTCTAATAGCTTAGTCATATAATAAATTTATAAATATATATTTTACTATCAATATTTGATCACCTCGCATACACACGTAAATACATGATATATTGAAATCCGTGTGTCACAGCTGACTATATCTATAGCTCGTTTTTCTCCTCTCTACGCTTATCTCTTCTTGACATTTACTTGTAGCTAACATATAGCCTGTTGTCTTAAAAAAAACATATAGCCTGTATTTGCTACGCGTTGTTATATTTCTACCGGTACCACTGCCCTGAGTTCTTGATTTGTAGCATAAGGTACAATATTTTTTTCCCATAAACGTGATCATTGAAGAAGAAAAAAAAGGGATATTGCAGATGTGCTGACTGAGCTAATTAAGAATAAGATATTCAGGCATAAACCAAGTTAGCTAGTGACTTTTGCATGCATTTGACATGCATAAGTCCACTAGCAAATATCTGCAGCCAAAAATCATCCTAATCCTAATAATCAACCAAAAAAGTCCAAAACAAAAGGAAAAGGTCAAAAGGTACTCATCGCAAGCCTGCAACAAGTCGCACAGCAAGACAGAAACTCACACCAGTTGGGCAGGAAACCACATGACCGTGTGTACTGCATGCCCCGTTTGGCTCACAACCTAACCACCAGCACACGCCTAATTAGTTTAATCAATAATTACCTTACCTTGTTTTTGCTTTCAGAATTAAGTGATCGTCTCGTCTAAGCTTCATGACCTTTACGCATCCGATCGAGTGACAAGAGATCAATTGGAGTAGTTATAAATAAGCGTGAGTATTATAATTAGGAGAAGTTTTACTGGTGTTTTTATTTCAAAAATAAAAAAAAATCAACGGTCTAAAATAGAAGTATTATATAAGGGTATTTAAGTATCGATCTAACAGATGACATGGTGAAGGGTGTCGACAAATAACCATATTTTACTGTTGATTACCCTGTTGTCATTATTTACTGTAATTTTATTTTAAAAATGGAGGATTTTCCCATATAACTATATAAACCGATGTTCAATGACCGAACGAAAATGGGAAAAGTTTCAAAAAGGAAAAAAACTTTTCGCCTTCAACCGGGCCTAATTCAAAACAGCCCAACTATTTTGCCTCTGTTTTTTTACGTGATTTTTCAAATGTTCAATTTCAAAAAAAAAAGGTCAAGTTCAAGCTTGACATGAATTTTGACCTTGTTTTTACATGCATTTTAAAATGGAAACTGAAGTTCAAAACATAGGGGAGAAAGCAATAGCCTAGCAAACAAAACCATTTTCCCCCTCCAATTGGACCTAATTTGAAACAACACCCAATTGAAAATGGAATATGTCTACTTTGACTCCCTTAACTAGTGTCTTAACCTAATTTGTATCTTTAAACCGTAATAGCGGATATTTTGACCCCCAACTATTAAAACTGGTGTAATTTGTCTCCCTCAACGGTTTTGGAGGACTGTTCACTATCATGGAGCATACGTGGCGGTGTTGTAAGCGTCTGTCGAGGAGTGATCCTCTCTAGCAGGAGATCGTGAGACCCCCCTTTCGTGAGTTCGGCCGGGGAAGAAGCTCGCCTCTAGAAATCGCGTATCCGTCCCCAAGGCTCCTAGCTAGCTCGCACACAACCAAATTATACAGGTTCGGGCCGCTATGAAGCGTAATACCCTACTCCTGTGTATGGGATTTAGACTGAGAGTTACAATGGTTCCTAAACTCGGGAGAACACTCTTACTTCCCTCCTCCACAAGCTCAGGTTTTCTGAGAGTCGTCCTCTTTCTCGGTGGGTAAGGTCCTCCTTTTATACCTCAAGGGGATACCACATGCACCGCTTCTACCTACTCTTTTTTCGGGAGGGGACCCACCATATCTTGACTGGAACTCGACCCGTGCCTTCGCCTGGAAGCTAAACCATAGCTTGTCCTTGAGCGGGGCCCAGCACCGTCCCTCGCCTGACACGGGGGACAGCCCTGTCATTCCCTCATTAATAGGTGAAGACTTGTGGTGGCCGCCGTCCGAATGACCCCCCGACGGGACGGGCCATACCTACCTCCACTCCACCGGAAGCAGATGTGACGTGGGAGCACGGTTGTCCATCCAGTCAGACGTGACCGGCGTCAGGCCGGTCACAGACCGGTCATTCTTGACCATCGCGCGTCAGTTTAGCACGCCGCACGTCTGCCCCACTGCATTAAATGTGACATGGGGCAGTTGAGGCGCTGTGCGGATTAAAGGAAGTTCAGCCTGGGGCCCCTCCTCGCTTGCTCCCCCCGCCAAACGGCGGCTGGGCGAGGGCCTCGGGGCAAAGCAGTGCAAGGGCCCGAGGGGCATGACGTGGCACCCCGAGGCCCCGACACCCCGGCCGCTCCTGCGGTTCGTGGAATGCGGGGACAGGACCATGCTGTAGGGACACGTGGTAGGATGGAAAGGTAGATTCCCCTCACTTCGCATACCCCCGGGCCCATATCTCCGACAGTTTAGGGCTTAGGGTTTAATAGTTGGAGAGTCGAGATATCCGGTACTGCGATTCAAGCATACGAATCAGATTCGGCCCAATAATCCAGATGCCAATAGGACGGCCCATCAATCCAGATGCAATACGACGGCCCATCAGATCCCGTCCCCGAGAAGGAATCCCCCTCACCGTTGGATCCGATCCGACGGCTGAGACCAGCCACACAAACCCTCAATATATATTCGCTCGCCCCCCGCTGCGTCTCGCCGCTCCTACACCGCGCCGTCGCCAGCAGCCGCCGCCGCTGCCTCTCCTCCTCCTCCCCTCGCCGCCGATCCAATCCGGTAAGCCTCGCCGCCGCAAGCTCCCCCTCGTCCCTCCCCCGGATAGTTCGTCGCCTCGTCAGGCATCTCGCCGATTTGGCGCCGTTCTGTTGTTCTGTTTGGTGGAGCCGTGCGCGAGATTTCCGGTGTTTGTTGACCTGTTTAGCTCTGATGGATTCACCTTGTGTTAGTTAGTTTTCCGTCGAATGGTGTGGCGATTAGGTTTGGGGGGATTGGTTCGTCTGTGATTTTGTAGCTAGATTTTTTGAAATCTAGGGTAGTGTGAGTGGGGAAGCTGCTGGCCTTAGTGGATACATGCTGTTCGTGGTCTCCTGGTTCTTGAAATCATGATGAGTTAGTGCTGTTTGAACCTTGAAGCAAAGTTTTAAGTTATTGGAGTTCCTGTGCTTAGATTTGTATACTATTAGTGAAGAGATGCATAGCTGTACTGCTGTAGTGGATATAGGAGTGTTGTTTTTGATTTGCTGGTGCTCTTCCATAGCATCCGGATGCGGTGTTCAATTGTGTAGTTGTTTATGTAGTTCAATGCACTAGAAGCTTTTATTTCTGAATGCCTAGTTATTAGTTGGGTATGAAGTCCAATGTGTGAAATGCTGTCATGTTTCAACTTTTAGTTAAGATATGAAACTTGAGAAACAAATGAAAGGTTTAGATTCAGTACTGATGTACAACTTAAGTAACATCTATGGTTGTAAATTGTACCATGCATTGGTTATTGTGAATTAGCTCTTTTGGTTGATTGAAACAATTCTCTATGTGCCAACAGGTCACTTTCAGTCTTTTTTCTTGAGGGGGAGATGGCGGTTTCTTTCACCAACGTTAGCTCAGAGGCAGGCCTCAAAAAGCTCGATGAGTACCTTCTCACTCGCAGCTACATCTCTGGGTATATGATCAGTGTCCACTGTCCACCTTATTTTCTGAATTGCCATTTATGTTCACTGGACTTAAACCCTTCAATTATCTGTTTCCAGGTACCAAGCCTCCAACGATGACTTGGCTGTGTACTCTGCATTTTCAACTGCGCCCTCTTCAAGCTATACCAATGTTGCTAGGTGGTTTACTCACATTGATGCACTCCTACGTCTGAGGTATGCATTTTTCCCCTTTTTTTATTCTCTTACATTTTATGTTCAGTGTTGTGAATTTTCTGAATGTTGTATTTCAGTGGAGTTACTGCTGATGGTCAAGGCGTAAAGGTCGAGTCGACAGCTGTTCCTTCAGCTTCAACCCCTGATGTTGCTGATGCAAAGGTCATACAACCCTAGCCTTGTCTTGTTTGCCTGAAATCTGTGAAGTGTTCTAGCATAGTACTGTGAATTGTGATTTGATGCTGTTTGCAAATTACGTTTTTGTGGTTCAATGGTGCTGGTTACCATCTCTAATATATCATCATATCTTCTAATTTCAGGCTCCTGCAGCTGATGATGACGATGATGACGATGTTGACCTTTTTGGTGAGGAGACTGAAGAGGAGAAGAAGGCAGCTGAGGAGCGTGCTGCTGCTGTCAAGGCTTCTGGCAAGAAGAAGGAATGTATGCCATCCTGCATTATACTATACCATTTTTATGCAATGAATAATACAATTATTCATTTTATTTTATTCTCATCTGTAGCTGTAAATTAAGACCAAATCATCACTATTCATTATAATGCAAAGTGCTACTTCTAACTTGTCAACACCTTTTTATTCAGCTGGGAAGTCCTCAGTGTTGCTTGATGTCAAACCATGGGACGATGAGACTGACATGACCAAATTGGAAGAAGCTGTGAGGAATGTTAAGATGGAAGGCCTCCTTTGGGGCGCATGTATGTTACTACATTAAATTTCTTCCTACGAATGTACTGTCTTTTGCTTTTGCTAGTTTGGTTAGATTGTGACATGAATATATACCACTGTTTGCAGCCAAGCTTGTCCCGGTTGGTTACGGTATCAAGAAATTGCAAATCATGATGACCATTGTCGATGATCTTGTGTCGGTTGATAGTCTGATTGAGGACTACTTCTACACCGAACCAGCGAATGAGTACATCCAGAGCTGCGACATTGTTGCGTTCAACAAGATCTGTAAGTTATTCCATAAGTATCAGAGCCCGTCGTTTTATTTGCTAGCGTTGTTCTTGTTATTATACTGAAGCAATCGGATGACCAGCTGTCTTATTTTAAGGAATCGATCCTATATTATTCTTTAAATGATGATGCATGCCATATATATTATTCTGTAAATGATAATGTCCTGATGTTTCATATCTAGATACCTCATTTGCTGCACATTACTCTCTTTATTCAGTAGGCTTAGATACCTGATTTGCTGCATATTACTCTCTTTATTCAGCAAGTTGCTCATATCTAGATATCTCATTTGCAGCACATCAATTTGATTTCATATGGTCATGTAAATTTCATCTGCCTTGAGCCATCCTTGTTCAGAACTAATGTTTTGATTATGTTTTATTGCAGAGATCTTCCTTGAGTCAGGTGATGGCGATCGGTGCACAAAGATAAAAAGAAAAATCCGGAAGTTTGAATTACCGTTGATACTTCAATCTAGAAGTTTGAATTACCATTGATGTGTCGTTCGTGGTGTCAACTAGTACTTGAGCCCGTTTTGTGTTGAGATTGTAGCACTCTACTTCTACTGAGATCGTTTTCTCCTCCTTTAATGTTTAAAGACCAATCAGGTTATTATTACTGTGTCTGCCTGTGTCACCATAGCGGCATTGTTGGTCGATCCAGTTTTGATGCGGTCTTCAATTCTCCCGTCTTTCGCTTTGCTTGATTGCTTCATCGCTTTTGCGGCTAAAGTTTTTCTGCTCCTACCAAAACTGTAGGGGAAACTTTGGTTGTGCTGTTTGTTCTATCTCTTATGCATTGCACAGCCTGGTTTTTTCGCTCTTCTGAAGTATAGCCCTGTGCGCTCTCATCAGGCCTGTCCTGAAATACGTGATTTCCGTTCGGTATCGATGTTCGGTTTGTCACACATATCTTCTACTTTCTTTTCTGTAATGAAGAGCATTGTCTACTGTTATCACTTATCAGGTTCGAATTGGTGAATTCACAGCTGAGTGTTGGTGCATATATCACGATCAAAGTAACAATTATCATGGCAAAATAGGTGGTTTCACCTCTCGGTATCGGTTTTCTTCCATTGGCATCCCTGACTCGTGGCTCGTGGGCTGGCATTGCTGAAGCAGCACTTAGGCAACATGCGATAAATAAAGTTTCTCTTCACAATCCTCTTGAAAGCTGCTCAAGGAATATTCAGCTTACGATAAGCACATCCGATCTTTGACCTACATAGGCAGCATATGATCCTGAGCAGTAAAATTTCCTGCTTCACCTAGTAACCTTCACTCTTTCCATTAATTCTTTGTCAGTCTACCCTGGAAATCCTCGACTAGTGTCTACTAGGCACTAGCTAGTCAACTGCTAGTTCCCAGAGGGATACAGCAATATCTGAGTGATTCACCGCAGATATGTCACCCATCAGAAGTTGACCATCATCAGTTACTAAGAGCACCCGCAATGGTAAAGTAAGGTGCTATCTATAAAACATGTACATCTCAGCAATAGACTCGATTAATAGTAAACCACCTTAATAGTATGTCTACATTGGTATCTATAGCTCTCTCATGCATTGTCTCGTTTTTCTCTATAGACTATCTCTAAGTTAGTAGATAGCTTTGCTCTCTCTCTTCATTTAATACATTCCAAGTAGGAAAATATGCTGACATGAATCTCTTATAGAGAGCCTATAGATAACCATTGTGGGTGCCCTAACACCATAGATTAGTAGTAGATAATCTATAGGACTGCATGCAATGCGATGATATCTAAGCTCGGTGTAGATTCAGAAACCGCATGTTCAGATATATATGCATTTCTTTTCTAGCCGAAAAGCGACACGGGATTCAGGACCACATCGCGGCAGCTTCTCGCTGCTTCTCTAGCCTTCATTCTAGAACTCCACACACACCCAGATGTGTACTACTTTTATTTTGTTCATCGATCCAACGGTGAATGATGATGGGTGCCTCTTTTCTGTCCAGACATTCTTCAAGAGTCAGAGATTAATGAATGCACATTAATCTGGACTATTAGCTCTTGATAACAAACTCTACCAGCATAGTATCATGCATAGCTCCTATTTAAGTTTATCTCTCATCTTGTGGATCCCTAGGATCCTTCCTCATCTAACAAAGACCAAATGTCTCATGAGAGAAAAGGGCCTCTTCATCAATCATCCAAATCAAGTACTCCATCCGTCCCATAATATAAGGGATTTTGAGGTTTTGCTTATAACATTTGACCACTCATCTTATTCAATTTTTTTTTCAAATATAAAAAACAAAAAGTTGTGCTTAAAATACTATAGATAATAAAGTAAGTCACAAATAAAATAAATAATAATTTAAAAAAATTTGAATAAGACAAGTGGTCAAACGTTATAAGTAAAAACTCAAAATCTCTTATATTATTGGATAGTGGGAGTACCAATGTATTTTAGCATACTAGTAGTCTACTAGTAGAGTACATATATGGATATATTAGTACATCTGAACATAAGATACAGTACATAAATGTACACACACAAGTGAGTAGTGATCACATATATATTCAATGGCACATCGGCATTTGCCAAAGGTGTAGAATGTTGCTTGGCAGCCACTCCTGGCCACCTTTTTTTCCCAAAGTTGGGCACAAACACACACAAATGTGCCGGCCGGGGGGCCTGCCCCTGATCAGAGAAATTCAGGATGCCGATGGAGATTTGGGAATTTTGTAGCCTCTGCTCCAGGTTGGCTTACCGATTTCGGCCATGGGCATGCCCCAAGAACCCTAGTTGCACTGCTGTTTCGGTACATTCTGGTGTATATTTATCATGCACCAATGTTCTTGAGATGATCAAGGGTAGGTAGAATAAGAGCATGAGGGGTTCACTAGCAGATGAAATGAAATGAAAACTTGTTGCTGTATCCCACAAATTTAATGGAAATGGAGTATACATTGGGGGGAGTAGTACTATATGGTGAAACGTACACCAACTGTATCTGAAATCTGAAAAAAAGAAAAAGATAACAGAGCTTGAAAATTTCTCCTATTTTCAGCTCAAATCCAATAATGATTGAACTAGCCAGCCAGTCGACGTTTGATCTTCGTTCAGAATTACACCGTCGCGCATCGCATTCGGTTCTGTATGTTGTCCCGTGCGATCGATTCGCCATTCAACTGAACCTCATGAACAAATGGGGATTATTGTGGCATCAAAATTACTGCGAATTTTCCTCCGCGTAAATCAGGACACCAGGCCACCATCATGTAGTCTGAAGAAAACAGAATGGCATCCAGAATTCAGTGCTTAATTTGACTGAGCAAGAGTGTAGGGTTCACATTCCACTATATATCACTTACCATTGTGCAAACAATAATGATCGCATTGAATCGTGCGTCTCGGTCTACATCTCCAGAACAATGACTGCAAAAAACATCAAGAAAATCCACTCATAAGTTGATGCTTAATCAATTACTTCTACACAAACTATACTTACTGCAATATATATGTAATCTTTTCATGCATATATGTTTGAAAATATGTCCATGAATGCAAACAAATATATGCAGCAAGAAGAATATTAACTCTCACTTACAATCTGAATCAGTTTTGTCCCATTTAAAGATATCTTCTGCATTCTCATCATCATCTTCATCATCATGGAGATGCTCCCTTTGCATCTTCTCCCTCGGCTTATCCTCAAGATAGTATTTCCTCGACGACGACGCCGCAGCATTACTCGGTCGAGCGTTCATCCTCTTGTGAAGCATCGTCCTGAACAACTGCATATGAACACAAAATGCAAAACAAAACAAAACAAACCATATTAGTTTGCACTGTTTCATACTTTCGTCACTGATCATATCATTATTAGTTACTCCCTCCATTTCATATCATAAGTTGTTTTCACTTTTTTTCCTAATCAAACTTCTCTATGTTTAACCAACATTTCATATCATAAGTTGTTTTCACTTTTTTTTCCTAATCAAATTTCTCTATGTTTAACCAAGTTTATAGAAAAAATTATCAACATCTACGACGTCAAATTAGTCTTATTAAATGTAACATTGAATATATTTCGATAATATGTTTGTTATATTTTTACTAATGTAATCAAACTTAAAAGAAAGTTTAACTAGGAAAAAAAATTCAAAACGAATTATAATATGTTATAATATGAAATGGAGTGAGTAGATGATAACTTGTTCTACTGTTTAATTGAGACCTTTTCGATTCTTGATTCGACTGGATCCTTCAAGGTGGGCGGCGGCGCCGGCGACGGCGAGAAGCCGCCGCGGCAGACGAACATCTTCTTGAGGAGGAACCTGAAGGATTTCTGCTTGATGGCGCCGCCGCCATTGGTGTTGACGAGGAGGTCGCGCGCCTTGCTGAGGATGATCTGCGTGTCCGGCGAGAACTCGCCGTCGGCCGCCGCCACGCGCCGGTCGACCTCGAGGCTGGAGGGGCAGTTGAGGAACCTGTCGAGCGGCAGCAGCAGCTGGCTGCCGGAGGAGGAGGAGGAGGAGGAGCGCTCGTCGGCGTCGTGCTCCGCCGCCGTCGAGCCGCGGCGGCTGCCGGACTTGGTGGACTTGGCTCGCCGGAGCAGCTTGTTCAGCGCCTCCTGCAGCTTCTTCACCTCCTCGATGGTGAAGTCCGCCACCTCCTCTGCCGCCGTCGCCGCCGCCGCCGCCGGCGGTCGCGGCGGCGACTCGTTCCCGAGCGTGCCGATGGAGAGGAGGTGATCTCCGGCGATCTTGATCTCGTCGCGAGCTTCTTCTTGGCGGCAACTCTCTCCTCCCCCTCCTCCTCGTCCTGTAGCATCCATGCATGCATCCACGTCGACGAACAAACGTCAAAAACCATGCAAAATATATCCAACTCCACTTACATACGTATATAACTTACACATGCACGTTTGAATCACAAGAATTTAACATGAAAATTATAACAGTTCAAATGTTCAAATCAAAACAAAGTAAAACTTACTGCGAGCTGACGAGGCCACAGCAGCAGCTTCAGTTCGTCTCTTGTCTTGTTTAGCAGTACTGAGTCGATTCTGCATCCAGTTAATAATCTGCAAACAGAACATAATTACAAAAAAATCAAACATATATCTCATATGAAAACACATAATTTACTGAAACCTAACATGCACTTGATCGAGCTTACTTACCCCCATGGCTATGGTTAATTAGCAGGTAGCCCTAGAGCTCTGATGATTCGAGCAAAGTGACGGCGGCGAAACGACGATGTTAGGAGGCAACAGAATCTAGCTGGATGATAGCAAACCAGAGTAGTTTCAGGGTTGTTTTTGCAGGAGCTCTCTGATTGGCCAGTTTCAGACTTTCAGTGAGGCAGCTTGATTTGATTGGGCTTGGATGCTGCTGCTAAAACAGTAGCTAGTATTAGTGCTACTATTAAGTGCCCATTACCATTGAGTTTAGAGCTTGAGAGAGAGAGATGGAGAGGGTGAGATTGGGGTGTAAAAGAAATGGGAAGTGGGATTCAGGGTCCCCTACCCCCCATGGAATTTAAATAGGAAGGGTTACAAGTGAAGTGAGAGTGCTACAGAGATTAAGTCAGCGAGCCATTGGCTAATCTCGATCGGTCGAGCGAGTTTAGTGGCCAAATTGCGTACTTGTTTGAATGCATCCATCCATTCATAAGGCGGCCACTGGATTTTAGTGTGTGTATCTAGCTTAGCCAATACATGCTCATGGTATTCGTTCTCAAAGGTACATTGCATAGGTTGTATGCGGATCTACACCTTTTTTGGACACTGAAATAACCCTGAATTACTATTTTCTGCGTATCTTTTTCTCAAGCGGCAATATAGTTTTATCAGTGTAACTACCCCAAGCTTTCAACAAGCCTATACCCGATCCGTCGTAAAAAGCCATCATTAATCCATTATTTCTATATTAAAATAATTCATTACTGCTAGCTATCAATTAGAAACGACAACAACGGTTATAACCAGCCAACAGGACGGTAACCCGCCAACAGCAGCAAGTGTCTAACGGCTAGACTGTGCAGTTGTAATCAAGGTACACTTAGCTACCGAACAACCCCAATTTTTTAAATCTTTTAAAATACAACCAAATTTGATCCCGAATCTTAAATTCCTATTTAAAACCAAATTTATTCAGAATTTCCTAAGCCATCCGATCATCAGAAAGATCCTGAAAACTAGGGCACATGAGGATTATCTGCAAAGCTCCAGAGCCAGTCCTTTAAACCGGTAGAATATCCCCAACCCCGTCCGTACGACCCAGGTGTTCCGGTGCGGGTAGCCAATAGCCAAAGCCCAAAGAGCCCAGCAACCGAAGCGGCCGACGTGGCGCATCCTCAGCCGCCGCCTCACGCCGATCCAACGGTGGCCAGATCGATCCGTGCAAAGTATACGTGGCTTCGCACGGACCCATCCATCTGTGCCCTAGTTTAATCCCCCGGGGCGCGGGCCTAATCAACTTGATTAAGCGCCACTAACCACCCCCTGGAACGATCTCCCCGATATTTAGGCGGAGATTAACGAGGCCTCTGTGCCTCGTGGGGAGTAATTAATGGCGGAGAAAGTTTTGGTTAATCAAAGAGAGGGGGGTAATTAGATCGATGAGTGGTCATTAACAAACAGGTGTCAGCCCGACACGGAGGAGCCTGGTCGTGACACTTGTCCTCCCCGGGATCCATGTTGGCCCATATGGGTGGGCTCTCATTGGCCGAACTGCAAAAGCTGATCATTTCCCTTGTGCGGAAATGTGTTGTTCATTTTTGTTTTGTTTTTGTTTTTTTTACGCCTTGTGAGATATTGTCAATATTTCAAGATGTACTCCCTCCGTATTTTAATGTATGACGCTGTTAACTTTTTGATAAACGTTTGACCTTTCGTCTTATTCAAAAAATTTATGTAATTATAATTTATTTTATTGTGACTTGATTTATCATCAAATGTTCTTTAAGCATGACATAAGTATTTTTATATTTGTATAAAATTTTTGAATAAGACGAGTGGTTAAACGTTGGTTAAAAAGTCAACGGCGTCATACATTAAAATATGAGGGGGTATAAAATATGAAATAAAGAATTATTGTAGTTCTAGCTTGGGTCATGCGTGACACCATCATAGTACGGTAGCAGCCGCAGTAGCAACAGGGTGGATTATAAAGGAAGAAGTTGAATGCATTTATGACTCTATTTATCAGGGTTTAAATTATGACACATATAATGGAAAAATTGTAAAAACCATCTCAAATGTCACTATAAGTTTGAGTTTCCCCCTATAAGACGATTTGTGGTAAATACACCCCCCTCTCTTAGTTCACCTTGATTTGAGATTCCCCTGATTGCCATTGCTCGTCCATTCTCGTGACAAACCCCCCCCCACATGTGTTCACATGAATACTAATACGGGAGGAGTTGTGGTCACCACTCATGTTGATCAAGCCTAATGACACGATTGTGACATTCTTACACATGACACGCCAACACCTTGTTGGGCAGTGTGATCACGAGTCTCCGCACTTGAACATCAGGGTTGTCGAAAGATGAGCTACTGCGCTTGCCTCATGGGGTTTCGGGTGGCTAGTTTCTTCGAGGATTCAAAAACGATGAAAATGAGCTCAGTGTGACACTGTGCTGCTAAGAAAGATAATGTGTTCAGGGTCATATACATCAAGAGATGAGCTAAGTCGTATAACACATGAGAAAAGAGAAAAAAAATAGTGTGAGCAACTGGGGAGGAATATCAAACTAAGGTGAACTAGGAGGTGAGTATTCACAAAAGATCATCTTATAGCGGAAATCTTAAACTCAGTGTGACATTTGGAGTGATCTTCTATAAATTTCCCTAAATATAAAATGTACGATCGGGGTTTAAAAAAAATGTACAATCATAAATATTGTTTCACCTCTGTATGTTGATCGTGCTGATAAGAGTAGTCATGAGCAGGGGCGGAGACAGGAGTAGGGCAGCTTGGGCTTGCAACCCTATTCCTAGTCCTAAATATTCATTGAAATTCCATTTTAAAACTTTAAAAACTAGAAGATAAAGGCAAAATTATATATATTCAACTAATTGAGCCCTAAGTTTAGAAAAATTTTGGCTCCGCCACTAGTCATGAGGGTGTGCATGCACATGTATCTTTCGTGTTATCGGGCAAAAAAAAAACAATGGTTTAGAATGTACTACCACCATCCTAGAAAGATCGCAGTTTTGTACAGTATATGTATAATATTTGGCCGTTCATCTTATTTAATTTTTTTTATAATTAGTAATTTTATTGTTATTAGATGATAAGATATAAATAGTATTTTATGTATGACTAATTTTTTCAAAAAGAAATATATATAATTTTTTTAAATAAGATGGACGGTCAAACATTAGACACGAAAACTCACAACTGGATTTAAAATGGGACGTAGCAACAAGGCAGAGGCTGTACTGGCCGAGAGTAGCCATTGTTTAGTTCATAGTGGGTGAGTAAATAAAAAAATGTAAGTCGCAACTGCAAGTTTTAAGATCATTAAGTCATAAATTAATATACATTGTTTTCCCTCATTAAGACTGAGACAGGAAAAAATCGATATATAACCACATGTTGGCCAATTTGGATGGACTCTGATTGGCCGTACTAGCGAACTCACTAGTTCCTTTGTGGGGAAATACGTTATTTGTCAATATCTTTTTTTCCACGTCTTGCGAATTGCGATGTAGGTTCATGCATGGCACTACCCAAATGAAAGGAGTAGCTGACCAGGATGAAATACACTCCCAATGGCCAATGGGCGTTCGAGTCAATTGACCACTCGATTCTATCGATTTGTTTTGTCCGAGTAACAGGAACAGAACAGCTTGATCTATCTTATCGCCCCCATCATCCCATAAATGGCTTGATTCCTCAAAACCAAATAACCCACAAATGTCTCTAAACCAGCACCAGAACGTTTGGACTTTGGAGAGGTCCAAACCTGAAACCTGATGGCTTTTTCATGGGTAAATTGTACAACCAACGACCGACCTGATCACCTGACCAAGTGACCATCCTTGATCAAGCTGTACAGTATGGAGATGCACGGGCTTTTTTTTCTTCTTCGCAAACTCTATCTATGTACACTCGAATACTCTCCTCTCTCCCCAAATTACAAACACAAAACCAGACGGCTACGAGTCGGACCCTGAACACAGCTCGGCGCAGCACTCGTAGCAGCCGAGGCAGGCGAACGCCGCGCAGACCTGCGTCATCACGATGGCGCACTGGTCGTTCATCTTGTTGCAGGCCTTGATGCAGCACATGCAGCAGAGGCAGTCGGCGAGGCGGCTGCAGCAGCCGGCGGCCTTGTTGAGGATCTCGAACGTCTCCAGCGGCTTCACGTCGCCGAAACCCGTGACGAGGTTCTCCCTGGTGGCGGCCCGGTCGCCGAACCCGAGCTTGAGGCATTGGAGCGGGATCCGTCGAGGTTCGTCGGGGCCCTTGTGACCTTTCAGTTTCTGCTTGACCTGTTCGAGTAAACAGGCAAGTTAGTTGGGAGTTCTGAGCTAGCGTGGTTGTCACAAGATCCATTTCTCGTAAACCAGTTTATAAGCAGGGACCATTGGTATTATTATAAAAACAGTGGGACTTACCTTTTGTGCTGCATCTACCTTCTCCAATGTTTGAAGTAGGACCATGCTCGTGTACTCTGAAGGAATGCTATTTTGAATGCTTAGTTTCACCACCTTCAAAAATCAAACGAAATGGAGTTACTGAAACCCATATACTGCTAACTGAATGGAACTCAAACTACTAAAGAAAGTAACATATTTCAGGGGCAACTGCAATTCACAAGAGAATGTGACCTATAAAGATTTCAAACTAGTTCAGGGAATAAATGAAATGGAAAGCGAACATCAAAATAATATTCAGCACCAACAACCACACTAGGGCTGAGTTTAGTTCCAAACTTTTTCTTCAAACTTCCAACTTTTCCATCACATGAAAACATTCCTACACACACAAACTTCCAACTTTTCCATCACATCAAAACATTCCTACACACACAAACTTCTAACTTTTCCATCACATCATTCCAATTTCAACCAAACTTATAATTTTGGCGTGAACTAAACACACCCTAAGGCTGTGTTCGGATATGGGGAGTTGGGAACTAAACTCCCCGCACGGAAAACGGATCGGTCCATTAGCGCGTGATTAAGTATTTACTTTTTTTTTTTCAAAAATGGATCAATATGCTTTTTTAAAGCAACTTTTGTACAGAAACTTTTTGCAAAAAAACACATCGTTTAGTAGTTTGAAAAACATGCGCGCAGAAAAAGAGAGGGGTGAGCTGGGAACTCTGTGTTCGGCACACCAAGTTCCCATCTCCTCTCCATCGTGTTTCGTGCGCACGTTTTTCAAACCGCTAAACGGTGTGTGTTTTGCAAAAAGTTTCTATACGAAAGTTGCTTAAAAAAATCATATTGACCCATTTTTGAAAAAAAAAGCTAATACTTAATTAATCACGTGCTAATGGATCGCTCCGTTTTACGTGCGTAGGAGATTGGTTCCCATAAAGCCCAAGCGAACTCAAGCATTTTTCAATGTATTGCCCATTAAATGCTTAAATGCTTCAGACAAGCAATGTGAGAACTTTCAAACATTACCGATTATCTTCACTATATCTCATGACTCCAAAATTCAGTGGAGGTATAAAGCGAAGAACATGTATAATGCAACCCTTAGCCAAAAGCCTGAAACATAAACTCACCTTTCTCTCCAGTTGCTTGTCAGAAGAAAGCCATGCCTTCGCTGTGAGAAGGCCAATCTGCTGTGCCGCCAAAACCTAGAAATCATAAATAAAAAAAATGCATATATTATTAGTATACTCGAGAAATCTATGGCCCCAAGTATGATATTGTGCAAGTTTCTCAATGGAAAGAAGAGAAACCAAATGTACACAATAGTGAGCATCTTACTTTGTCAAGGGGTATATCCTTTATATGCTGCACCTTAAGTTCAATCGAGATCTCTCTCATGTCAGCCAAGTAACCTTTAGCTGTAACCATATCTGGGAACTTGCCTTGGTATTTCCCAGATATACATAAAGGACTTTTTGCTGAAATGTCTGGAATGTATTCAGAATCGATCTGAATTGGAGGAAAGGAACAGTCAGAAGACAATAAAACTACTGTTTTTTTCTAGCTACTACTAGTTACACCTGCAAAAAGCATACCCACAAACCACCCTTCCATACAGCAAATAATTATTTCTATATACAGGACAGGCTCTTTGCTAGGAAGAGCAGTATAAGATGGTATGGCAGCAATGAACACAGCACACATACACTACCAGAGAAAATGAGTTGGGAAATCACAAATCAAATACTGAAAAAGAGTCAATTTCATTATGAAACATGATCGCAATGCAGCCAGAACCACCTTGATGGCATTACTCGTCTTACATATCCATCTCTACATAACCAAATTTACAATATTGAGTAGTTAGTGATGAATTAACTCACTTCAAATTCATCAAGATGTGCTGTAGCATCAATGGAGATGTTTGCAACTATTGTACTCGATGCTTTCCTGAACCACCTAAGTACCTGACTCTCAATTGATCCTGCAAAAACAATTCACCAAAAAAAAAAGGTTTATGAAGATGTTACATGGACTTCATAAAAGTCATATTTGTCCAATTAATGCATATAATAGAACAGTATTGCTTAGATATGAACTTCAGGAATAAATCCAGATCAATAACAATAATGTATTGGTAGAATGCCCATGAAACTTGAGCAGAGGTTGCAAGATGGAGTGTCAACTTAAACAGCATGCAGGGATCATAAAGAAACAGTGTTACGTGGAAAATTGCAAACCAAGAGTACAACTAGCTCTTAGATTGCAGAGCAAGAGGATCCCTTCATAGAAAACATTATTGCCACCTCTAACAATATGAACTGATTGCAGTTTGGTTTTTCTATTATAATTTGGTTGAGATAACAGTATATATCGTGTGTCTCAGGAAAAGCTAAGAAATCCATGGAGAAAGGGTAGACTGTGTAGATCATTGTTCTAACCTTCAAGTTTAAAGACCAACATAAAGGTAAGAGCATACTGTTTGCTATGATGAGAACAAAAGGGTTTAGGGGCTTGGTACCTGTCTCAAATGCAGCATCATAATGCCCCCTGCCTATTGATGCCAGCATGCGCAAGAAATAGTGGTTGCAATACAAACCTGTTATTCCAGTGATAAAATGAAAAGAGCAAAAAGAATATATCAGGTAAACTGTAAGCAATCAGTAACGAAGTAGTACAAAACTAAAACAGCAGAGTAATTAAAATATGGTTCGTCTCATCACAAGCTGGCAGCATATATCACCACACTGACTGGTCTGTTGACTTATGGTGTAAGCATTTTTCTCTTACACAAGAAAGGATATTTGGAGATAGAGAAATACATGAGCGTTGGTGCAAAAAGTAGGGAGGAGAATTTTCATGTGATCCAGGAGATAAGTCAAGAGTTTTGAATAATGAGATAATTGTATATTTGACGCTCTCCTTAACATTACCTAGTCCAAAAGTAGAAATCCGAGGAGATTTAGATCCTCTGCTGATGAGCTCCGTTTTCACAGTTTGGCATATATTATGTTCATCATCAACTGATCCATCAGTCATAAGAAAGATTTGTGGAAGCACATCATGAGCACTTGACAATGATGCCATTGCCTTTCATGAAAAAAAAAAGTGAGAGTATTAACAGTAATAGAATAAAAAATAATACTACATATGCATCTATTCACAATCGAGATTTAATATTCAATAATACCTCATTCAAAGGATGCATAATATCTGTACCACCACCAGCAACAAAGTTTAAGTTTATCCAGTCAAGTGCACTTGCTATTGATTTCTCATTTACTTTCTCCAAACACGATGAGAATGAGTGCAGCTCATCATTAAATGTTATAATGTTGAAGTAATCTCCTTCTGTGAGTTCTGACAGAGCAGTAGACATCGCATTCTTCACATTCTCAAGCGGATGTCCTTGCATGCTTCCACTTGTATCAATGACAAACACAACTGCTTTTCTGAAGACCTATTGAATTGCTCAGGTGAGATATAGGAACAAGGAGAGAGATTTTGTGAAACACAGAAGAAGGAAAAAGGGAATGTACTTCTGTGTCAATAAACCAAAAGTGCTATGAACAAGGCCACCTCAGTAACATCCTTATTTACTATAACTTTAATGATTTACAATCGCAAAATATCCTGATAGTATTTGCTAAAAGAAGTCCAGATTGTAGTTTGCACATAGCTAGTGGAATTTCACTAGAAAAAGATCACCAAATGGCAGTTTAGAATGGTGGGTTTGTTGATTGGTTCTATAAAAAAGTAGTTCTACATTAGCTTCATCAGAAAGGTTTCTGCTAGAGGCCCTCTTCTAAATATAAAAGTTTTGTCAACTGCAGATATCTCACTCAAGGAAGATATGCTTAAATAAATAAAAATAAAAACTATGGGACGAAACCCCGCAAAAGTAAGAGCAACTAACCTTTCTGTTGCCACCTCCAGGTAAAAGAAATATGCAGAACCTATCTCTATCATCATAATCACGCAATGTCGATGGTTGAACAAGCACACCACCAGATAAGTCACCAGAATAAACCTATAGGAATGAACATAAATCAGACAAATCTGAACATATATTTAGCTATTGCAGTTTTGAAACAGTAAACAGTTCTCGAGCCAGATTTCAGTTACATCTGCAACTAACATATGCTCACAAAAAAAGAAAAATTTGAGAAGTCTTGGAAAGTCAGATTATCACAGGAACTAGTGAGCTCATAACTACTTAAAGAAGTGACTACCGATTACAGCTAATAAAGAGATCACAAAAGGGAAACTCACACTGTATGAAAAATTGAAATCTTTGCTTGACCAATTCTCAACAGTTGCTTCATGCCGGAAAGACAACTTCTCACCCTGCCTACCTTTTTCCTGAAATAGTAAGGGAAACTCTTTTGAAGATTAAATGTTGTAAAAGCACTGATGCCAATTGCCCGGAAATCAAAAGAGTTCTAGCAAAAAAAAATGATTACCTTCAATGGGTGGCTTGTTCCCTGCAGTAAAACCTCTTTACTGAAACCACTATTCACAGTCAACTGAATTTTCTCCCTTTTCATGAATACTTTTGGCAATGGGTTAACATAATATGGAAAACGGAACGGTATGTCCACTGAGAATCGTCCATTGTCATAGTGTAGCTTCTGAGACCATCTGATTGTGGCAGAAATATCCGCCCCACCCTCAATCTTTATCGGCAAGATGGCAATGAATCTTCAAAGTAAGACTCCAATTCCAAAAGTTCAAAGAAGAGAACAAAAGACAGTTCTGCATTTAGCATGTACCTGTGATATTGTCAAATAAAATAATTGGGGTTTCAAGAGTCCGCCACTATCAGCTTTTGGAGCATTCTCTGTAGTGTGATCTTCTACTTCAATTACTTGAGTATTATATGATCTTCTTCCAACGGTAACCTCGGCTCCTAGAATTGAACCCTATTAGCCAAACCGTTCATAGGTTGAGAACAAGACAAACATGGAAATTAATGCAACTCATATAACATAATTAAACATAATATACTAGTAGATGCCTAATGTTCATTTAATGGTGATGTTTCCTACGGATGGAAAGTAGAATCAGATGTTTCAAAATATCAAATATTAGTGTATGTGAGTTATTTATTACAAATTTCCAAGTTGTTGTTAATCAACTTCGCTAGGCAAGATAACAACCACCCAACACCAATGAATAATATGCTATAGTCATCCAAGACAAATAACTTCACCACCGAATTATCTCCATTCTGCAAGCCATTATATTCTACAACCAGACATAAAAGGAGCAATGGAGCATCATGTGTACTTCTAGATGCTGAAGTAAAGAACAAGCTATACAATATGTTTCCAAATGACACGAAGCAACATATTTCAGTACACATCAACATATTTCTTCTTCCTAGCTGCCTCATTTTTGATACACAAGCCAGGTTACCACTCTGCTAAACCAGCACATTCCTTCTTGTGTTTGATTTCCATAGGACAAAGCAAGGAATTACTTTCACTTGCTTATGCCACTTTTTACTGAAAATTGCTCTTGTAATATAACCAAAGGCATCCATTTAGTCAGCTGGAATTCATAAACTAGTTATAAAGAAAGTACAGAATTTAGTGCAGAGCACGCCATGATTTGCGGTCAACCACCTCAAGACAACTCAATCAAACGAACCATATGAACAAAAAAAAAAAAGAGAACATATTCCACTTGGACAAACACTGGGTTAAGCAAACACCTGAATAATGTTGCCACCAACCATTCCAACAGCACAGTCAACAATAAGGTACAAAACCAACAAAGCATCCATGTGAAGAAAACAATAGAACTAACGGCTCAATGGAGAATCAAAACTGCAAATCGAGAGGCACATATACATGCCGCAAAAACAAATCCAACAAATTCATGGTTCCCAACTATGTAATAACACTAGCCAAACAGCCGGAATCATACATAGCACAGCACCAATCATTTCGAACCTCACCAAACCAAATCTACGAGGCAGGAGAAGGGAACAACACAGCTACACTAGGGGGTAAAACAAAAAAAATCGCCAAAATGTGATCCGATCGAGATTTACCTGGTCGCCCATGGGCACGACGATGCGGACGTCGCAGTCGCGGCTGCGGGTGATGCAGTGCAGCCACCACCGCGCGCGGACGGTGACAGCGGCCTCGCCGAGCGCGCAGTCGACGGACAGGTCGACCTCCTTCATCTGGAGCGGGATCAGCGCGGGGGGGTCGAGGCGGCCGTACACGTATGGCTGGTAGCTGGGCACGTCGGGGGTGTCGACCGCCCCCGGGTCGGTCACCACCGCGTACGCCATCGGCGCCGACGGCAGCAGCAGCGCCGCCACGGAGGCATCACCCCCACCCCCACCCCCAACCCCAACGCCGCGGTCCATCCCCGCCAGTGGCCTCGGCGGCGGCAGCCCCCCCGGCAGCACCAGCCTCTTCGACAGCTTCAGCCCGTCCTCCACCGCCCTAGCGAACCCCTCCATGACCCAGACGCGGGATGCGGCGGCGGCGGCGTCTGCCTCAGGTAGGGTTCCGGCTGCGCCGACGAGAGGAGGAGATTGGTGTGGTCGATTGATCTGGGGGGGAGGCGATCGGCGCGGCGGCGTGGGCAAGGGAGCGAGACGAGTTTATTTGTGGAGATGAAAATGATGAGATGAGATGGGATGGGAGGCGGTGAGATTAACGGGATGGGGGGGAGGTTTGATTCGATGGATCGTTGTCACGGAAGATTTGATTAATGTTTTTAACTGATTACACGGAAGATTATGGTGGAGTTGGTTTGGTATCTTCGTTTGGTTATGGGTGTTTCCTTTCCATTGTTTATGCTGTCGCTTTGTCCGTTGAAAAATTGAAAACTGTAAATTTATTAGAAAAGGGGGAAAAAACACGGGACATTAACATGAGTTCGGAGTGAATTAGCGCTTCCGGGGCAATTAAAAAACTTGCCTAATCCAGTTATAGTATCAGCCATGTTACATTACTCGGAAAGAAAGAAACATGTTACATCATGTATTGCCTTCTGATACGTTCACACAAACTGAACTTTGCTTTAGCACCGCCTTAGCGTCAGACTAACCATTAGCTTTATTGTTTAACCACAACCTGCTAAAGAGAGTAATAAAGAGACCTTTGCTTTTTACTAAATGATCTGCATATAGTTTTTTTATAGTTTTTTTTATTTCTAAATGATCTACGTATTTATATTCATTCATTAGGTCTATTCGTTATTTGTGTATAGGAGTAAATGGACATGGATACACGCATCCATACACACAAGTATTTATAGCTCACATGTAATATCTTGATTTGCTATTGGCTAGAAAATAGTGGGGATGGTGTATGTATCGAGTTTGTTATATATTATGAGAGAGTTATTAGTTTTCGTTGGTTTTAGTGTACCTATGAAATATTTAGATCAATTTAAAATGGAGGGAGGATCATCTTTGGAGAAGTTGAGGTTAGACGTGGCTCAATCACGACAGCCGGCCGTAATAATCTCATCGAAGACAACTCGCCGACGAGGGAAACGACGTTAACCATAACGTTGACGACGTTGATACCGTGAAAATGAAAATAATATTTTAAAGATCTATTTATAAAAAAAAATTTGAAAAAAACTACAATGTGAAAAATACTCCGCGGGCGGTGAGCGGAGTCTCGGACGACATCGCGGCGCTTCCAAAGAAAAGGAGCAACGTATACACGCGGTCAAAACACAGCTGCGGAAAAAGGCCCTGGGCCCCACTTTGTGGGCCCCGCTCCCCCGGGCCGGCCACGCGCGTCAAGCACGCGCCACGTGGCCTCCAAAGGGACGACGACGCGCGGGAGATCCGATCGTGACGGCTCGTTTCGGCTTCGACGGTCGGGATCTCCGTCTCGCCGTCGGCAACGCGGCGTAACGGCTAGTTTTGTGTCGTTTTCTGGGGGGACCGCTCCAGGAGCCGTGCGTGTGGTGTGAACTCCGCAAGTCCGTTATACAGGAGTACGTACGTCGCGCCATCACCAGCTGTGACCGCCTGGCGCCCGGTGAACGGTTTTGAAACACGTTCTCGCTTGTTTTTTTTAATGGTGCGAAGTTCTATTGAGCAGGAAAAAATTACTCCCTCCGTTTCAAAATATTTGGCACCGTTGACCTTTTAGTACGTGTTTGACCATTCGTCTTATTAAAAAAAACAATTATTTATTCATATCATTTGATTTAAAGCCTCATCGTTTGGCATATTTTCTGAATATGTCAAATGACATATTTTGCAAACGAAAATCAATTTGTGAATAAAACTTTTATATATGTGTTCTTAGCGATCTAAAAGCAAAGGCTGAAAAATAAACTTCGATGAAAAAACCCCAAAATTAGCTTCAAATTTAACGTTGAAAATTCAAATTTTGGCTCATAAGCATATGAATATGCCAAACGATGAGGCCCTCATTGTTAAATATACTTTCATGTACACATATAGTTTTACATATTTCACAAAATTTTTTAATAAGACGAACGGTTAAACATGTGCTAAAAAGTTAACGGTGTCAAACATTTTGAAACGGAGGGAGTACAAGATTACAACCCTGAATACCACCACCCACACACCGATAGCGCCAACACACAATCCGGAAGAAGGCTAGCACCGAACCGGCCGCCGCTAAGCGTGACCGACCGCCGTTAGACCAACAAATGAACACATACAAGATCGCCCCCTAGGGATGCCAAAACAACGTCTTCAAGAAGAGAAGTGACAGAAAAACCGTTGCTGCCGTCCGTCGGGGCTCAGAGGAGCCAAGACATGGCTTTCACCCGGCAACCACTCTTGAGGGGTGAGACAGCATGACAACGCCCTCAGGAGGGGGAATGAACCGTCGTTGTCGGTCCGGCTAAGGCCGGGCTAGGTTTTCACCCGCCGCTCACCATCTGCGAATCCACGGCTGACGCACCGATGCTCCACCACCACTCAAGCTCTGCCGACATGTGAGACCCCTGCACCGGCGTCCCCAGCCGGCCAGCTTTCGTGTGCCGAAGACCGCGCCACACCCGCCGGCAGCTCCTCCTCACACCGAGGTCGCCTCCTCCACCACCGGCCGAGCCTCTCGCGCCAAGTCGGCCTCCTCCACCGGACACGCCTCTCGCGCCAATCCGGCCTCCCTCCATCGGCTGCGCCTCTCACGCCAAGCCGACCTCGGTCTCCGCCGCCCGCGCCTCTCGCGCTGAGTCGGCCTCCGCTGCCATCAGCTGCGCCTCTCTGCGCCAAGCTGGCCTCCGACTCCTCCTCCAAACGATGCCACGCTGGCCAGATGCAGCCGTCTGCCACACCCTCGACTAGCCGTCCGAAGCCGCCATGCCTCCGGTGACCGTGGTCACCGCCACCGCAGCCGCTGCTGCCGAATGCCCAGCCACCTCGCCGTCGCCATCCTCACCTCCTCCACTGCAGCCACGTCCACGGTCGCCACGGCCAATGCCACAAGCCGTCCGCCATCGCAGCCTGCAGCCACCAGCACCCGATGTCGCCGGTCGCGACTCCACACCGTCGCCGGCCTCCATGACGCCCTCCCGCTGCCGCACGACGCTGGCCTCCACGACAACCACACGCCGCCGGCCTCCACGACGCCTGCACAGCAGGCCTCGCCACCCACGAGGCCGCACGACCGCCTCCACGACGCCTCAACCACCACGGCCGTTGCCTCGCCAGCCAACCGTCGCAGTCGATGCCGCCACAGCCGTCGCCACCGTCACTGCTGCCGTCGGCAGCCGCCGCCGCCGCCAGCTAGATCTGGCTAGAGACGTCATTGCCTCCTCCCGCATCGCCGACGTCACCACCGGCTCTCGCGGCACCTCCACCACCACACCCGTCGTCCGGCCACGCCTCCGTGCTCGGCTACCGGAGCTAGCTCCAGCAGCGTCTCCCGCCAGGTCGTCACCGCCCAAACCCACCGCCAAAACTCGCCGCCGAGCTACCAGGACGCCGCCGTCCGTCGTTGGGGGACCGGATCCGGGCACCACAGCACCGGATCTGGACGCCGCCAGTCGGCGTCGACGCCATGCCCTGAGCTCCTACCGTGCCGACGTCCCGACCGTCTTGACCGTGAACGCGGGAGAGAGAGCCCCTCCGCCGCCGTCCTTGCAGCCGGCGGCCGCGAGGCTGGGGAACGTTCTCGCTTGTTAAAGCAGATTTAATAATATCGTCAACTTGCTGACTATAAGACAACCACATCATCTATAGCCTGTTAGTATAGGCTGCTCATATAGCAATGGTCTTTATTACTATCATATCATTTGTAGTAACAGATAATATATTTTTAAGCATGAACCAATCTCCATCAGGCTTATTTCTTTTTCTTTATTGTACTGCGTGTTGCAGCCGGTGATAATTCTTTCGTCGACTCGTGTTCTCGCTCTACCATTCCCTCCTCCAGCATATCAGTGAGACTGACGTGATCACGCTATCGCCGATCTTGGTTGGCCTATTAGACATGCTCTTACGCTCTCCGGTTTATGTTGTGACACGATGGGGGATAAACGCGTGACGAGACAACTATGAGGCTGTTCATATGGATGTCATTTTAAACTATACAATTTTTTAATAAAGTTATCTAGTTATGTACACATTTAGTTTAGTTTTGCCAAATTTTGGTCTACATATAAACATTTCTGTCAAAATTTTGATAGCATTGTTAAGGTAAAGGTTTATTTTATCTAAAATCTCAACAACACCTACGTTTTTGGTTGCCACGTGTTCACAACTCCCAATCAGCAATGAGCCAAGTCGTGACGAAAAACTCGATAGCGATCGAATCCATCCCATCCACCTGTCAACGCATCCGATCCACGTGGTTCTTAGACTAGTCCAGGTCGTTCTCGACGGTTTGGATCATGCACCGGCCACCGGAAAAGCGACTCCCCTCGTCTCAACTCTCAAGTCTCAACCGTGCATGAGGCGATGTGGGGACCACCGGACCAGCACCAGCACCAGCAGCAACGGTCACGGGCTCACGACACGCGAGGTCGTCATCGCGTAGATTTGGGCCGGAATACCTGCGGATTCTGGGCCCACTCCTGCCTCTGTGGTGCGTTGCTCACGCCGCCACGCGGGCCTCTTTTGGGCCGCAAGAAAGAGAGGCGAGATGGGCTCCTTTGCTCTTCCTTGCAGCGGAAGAAGCCGCGGGCCGTTTCCTCCTCCCCGAGACCAAGACACACCACCACGCCACCATTCCCACGCCTCACGCGGCGGAGAGAGAGAGAGAGGGTGAATTTGCTAGCGAGATGCCGGAAGCCGAGGCCGCGGCGGTGGTCACCGGAGGCGGCAGCCGCGCCGCCGGCCCCGCCGACTACGAGCGCTTCATCACCCTCTTCTCCCCGGAGGGCCGCCTCTGCCAACTCGGTGAGTGCCCGCCGCCGCGACATGCCCCCTCCACGCCGACCAAATTCGCTGCTGGTGTCTGCGCTTTGGCTAACGATCTGCTGCTTCAATTCCGCCGCCCGCCTCCCCGTGCGGCCGTGCTGTGTGCTCTCGCAGACTACGCGTTCAACGCCGTGAAGCTGGCCGGGATCACCTCCGTCGGCGTGCGCGGCGACGACTCCGTCTACGTCCTCACCCATCGGAAGGAGGTGAGCACGTCGCGAGAGCGGAATCCCCTTGTCCCCTCATTTGTGATTCATTCTGCGGCCGTTTGATTTGCTTCGTTCCCCTGATCAGGACAAGTTGCACGACCCGACGACCATCACGAACCTGTTCGCGATCACCGACCGGATTGGGCTGCTCGCCACCGGGATGCCAGGTGAGCCACAACTTTGCTCTCTCAGATTCTCAGTTCTAAGTGCTGCGTGGAACATGCGGTGCGCGCGTTTGGATCCCGCTGGCACAATATCATTTACGAGTTACGAATTGCGAATTGGAGGATCACTCGACTTTATCCTGCCGTAGAACGTCTCAGCGAAACCGGTTCCAATAATTAATCTCTGCAACTCTTGGTGTTCATGAGAGCATTGCGATGTGATAAGGATGTTTTACATACCGATGATGCGCTTGTTCGACTGGATGCTAATTTTGCTGACTCCCTATATTGAATCAGTTTTAGTATAGGAGTAGTATGCACTTCCAGGATACGTCATACATGCTGATTAGATGAAATGTTCAGTGAATGAGTGAACCACTGTGGTGTGATTGGATCCTACATCCTAGTAGTATGCACTAGATAGAATGGAATCTTGGCCTTGGTTGCACAATATACTGACTTATTTGGCAGTCGATCGCCCCTTTACTACCATACTCTCATCTATTTTGTGTTTCTGAGGTTGTAAATGGCTAATGTGACAATGTGAGCCAGTACTGTAACTACTGTACTGAGCTATTGTCTTGTTTGATTTAACCTATGTGAGACAGTAATGTAACTAGGCAACTTTTGCTTGCTAAGTAATCAATCGTTCTATTTGACTACTTTCTTGTATGATATAATGTACTGTTTTGTTACTAATGCCTGATAACTTGTTATATCATTCTGTTGGTGGACAGTTCCTTCAGTTTAGAGGGAGTTAGGGACTTCTCAATTCCATAGCATGTGATTTGTCACTGAGCTCTAAATATCTTAATATAGTTCTGTTTAGAATTTTATGGAACAGCTAGAATGGCTCACATCATCATAAGAAACACTCTAGAGGCCAATGGCAGGACATACCATCGCAGTATCATTTTACTTGTCTGCTTGTTCTGATCTTTTGAGTTTTGACGGGCTATATCTTTATTCCAGGTGATGGAAGGGCAATAGCTCAGGAGGCAAGGAACGCAGCTGCCGAGTTTCGCTTCAAGTGGGGATATAAAATGTCTCCTTGTATGTTAGCTCAATGGTAAGCTTTGGTCTAAATGAAATAGATGGCTCATTGTACAATACCTATGTCTTACAAACATCTAAAATGATTTGATCATCACGCTATTTTATATAATGGTTATATAATTATCTCTAGGCCGCTCTCTGCTTGTAGGGATTGATCATTTGCCACTCCCATTAGAATGTCAAAGGATCAATTTCGCCCATTCACATTAAGACTTAGTATTGGATATATGAGAAAATATGGTGAGAGTTCATATGAGATCAACGGGCTGGGAACTTTTCTGAATTCTGATAAGCATATGCTCGTGCTTTACTATCAAACCTACCCTTATTTTGTTAAGCTACGTGGATACATTACTCTGTTCAATCTTCAATAGCCTAACGTTGTTTACTAATTTCACTGAACTGTTCTGCATTTTACTAGTGGTGTATCATTGCTTGTTTGTAGGATTGCAGACAGAGCACAGATCCGCACCCAGCATGCTCAGATAAGACCTTATGGAGTTGGTTAGTGCTATCCAATTTGTGTTTTGTGAGTGGTGAAACCTGCCATCATCGTCTACCATCAAAGGATTACAATGATTACTTTGATCCTACACATTTTCCTCTGCAGTTTCTATGATCTTTGGAATTGATGAAGAGAAAGGAACCCCCGAGCTCTTCACATGTGATCCAGCTGGACAATTCTTTGCACACAAGGTATTCTAGGAATTTTTTGCAGTTCATTAAATAGCTCTTTTCATCATAACACAAGTTAGTCGTGTTTTTTTGTGAATGACTACAACAAATGCAAATAGCATGCTGTATTTTTTTTCAGTTATCATGTGCAACTAGAAACTGATTAGGTCACAGAGCCACTGAACAATCTAGATGGAGAAACCACCCCATAAGCTCAAGCATTTTCTGTATCTGAGAAACATGAATCTCCTATGTCATTGCAGGCCACAAGTGCTGGTCCGAAAGAGAAGGAAGTTATGAACTTTCTTGAGGAAAGAATGAAGAGCAAACCTTCTCTATCATCTGGCACAACAAAAGGGGTGTGTGTTACTATTCTTAGCAAACCATGAAATTGAACTTATCCAATGCTGACTAGAAATGTATAAAATGGCATTCAGATTAGTGAGTAAACTAGGTAAGCATTGATCTGTAATGGAAAAAATGTTATTGAATTTTTTAGTTACAGTAACATGTTCATATGAAATGTGATGGTTCAACACCAAGCCACACATTGCAGACAGTACAAGATATCCAAATCTCATACATGCTTAAATACTAGTAACTAGTATTTAACACAACAAAAGTTCCCTTTTCTCTGAAGCTGAATTTGAGAACATCATTATTAAGGGCACCACTCTGTTAGTTCTCTTTGGATGCTTACCACATGAAGTTTTAGCTGTTTCTTTAACAACAGAGTGCGTTTTGGGATGTCTATCTGTGCAGCATCTTCGACAGACTACTGTCAATAATGCATGCCTGCAAGTTCTTTTTTCCCTCATGCTGTTGCGTATTTATTTGTACATTAGCACTTTTGTAGTCACAAGCCCTATCCAATACGGTGATCCAATATTTTGATCCCCTTTGTGATTAATTTTTACTGACTTTGTTTCCAGTTGGCAATACGGTGATCCAATATTTTGATCCCCTTTGTGATTAATTTTTACTGATTTTGTTTCCAGTTGGCAAAATCTGCGTTGAAACATGTCCTGGAGGGGGATTTCTATGCCCGAGAATTTGAGGTAGTGCTCATTCTTAGCCCTATTGTAGATATGTTCTGTTTGCACTCACTATTGTTAAATAAAAGAGTGATTTTACGGTTCTTGAGGAGATACCGAAAGATACCATATTTTCTAGTGTAAAATTTAGTACATCCCAGTGTAAGGTAAAAAAAATGTACTAAAAATTTTGGAATTCTTAAAGAATGTAAAACTTCTCTAAATAAAACGTTAAGAAATATTTGCACTGCCATTATACTGAACGACGCAAGTCAAACTTTCTTGTCAGCTTGGATTTATCAAGAAAGGGGATCCAACTGTAACTCTGCACCCAGTGAAATTCAAGCGCACGCGGAGGTGAAGGACGAGAGCAGAACAAAGTGCTCGATATAGGACGATCACCAGTCTTTCAAATCTTTTACAGCATGGAAGTTATGCAAAACCATTACCGCTAACTGATTACTGTACGCTATAGCTATATGTATGACTGCGCTCAAGCTGTGTCAAGTGTCAATTATGAGTTGCCCCCGGATTTACGATACCAACTGATGATCACACATCAACACTTCAAACTGTAACTGTCTACGAAGGAACTGCATCCTCCTGCTCCCGTGTAACCTTAGCCAGGGATAATTTTCCTATGAAGTTGGTCGCAAGGCTGCCGAGGAAGAGATCTCCGTTGAACTCTGTCACCGAAGTGACCATGTTGATCACATTCCCTTCAGAGTCACCAAGAACCCTCACGATCTCGCCGTTCAACGACACCTGAGCCACCACTGCTCCCTTGAGCGTCGCCTTGGTCCTCTCGACGAGCGCCGGGAACGACGCGATGACCCTCCTCGTCAAGCTCCAGCGAGAGATCAGGTCCAGCCATGGAGACCTCACCTGCAGTTTGAGCACAGAAAATTGTAAGTTTGAGCACTGAAAATGTTGTGTAGATGCTTATGGCAGCAGAAAGGTTAGAGAGCAGAGACCTGGAGAAGGGCAATCCAGAAGTGACCATCTGAACCCAGCCGAATGTTGTCTGGATTCCCCGGCAGGTTGTCCACGAAGATCTCTGCCTCCCCAGCCTTCTCCCCTTTCAGCCACACTCTCAAGCATCTGAACCTGCACTTGACAATATCACTTCATGGTCACTTGACGATAGAGTGAACAGACTCTTTTTTTTATGAGCAATTTTACCGTTCTTAAGGAGATACATGAGATACTATTTTTTTTCTATTTTAATTTGATATCTCTTTATATCTAGATACTATAAGATACCAAATTTTATACTAATTTTTTTTACCTCATGGTACATCCTTATGAACCGTAAAATTACTCGTTTTTTATTATTATTTTAGATAAGGGTATTTTCTATCCAGATTCTACATCCAATCAGATATATGCAGCCATTTAAATTAGGAACTTAGCCCCACAAACAATCCAATCTGAAATTCGTTCCTAAGAAGATTTGCACTCGTAACCTTAAAATGTTACTCAGGTCACTGCACGTGTCATTTCACAGATGAGAAGTTGAGCTTGTTACTACCTCATCGTCTCGCAGACGACGACGAAGGCCTCGTCGGGCGGCAGGGCGACGCCGTTGGCGAAGCCGAGGCCGTCGAGCACGACGGAGGCCTCGCCGGTGCGGGGGTCGTACTTGAGCAGGCGGCCGGTGAAGCGGTACTCGAAGAAGTCGAGGAACCAGTTGTCGAAGCTGAACCTGGTGCTGGCGTCGCTGAAGTACACCGTGCCATCGGAGGCCTCGATCGCCGCGTCCGCGAACCTGAAGACGACGAACGGAGAAGAACAGTAGAGAATTCGCAGTCGCAGTTACAGATTTGCACTGTGCAAATTGCATAGTAGTTTGCAGTGAAACAAGTAATTTGCAGGAAGATAACCTGATCGTGGAGCCTTCGACAGTCGAAGCAAGAAGCGTCACGCGTCCATTCTCATCCACTTTCAACAATCCCTGCAGATTTTAATTAGTACTCCCTCCGTCCCTAAATGTTGACGCCGTTGACATTTTTTAAACATATTTAACCGTTTATCTTATTAAAAAAATTAAGTAATTATTAATTCTTTTTCTATCATTTAATTTATTATTAAATATATTTTTATGTATACATATAGTTTTATATATTTTATAAAAGTTTTTGAATAAAACGAATGGTCAAACATGTTTAAAAATACTTTCTTATTTAGGGAACGAGGGAGTATTTTACACCAACAGTAAACAACTTTTGCACTGTCTCTCATTCGGTTATCTTCATCTGAAGCAGTGAAGCGTATCATCGTAGAAATGTTTCTTGTTTTGATTTACCTTGTCGGCGTCGCAGACGAGCATGGCGCCGTCGGCGGACGGGGCGACGCCGAGGAGCCCCGTGCCGCCGACGAGCCCCCACCGCTCCCACGACCCGTTCGCCTGCATCCTCCGCACCCACCCGTCCCTCGTCGCCGTGAACACCTCGCCGCCGGCGTCGTCCACGTACACGTCCTCCGGCGCGCTCAGCATCCCTTCCCCAAGCTTCTCCAGATTCTGCCACATCGCAAACCATGAATCCACCAACGGCCGACATGAGCGCGGCATGGCGCGGCGAGCTAGAACGCAACGTACCGTACCTGGAGGAGGTTGTTGGGAGGGAAGCGAGCGGCGGCGGGTGGGCGTGCGGGCGGCGGGGCGAGCGGCTGGATGGGGCAGTGGAGCGCGACGTGCACGGCGAGCGACACGAAGACGGCGGCGAGGAGGCCCAGCTGCTGCGCCATGCCGCCGATCGACCCACCAATGTGTAGCCGACGACGAGCTCGATCGATCGATCACGCTATCGGCGTCGACTCGACTCGCCCTGTAGATAAGCTGGAGGTGTCAGGCATGGCATACACGTGACGAGTGGGCACACACCTGTTATCGTTAGCCCAAGCCACGTCTGTTTTGGACTTGCCCATTATTGCACCACATAAAAGGTTCTGGTCCAAACAAATAACCGAAATTTACTTTTCTGAATACGTAAAAAATTGGAATCCATAGATACCGTGGTTTAAACCTGTAATGCTCCCCTCGTTCCATTTGGACCATTTAGAAGCCTCAGGTCACTCATGGATTCTGTAAAAGGCAAAACGCTTGTGGACTAGAGTTACCAATCCACTTGTTGACTAGCCAGTTAAATGACATAGCTTTATATTCCATTCGTTTCAAAATATAAGGTTTCTTTGATTCAAATTCATAACACAATATAAACATTACTCCCTCCATCCCATAATATAAGAGATTTTAGAGGGATGTGATATTTTTCAAGCACTTCGAGTCTGAATAGGCCTGTCCAGATTCGTAGTACTAGAAAAATATCGTATCCCTCTAAAATCCCTTATATTATGAGGCGGAAGGAGTACTACACTAATAACTCATATGGTTCCCATCATCATGAATTCCAAAGCCCAGTCGGATACTTGGAAAGGTAATCTAAACAATTCAAAATTCAAAAATTGACAATTGAAGTGATTAAACTACTGCTAAACAACTAGAAACAATCCTTATATTTTAGAATGGCTAGAGGAAGTAATTAGTACCACCTTTGTTCCTTTTTACTTGTCGTTTTGGACAACACAGTTTTCAATGCACAAAACTGATCACTACTTTTTCTAATTATATGTTTAAAAAAGTATTAAAATTCATATATAAAAGTGTTTTCATGACTATTCTACTACTAATAGTCTTTTATTGTGTTAAATCCTATTATTTTTTGCATTCATTAATCATCTAAAGATTTTGATAATACATGACGACATATATTTGACAACAGAGAGGTAATACAAATCAGTTAAACAAAAAAAAAAGTTTAAAAGTATTAAAGTAATAATGTCTAACTCTGGGGTAAAAACGGATTGGATTCAGATAGATAGTGGTCATACCATATCCTAAAACATATTTTTAAGAGTAAATTTTAGAAAACTGCAACTTTAGTGACAAAATTATCAGTTTGCTGCAACATTAGCGACATGTTTCAGTTTGCTCCAACAATAGCGTGGGAAATTATCACAAAACTGTAACTTTTACATTATATACTGCTACAGTATATATGTGCTGCTACAGTATACCTATATACTGTAGCAGCATATAACGTAAAAGTTACAGTTTTATGATAATTTCCTACGCTAATGTTGCAGCAAACTGAAACATGTCGCTAATGTTGCAGCAAACTGATAGTTTTATGAAATTTACTCTATTTTTAAAGCGGATTCAGAGCAGGTGTGGATGGTGTGCAGATGCGGACATGGAGTGGATTATTTCGGATGTTGAAAATGGTGTAGAGTCGGTGTGGACCTGGTTCGGAATCGGAGTAAATTTGACAGATGTTTTGTGTATATGTAATCAACACAACATCAACTTAGGCATTTAACAAAGCAACGGACAACAATAGAGTAATCAATGGACAATCCATCGTGATAACTATATATTTAAGTGCTAAACAATATGAATACATGACGGCCATAACATAAAAACGTAGCTAAGACTGATTTAGTCATAATAGTATTAGTGTTGAAAGAGGGCAATCCCAAACGAAAAAAAGTTATTTCTCAATCCCAAGAATCAAGCTTTCATCATTTTCCGCTATCGTCAAGACAAACCTTAAAACATTCCACCTCGACTATTTCATCCACAGAAGCGTATCTGACAACTATGTCATCATCGTTTTTTTCTTCCGAAAGCTAGAAAGGGCCTACCTAGTGCTTGCATTTCGGGGTAAAGTAGCTTTCCCCAGCTCAATAAGAGCTACCTACAAACATGGAATGCCAATGCAATGATCAGAACTTCCTTGCCAAGAACATCCTGATTTATTATCAGGCTTTAACCTTTGTAAGTGTAAGATGAGACGGTGAGAGTCTTAGGCCCTGTTTGGGGGAGCTTAAGATTCTGAGAATCTGTTGGTTGGTAGCCAGCTTCTGAGAATCTGGGTTTTCCAGCTTCTGGGTTCTAGTTCATTTTCTGGATTCTACAACTATATATTCTCATAATCTGGGTGACAATTTGGACTGTTTTGGGGAGCTGGAGATTCTGAGAGAAGCTGCAGCAACTAGAAGCTCCCCAAACAGACCCATAGATTAAGGAGTCTATCTTAATTGATGTATTTAACATATAGAGCGGTTACATGGGTTGACAATTTCAGATTATCTAGCAAACGGCCTACCAGATAATCTATATCCGCCGAATTTTAAAGATACCACATCCACACAGAATCCATATCACACTATCCGCATCCACATCCATATCTATCGGATTTCTATAAACTCGTACCATATTCTCGTTTTGAGCGGATTTGGAATGGATCAGATAAGATGTTATCCGATTCGTTTTCACACCAACTCTAACCCGATAATGCCCGAGCATTATAGTTGTGTTTGGTAGAATTTCCACTTCCTATCTATTAAGCGCAGATGTAAGCATTGCGTTCCTTTCGATCGTCGTCTGTCCTACTAGTACCGTAAGTACGTGAGCCTCTGTTAATTACGACGGCGACTAAGATCGAATGTGAGATTTTATACGAATCAACAGACTAGGACGTCTATGGTGAGTAGGGTTAGCTAGGCAGGTCGTGCAGCGTTCGCAGCAACACAAAAAATATGTATGGCGTTTGTGCACGTCGAAATGGAGTGTGATAGCTAGTTCGTCGTACGTGGAAGCTCTTGTCAAACATCGTAGCTGCTTCATCGGCAGGCGTGATGTTGAGAGGTAGCGACGTTGTTGCTTAAAGGCCCATTTAAGTTTAAGTTTTGCAGGCCCAAACTTAACTTTTAAAACTCAAAAATCATCTCTTTGGCAATTAGATCCATCAAAACTTCCAAACAAAAAATTTACTTGTAGCAAATCAAACCAAAACGAAACTCCCGAAACACATGAATTTTGGCAAAGTTTGAAATTTGAGTTTTGGTTGGGGTGCGCCAGGCTTTGGCGGTAGTGCAACGCCTAAGTGACGCTCAAGGGCTCTAATGGCAAGCCACTATTGTGAGCCCCTTCCCTATGAAAAATAAATTTAATATTTTTTTTGACATGGAAAGATTTCCATTACTCCATAGACTCAGTAATATCACTGGTCACCAAATCGTCCACCTCGGATGGGGCTTCATTGTCACGCCCAGAAATTCACGAACCAGAATTTCTAAGCTGAATGTGCATTAAATCCCTGTCCAGGACCAGCCAGGGTACACAAACGACAATTGTTGACATACATATCCACGTCTTACAAAAATATAAAAGATTACAAATGCAGCGGAAAGATAAAAGCGAGCTAAACCGGGAAGCTTGACTTCAGCAGCGGGACGACTCCACTCCACAGGCAAACCTTGACGGCAGCGACAAAACCAACTTCAACAAGACAGCTCCAACTAGAAAGATCTTCAGCTCTGGTGTGGGGGAACAGAGAGCAAGACTGAGTACTACCCACTGTACTCAGCAAATCATACCGGAAGAGGAGGTATGATGCAGGATATAACCAAAGGAGGCTAGGGGTTCTTCTGCATAAAACTAGCATTTAAAAGCAGTAGTTGAAAGTAGTAAAACAGCTGTAGTAAATTAATCAATATTAACCAATCACTGTCCAACGCTACACCACGTTGCAACATGCCCAACCAACCACCTGAACTACACCAGTTCATTAAGCTAAACTAGGGGTGAGACTAATCACGGTGAACCTGGTTGATCGCCCATAACCGCGGGCACGGCTATTCGAATAGTTTTACTCTGGCCAGAGGTGTACAACTGTACCCACAAGACACGATTCCACACATGTCGCCATGCCCCGAAGTATCACCATGATACTGCAAAGGGGGAAATCGTGACAAGACCCTCCACATAACCCTCCCCTAACCATCCACACCACGCTAAGGTTTCACCCCCACCCCTCAAAAGGCAGTGGGCGGTCCCCTCTTGCGCCGCGGTGAATCCGGCAGCTGGACAACCGGACACCCCGGCCGACCCAACTCCATCACGCCCACCCTCGCCACCGGTGCCTATGAAAGGGTCGAGCTATACTTCAGATCAAGCAGTTACCCACTCCCGCTTGTGGTAAGCACGGTAAGTCTCCCAGGGTTTCCCGTGAACCGGTCCTTAATTGCCATGGGTGCGACCAGCAAAACCATGCACCCACAACCCACCATTCGGTGTATTTTAATTAACTAACACCATTGCGGTGGCACCAATCCAAAACTATGCTCATAGTCAGAGTCTATGTAATAATGTGATCCCCATTTGTGTACTAGTTGAGCTAAGCATGGCTAAGTATTTCCTAAACCAACATCTAATCATTTTGATACCAAAGTTATCAATGGCATATGAACAATAAATGGCTGAGTAATAGGACCCATCTCACATGACATTGTAAAAGTATGCGACATTTAATAGAAATGCGGGATATTTGTAAATTGGGTACAATATGATCAATTGTAATGCATGACTTGCCTTGCTCTCGCACTGATGAGACCTCAGCAACGTCTTCGAGAAACAGCGGATCGACGAAACGGCCGAAATCTACGCGACAAACAAAGCACACAAGCAAAACATGCTATAAGACTACTGAAACAGGAAACAAAACCACTTTTAATGGATTCTTTGCATTTTTATGAATTTACTGAGACTTGAATGGACTTAAACGAAGCTCGGATGAATTACTTATGAATTTTAGAAGATAAACTGTGTTTTTACTAATAAAGAAAAAGTCCTTAATTATTTATTGCGCAATAAATCCCAGGGCTGACGTCATCCAAGGGGGGAGGGGTGGCTGCGCTGACAGGTGGGCCCCGCTTGTCAGCGCACAAGGGGAGGGAGAGGGGGCTCGGGCAAGTGGGCCCCACTGGCAGCGGCACAAGGTGGCCGGTCTACCGTGTACCGGGACCACGCGCGTGGTCCACCGCCGGTCCACGGGAC